TCCGCGTGAGCATGGAAGGAGAGCGCGACGATATCCAGTTTCACTTTGGCAAAGCATTCAGGCATCTGAAGCGAACGGAGCGAGACATGGTGCGCAAGATCACAGAGAAGGTATGTCGTCCTTTGATCCATTTGAAGATGAATTCAAGCAAGCAAGAGTTAACCATGTGCAGCTCACGAGCCAAATCAGCGCAACTTTGTCGCACGAGACGCTTCGCAACTTGCTTGGCATCGGCGGCCTAGGCGCTACGATGACTGGTCTCTGGAAGAAGCGCACGTCCACAATGCCCACTGCCGTAACCAATGCGCAGAAGGAGGCAGTACTTGCCCCCTTGCTCGAGTATTTTGACGAGAATTTTGCCATTATGAAGCAGACCCTGACCGACGCCACCATGGTGGCTGTCATGACCCGCTTGTGGAAGGAAGTCCTCATGACCATTGAGAACCTTTTGGTGCCACCGCTGTCGGAGAAGCCATCGGCGCAGAAACCTCTGTCACGCCGCGAGGTCGATGTGGTCTTCTACTGGTTGCAGATGCTCTTTGACTTTTTCAACGCGCGCGATGCGGGGACGGGCGAGCAGATGGGTGTGCCAAGCGAGGTGCTCAAGTCGCCTAAGTGGCACGAGCTTGCCTCGTTGAACTTTTTCTACTTTGAAGATACCAACAATCTCATCAACGAGTCTGAACGCATGGCCGCTGCCACCGCCAAGCGTGCCCAGCAGGCTCTCCTACAGCAGCCGCCCACGACACCGCACGCGGCACCATCGACACGCATGTCTGCGGGACCGTCATTTGCGGCGGCGGGCTCGTTTGCCAGCATGGGCACAATTCGGCGCGGCAAGAGCATCATGATGAGCCGCAACCTCGGCACAATGCGCAAGGCCAAGGAGGCGAAAAGACAGCAGGCGCAGGCCGACCCGAGCGACGACATGATCTTGCGCATTCTGCGTATGCGGCCTGAAGCCGCGGGCTATCTTCGGGAGCGCCACCGGCAAAAGGAGAGGCAAGCTGCCACGGCCGCAGCCGCGTTGATTGTCAAGAACAGTGTGAATCAAGGTTGGAACGCTGGAAGGAACAGTCTACCGAGACGATAAAGTGATGGAAAGACGCGACTACATTAGGCCTGTCTGGGGCGCGTGTTGCTTGGGATGCTGCTGTCCGTCTCGAATTTATATGTTATATTGGGTCAAGGCAGAGGAAGGAAGCATTGGCATCAGATACCCTCCTGCGTATAGCGGCGTGTTTGTGAATTGGTCAAAGACGAGTTTTTACTTTCGAACGCCAGAGCCTAGTACGTGAGGGACCTACGCAGAGACTTTGAATCGATCGGGCGGTGTTACGAAGCACCTGCCCCGACTCAGCCATCACTGCAAGAGGTATTCCAACGCCGTCTCAGGATGTGCCACCACATTGTTTGCTGCAAGACACCCAGCCATGTGGCACCGGGCGGATCTTTGGATCCGAGCAGCTGTGTTACCCTCCAATGAATGTACTCATGCATCCATCTATCATCTGCTGACCGAGCTCATAGCCGACGTATTTCCAGACAGGCGCATCCTGTCCAAGGGAGTGAGTGACTTGACTGTCCAAGGGGAGCAATGAATTATCGATTTGCTCGGGAATTTTTAAGGGTCCTTCTTGGCGGCGGTTATTTGGCAGGCGGGAGGGGCTACGTATGTATATGTAGAGGCTAAGGTAGGAATGATGTAGCAGCGGGTCCCCGAGAAAAGGGGAAGAGACTGGACGTCGGTGAGTAAGTGTGGGCAGCGTTTCGCGATCTTGGCTTGACTCTTTGAGATGGAACAAGAGTTCACAGTCCGAATCGACGCGAGCGACTTCGGTCGAGAAGACAGACGGCTTGAGATGCGGATTGTTCTTGCGATACGGAGTACGGAGTACGTACCACAGAGTTCAGGGGCCTTCGCCAAGATGCGCGCACGAACCACGCTCAGGCGATTGCCCATTGGCTCTCGCGAGAGCTCCGTGGTGAGCTAGTCCAATTGAATCCCTTAAGAAACTCAATGCCAAGAATGACGTTGGTCACCTGGCTCGTGCGGCTGCTAGCCTGACAGGGCCTAGCTGCCTCCGGGATCCCTTGGTGGACCGTGCTAAACAAACGGTACGTAAACCAACGACTGGAGAGCATCAATCTCCTGATGGTCCCCTAATAACCGTCCGACGCGGAGGGCTGGGAAGACAGGCTGGGCCTATGCAGTACGTAAGCATGCAACAATTGGAAACCCACGACTCTACCAGTCAGTTCATGCGGTTTGGCAATTATCGATTCAATCCGAAAAAGGGGTCCAGAGCATCTTTGCGCTCCTGTCGCCTCGTGGAGTCCGTCCTCTGAAACATCCCGATCGTGGATAAAAGGAACTCAGACCACCAATCTATGGTCACTCTTTGCTGCTACAGTGCAGATCAGTCGCCTACAGGGTAATGATTGTCGGTGGCACTGATTGAATTCGTGGCTCCTCGCCCACATGCATCACTCGGCGGGCGCTCTTAGCGCGAACCAGCGCCAGCCAAGTCCAGTCCAGGGCGGCGGATTTGTTGGGCGGTGGTTTGATTAATTCGTATGTACGGGTACGGAGTACGGAAAAGCGTTGACGGACAGGAGAATACTTTAGTGAACTCTTGAGGCATCCAGTCGTGATTCGCCTGTCGCAAAGTTCAGCGTGGACTGGACCAGCTCTTGGGATCTGCAAGCAGGGACGACGAGGCGGGGAAAACTTGGTGAAGGAAGGGTGTGAGGCGGCCCTGAATGGCTCAGCGCAATGGCCTTGACGATTTCGCGCAGAAGTCCACCTCTTCTGGACAACGAGTTAGAAATAAATAAGTTAGTTGCCAGGTTCCTCGGATCGGAAACGACTCGTGTTCACCAGGCGCAACCTGAAGCGCAAAGGACGTGACGGCACTAGGAGCCGCCATCTAGGGGAGGCGTTTCATGCACAGTGCGGCAAGCTGACATCAAGCCCTGGGACTTCCCCACATTCGCCCCCGAGTACAGGCGCTGCACCACTAGCCACGACATTCACAGCAGTGATGGACTTGTTGCCGTCGCCCTACTTACAAGACACAAAAGTGAGGCGTGGGCTTGCTGGAGACGTTTTGTTCTCCTGTTTTCTTTTTTTTCTTTCTTTTTTTTGGAGAGAGAGAGAGATGAACAGACCCATGGCGAACGTCTATAGGATATGCAGGTTGCCGCACGGTCGCGGCGGTCTGCTGTGTGACCACTCGAGCCAAGCCACAGAATGCTCTCCGTATGCTTGGCTCCATCTGTTCGCTGTTGCGAAACCTCCGCAGTTTTGTGCGATCCTCGGCTACTGCTGCACATCTAAGGAAGGCAATAGTGACTGCTGCAGCAGCCTGAGATTATGGGAGGCTCCGTACATATACAGAGGCACCGTAAAAGGCCAATCTGATAATTATTCGTCTTGCAGACATGGAGCGCCGTGCCAGTGCCAATGCAGGTGGACCCTGACAGTGAGCACACCACCACGCATAGGGCAATCGATCAATGGCCTCGTACGATTTCAGGGTCGTCGTAGCTTGCTATTAACACAATAGACGAAAGCAAGGCGTTGTACATGGTTTGACCAGCAGGCAGGACATACTGAACTGACCGTTATGTGTTCGGTCGGCACTGCGTTGCCTGATTACAGACCTCCAAATATCTTTCGTATGAAGAGTAGTCTGTTGTCTGACCACTCTTCTGAAAAGGGGATGGTGCCATCGTCAATCCAAACTTTGTTGCGCCGCGCCCAAGGTCCCCTGACGCGAGTCCTTTCTTGTCCTACACACTTGATGGGGATTCAGCCACCGGCCGAGCCTCCTTCCCGGGGATGCACGTTACGTGCGTACTCCGTACATGCGGAATAAAAAGAGTGCGAGCTGTCTGCTCCAAACATTCCTCAAAGGATGTCCCGCTGGTCAAGCGATACAGGGTGACTGAACTTGTGGTCATTGCTACACACAGCCTTGCCCTGCTGACCCCTCAGCAGAGCCCCAGGTATGCACTCCAGTCGCCTCACCCCAAAACAAGCTCTGAAAGTACATGTGCTCTACTGCGACTGTCTGATAGTAGCCCATCTGATCTTGGACGTGATGTTGATATGTACCCTTCTGCCTGTCACGACCTCGGGTTCCAGTCCCTTCAGCTGTCCATTATTATATCCCCCGGAGTGACCGTGCCAGTGGCCCGCGGCCCGCCCACAAGACAGCGACCCTCGCTGCCGCGCCAGCGCCCTCTGATTGGGCTGCATGTCGTAGCCACCCACCCGACTCCATCGACTACGCCGTACCGGACTTAGCCCAGTCAGTCATTCAAGCCCCCGTGCCATCCATCCCAGCACAGTCCAGTCCACTCCACTCCCATTCATCCCAAGCATTCATTACTTTTGCTTTCTTTCCAGGCTACATACCTATCCCGCCTCCCAGTCTCCCATCTACCTGCGACCTCTGCATGCGAGAGGGTAAAGGAAGACGAGAGTTTCCCGCGGCGAGATCATACTGAGTTGACGACAATAGCGACCGACACAACGCTCTCCTTGGCCGACACATTTCGTACTGTGTCCCCTGGATCAGTTGGTGGATTATCTATCTATTAATCACTCGCTCCATCTGCCTTCGCCTCGCATGTGTTAAGGCATCCGGTCGCCTGACGCTACTTGCTCCATTCGACGCACGCCGATTAGCTCACATCTTCTCGAGTCTTGCCGAATAATTATGCTGCATTTGCTTCGCTGATTTCCCCCTGTTCTGCATCGCCTCTCGAGCTCATTCGGTTCCTTGCTCGACTTCGCGACGACCCGCCTCCGCCTCGACCGCCCCAGGCAAAATCACCGGCACTCGATTTGACACTGCGGCATCGGTGCCAATCAGAGTCCCACGGCTCGCATTGCAATACCGCCGATTCGTTCTTCGCATAAAGTGTGCTTCCCATCCTACGATAGAGCCACTGTTAAGGGCTCGACAATCTGCTGCGAGCAAGATCCGACCATGGTGGTCGACGATGCAGCGCTCGCCACGGCGGCCGAATTCGTAGCCTCCTTGGCTGCCGACCCGAAATCCCCATCAGTCATTCCTCCTAAGCTGGGTGGCGACGTCAAACTCCCTGGTCGCGAGACTCCTGCCAAACGTAACCTCGAGGTAGAGTTGCACAAGCTCTCACTGCGAGTTGCTGAACTCGAGAGCCGGGCGGCAGCCGCTGTTACCTTTCCGGAAACACCAAACGAAGGTCCAGACTCCCTTTTCGGCGATGACGCGGGAGCTTCGCCGTCGGGCAGTCGCCCGACATCCTCCCGGCCCAAAGGACTTCCCAATGTAGGCCATGACCGCCCCGGCTTCATGCCCCGCCAGCTGACAAAGGAGGCTCTTGAGGGCTTGCGGGAACACGTTGATGACCAGTCCAAGCTCCTCGACAGTCAACGACAGGAGCTTGCTGGCGTCAATGCCCAATTGCTTGAACAAAAGCAGCTACAGGAAAACGCTCTAAGAATGCTCGAGCAAGAGCGGGTGGCCACTCTGGAGAGGGAACTCTGGAAGCATCAAAAGGCCAACGAGGCTTTCCAGAAAGCTCTCCGAGAGATCGGCGAGATTGTGACCGCAGTCGCTCGTGGTGACCTCACCATGAAAGTACGAATGAACACCGTGGAGATGGATCCCGAGATTACCACATTCAAGCGCACGATCAACGCCATGATGGACCAGCTCCAGATATTCGCAAGCGAAGTGTCGCGCGTCGCTCGTGAGGTCGGCACTGAAGGTTTGCTTGGTGGCCAGGCTCGCATTGGCGGCGTCGACGGAACCTGGAAAGAGTTGACGGACAACGGTGAGATTCTTCCGATATACGGTGACTCGGATGGCAGTCTGACTGAAGTACAGTGAACGTCATGGCCCAAAACCTGACAGATCAAGGTAAATGACCCAAGCTTCTCACGCCCTCCAACTGTGCTAACGAATCAGTTCGAGAAATTGCTTCAGTGACAACCGCGGTCGCCCACGGAGACCTTACGAAGAAGATCGAAAGACCCGCCCGCGGTGAGATTCTACAATTGCAGCAAACGATCAACACTATGGTGGACCAGCTCCGAACCTTTGCCTCTGAGGTCACACGTGTCGCAAGAGACGTCGGAACGGAAGGTATACTAGGAGGGCAAGCAGATGTCGGAGGTGTCCAAGGCATGTGGAATGACCTTACTGTCAACGTGAACGCTATGGCCAACAACCTCACAACACAAGTGCGTGACATTATCAAGGTCACGACAGCTGTCGCCAAGGGCGACCTCACACAAAAAGTCCAGGCCGATTGCAGGGGCGAGATCTTCGAGCTCAAGTCAACCATCAACTCCATGGTAGACCAACTGCAGCAATTCGCCCGCGAAGTTACCAAAATTGCTCGAGAAGTCGGCACCGAAGGTCGTCTGGGTGGACAAGCGACTGTCCACGACGTCGAAGGCACATGGAGGGATCTGACGGAGAACGTCAACGGCATGGCCATGAACCTTACCACACAAGTGCGAGAGATCGCCAAGGTCACAACAGCTGTCGCCAAGGGCGACCTCACCAAGAAGATTGGGGTTGAAGTCAAGGGAGAGATTCTGGAGATGAAGAACACGATCAACCAGATGGTGGATCGGCTCGGTACTTTCGCCTTCGAGGTCAGCAAAGTCGCCCGCGAAGTCGGCACCGACGGTACGCTGGGTGGCCAGGCTCAAGTGGCAAATGTGGAGGGCAAATGGAAAGATCTCACCGAGAACGTCAATACCATGGCGTCGAATCTCACTGTCCAGGTGCGCAGCATTTCGGCTGTGACGCAAGCTATTGCCAACGGAGACATGAGTCAGACGATCGACGTTCAGGCCAGTGGAGAAATACAGGTACTTAAAGAGACCATCAACAACATGGTCGGTCGACTCTCTAGCTTCTGCTACGAAGTGCAGAGGGTCGCCAAGGATGTGGGCGTTGATGGCAAGATGGGAGCGCAGGCTGACATTGCTGGTCTCAATGGACGGTGGAAGGAGATCACCACCGATGTCAACACCATGGCTGCCAACTTGACGACACAAGTGCGAGCCTTTTCTGACATTACGAACTTGGCCACGGATGGGGACTTTACCAAGCTCGTCGACGTTGAGGCGTCGGGCGAGATGGACGAGCTCAAACGGAAAATCAACCAGATGATTTCGAATCTGAGGGACAGTATTCAGAGGAACACGCAGGCTCGTGAAGCCGCCGAGCTGGCCAACAAGACCAAGTCTGAGTTCCTCGCGAATATGTCCCACGAGATACGCACGCCCATGAACGGAATCATCGGTATGACCCAGTTGACTCTAGACACCGACTTGACACAGTATCAACGGGAGATGCTGAATATCGTCAATAATCTTGCGAACAGTCTCCTGACGATCATCGATGATATACTGGACCTGTCTAAGATTGAAGCGAGACGAATGGTGATTGAGGAAATTCCGTACACACTACGCGGAACCGTCTTCAATGCACTCAAGACTCTGACAGTCAAGGCGAACGAGAAATTCCTCGATCTCACCTACAAGGTGGACAGTTCCGTGCCGGACCACGTGATTGGTGATTCATTCCGACTGCGCCAGATCATTCTCAACCTTGTCGGCAACGCCATCAAGTTCACGGAGCATGGCGAGGTCAGCCTCACCATCCAGGAGCGGGCAGAGCAGCCTCAGATCGAGGTCGGCTACTACTCGGTCGAGTTCATTGTGGAGGACACGGGCATCGGCATAGCAAAGGATAAGCTGGACCTGATCTTCGACACGTTCCAGCAGGCCGACGGGTCCATGACACGCAAGTTTGGTGGTACCGGCCTAGGTCTGTCCATCTCGAAGCGTCTCGTCAACCTCATGGGAGGCGACTTGTGGGTGATCAGCGAATCCGGGAAGGGCAGTCAATTCCACTTCACGTGCAAGGTGAAGCTGGCTTCCGATGATACGGCGATGCTAGAGCGACAAATTAAACCTTATCGCGGGCACCAGGTACTCTTCGTCGACAAGGCCCAGTCGCGGACAAGCGCGGAGATCAAGGAGATGCTCAAGCGCATCGGGCTGATCCCTGTTGTGATGGACTCTGAGATGAGCATGCAACTCAAGCACATGGCGAAGACAGGCGGTCAGCTGCCCTACGACGCCATCCTCGTGGATTCGATAGATACGGCCAGGCGGCTGAGGTCGGTGGACGACTTCAAGTATCTGCCCATTGTGCTCATGGCTCCTGTCGTGCACGTCAGCCTCAAGTCTTGCCTCGACCTGGGCATCACCTCCTACATGACGACGCCCTGCAAGCTGATTGACCTGGGCAACGGCATGATTCCTGCTCTTGAGAACAGAGCCACTCCGTCCCTTGCTGACAACACGAAATCTTTCGAGATCTTGCTGGCGGAAGACAACACGGTCAACCAAAAATTCGCCGTCAAAATCCTCGAAAAGTACCACCATGTTGTCACGGTCGTGGGCAACGGCTGGGAGGCCGTGGAGTCGGTGAAGGAGAAGAAGTTTGATGTGATCTTGATGGATGTTCAAATGCCTATCATGGTAAGTTCATCGCGGTGCTGTACTGGCCCAGGTACAATGTGCTAACGTGATTGCAGGGCGGCTTCGAAGCTACGGGTAAGATCCGAGAATACGAGCGCAGCATGGGGTCACACCGGACGCCCATCATCGCCCTGACCGCGCACGCCATGATGGGTGATCGCGAGAAGTGCATCCAAGCCCAGATGGACGAGTACCTGTCCAAGCCGCTGCAGCAGAACCAGCTGATCCAGACGATTCTCAAGTGCGCTACGCTCGGTGGCCCGCTTCTCGAGAAGAACAGGGAACGCGAGCTGGCGCTCAAGGCGGACGCCAAGGCGTCGAGCAGCAAAACGAATGACGGGCTTTTGCGGCCCAGCTTGGAGAACCGCTCCTTCAGCACCAGGGAGCCGATGACCAACACGGCGATGGAGAGTCCTCCGCTTCTCTCGGCCAACCAGACCGACCCTGTCAACAAGCCACGACAAGATTTGACCGACATGCGTAGCCTGACGAGCTAAGCTGGAGATACTATCTGTTCTTTGGGTGTTTCTGGGGGTTGGGGGCCGCTTGGATTTGTTCTTGGGAACTGCGTCAGATTTGCACAACATAGACTTCAATGATGGGCAGGATCACACGGCGACGTCTCGGTCGCTCGCCGATGAGCAGTAGTGGGGCGGGAGAGAGGGGTGGAACACACAAGAAATGTGTGAAGCGGCATTGGTAGCCCAGGAAAGGGCCATTTCTTAGCGATCCTGAGATATCACTGGTGCGGTCTTTGGTTGGAAGGTGTTTTCTGTATTGTTTCCGCACTCATGGAAGAATGCTTGAATCTGGTCGGTCTAGGCCTCATATACAACGAATCGCGTGAGTCTCGACCACTGGACTAGGTGCATGTGACTTATTTGTTATGCTGCTTCCCAATAATACATGAGTCCGGAACGCCACCTTATCCTACCCCTTGCCGGCCAAAGCAAACCGTTGGACCTATCACTCCGCCTTGGCCTCTTTGCTTGACCCTGAAGGCTGTTCGTCTTCATTCTTGTCGGCGATGCCGACACGTGCGCGGTCATCATCGTCAGAGGACTGCTTGTTCTCGCCCGTGGCCTTTTCGACGTCAGCCGCGTCAAAGGCGGCGAGTATGGCGTCCAGCTTGCTCTCCAGGTTACTCAAGTTGTTCTCCATGGCCGTCGCGGCTTGCTCTCCCCTGGAAGTACTTCATGTCAACATTGATGTCTGGCATTGCATGTGAGGATGGAGTACGGCAGTGAGAGAGGACAGAGAGTTGCTGTCACGACATGTGGGTAGGGGAAGGAAGGTCGGCCATGTCGATGACCCAACGGTCTGCTTGAGTCGAATGGTTGAGTGTATCACAAGGGAAACATACCGCATGATTTCCTTATAGGCCTATACGAGGGGGTCGTAGGTCAGCATCAGGGGTTGCAAGTTTCTTTTGTCCTTCTCTCCCCAGGCGAAGACGCCGGGGGGTGGCTGAGAGGAGGGCTCCATGTTTTGGTTCCTCAGCTACATGTAGTATCCGTTTCTGGGAATGGGCTGGGTGGCAGCAGGACGGATAGCACGTGGGCGTGGGACGGGGAAGAAGGACTAGATAGTTCAAAACGTACCTGTGCTAGATCGGCCTCAGTCTGAACCTTGCCGTTCGATTGGCCCTGCTGCTGGGGATCATCGTCCGGTGCGGTCATGGCGACGTTGCGTTGGGGCTACAGGAGGAAGAGGTGGATGAGGTGTCAAGGTGCTGTCACTGCTGTGCAGGATTGACAGCTCAGGGTCCTTCCTGCCAGGGACGGGCAAGATTTGAATGTCGATGTTTCGGGTATTAAGGTTCGTTGAATGCCCGGTCTAGATCAGATTGGCTCGCCTGTCCCTGGGCGAGTCATGGTCGGTTGAGGAGTGGTGGGGAGCGGGGTCGATGTACAAGGCATTTGTCCGAGTGGGAGGAGAATCACAGTGTACTCCGTACCTGAAGTAATGAGTTAGTACTCATCAGTACTGAAGAGTACACATAAGGTACGTTACCAGCGCGATCGCGACGATACCTGCAAGACGCTGGGTCTAGATGCACGCTTCTCCTTACTATGCGGCTGGCCTAAAGACTAAAGTCATCGTTATTAAGGACTTACGCGCTTTCCGATGTTGACTGTGGCATTTATTAGTGCTCCCACGTTGACGAATGGCCATGTCCACAATCAACGCCTTCTAGACCCTCATCTGGCTCGATGCTTTGCTAGAGAGGTTGAATGCCGGATTGGCATTGATGGCTTGGAGATCCGCATTCGGTGGCGCTCGCCTTTCTTCTCTACAATGCCATCCCTGGAGCCTGGACCTCTATCGACCAGACTGGTGCGTCGCGCAAACACCGCACCACCTACCCTACATCTCACACCCAGGATGTCGGCTGTATCTGGTCGAGTCAGCCAGCTACATACATGAATTAGCACCCTGTCAAATTTTGCCGAAAATCAGCAGAGATGTGCTGATAGCTTGGTGTGATGCAGACCCCCTTGCCGCTCGCGAGGCGACCTGACCAGCTATTGTGAGACTGGTGACCAATCAATCGCACAAGGTCTGTGTGACCGTTTTCTCACCATCTCAAACGGCCCAAATCCCATGGCCCCAGCATGGGACTTCAGAGGGAGACACCACCCATTCGACAATCCCGTCCAGAGCTTCCAAAATTGCCCGTAACCCCTGCGCCACACCGGACCAATGGCCATGACGAGTGTCTCAGTACCTGGATCGAGAATTGAGGGTTCTCATCAAGGCGAGTCGCCTCTATGGACAAGTTGTTAAAGATTCATCTCGATCAGGAAATGTTGGATGAGATTTCCGAGAAAATGGATAATTCAACGACAACGAGTGGCCTGGACGGCCGGCGCACCTACCATGTAAGTACGAACGCACGTAGGTGAATCGATCAACAATAACGGCATGTCCATGCACCTCACCTTTGTGAACGGTGTTTTTCAATAATTGTCATCTAGAGCGGATGGGTGGCTCTAGCAAGAGTCCAAACCTCGATGTAAGCGCAAAGATGAGATTCCCATGGAATCGGCGCCGCGTGACAGGTTCCACGGCCAATTGAGCTAGGGGCAAGAATAAAGGCAAGGCAGGCTCCATATGCAAGTGGTATGGTAAAGCTAGAAAACGGGATGCGCAAATGGACGGTCATTTACGATGATGGCACCCAAAGTTCGATTCTCGATGATGGGCAGCGGTTGATCCAGATCATGTGTAATCGCGGGACAGGGTCTCCTGGACGGCTAGTGGTCTACTGGCCGTGATTCTGTGCGCACACCCTGGGGTTGCTCTAATGTCCGGCGTGGAGATGCAAGACGCCGCTCCGGTCCCCATCTCAAAGTCCAAGTTCGTTGTCTCTGAGAGCGCTTTGCGCCGAACCACTGCCCGGATATGCTCCAATGTTTGCCAGCATCTCGCGTATTCTTGCCATCAAGTTGTATCAGATACAATCTGTTCCAAGGGCCCCCATCATGTCGATCAGCGCCCAAGCCTAGTCTCTACCTGTCCTTGCTCCTCAACGTTGCCTTTCGCCTCAATTAGAACTACCGATGAGAAAAGGCATTGCCACGGGATCGAGATCCAAAATGTCGCAGCTGGGGTGACATACGTGTAGTCGTCCAGCGCAGTCGAAAAGTGGATCCAATGATGTAGCCAGAGGAACTACTTGTACGTGGTTGCTCACTTCCTGGCTGGCTCGCTTGCTCGCTTGCCTCGTTCTGTTGTTGTTTTTGGGCAGCGTGGCGACGGGGACAATTTTGATGATTCAGATCTCCTGGCGTCGTCGTCGTCGTCGTCGCCGTGGTTGATCACACTTCCACATCCACATCGGGCATCTCGCCCCCTTGACGTGAATCCCAGTGATGCCTCCGCTCTGTGTAAGCGCAAACATTCCTCGTCGATGCACTGGCTATGCTCGAGAGGAGGATGACGGAGGGTGGTTGCTATTGGTGCCGGCATGCCTACCCAGCCCATCGAAGATTGGGTCATCTCATCTCCGTGAATCGAGCCTGTCCGAAAGACATACCCGGCCCTTGTTTCCACGGAAAGCTTCCCTTCCGCGTACGCACCAAGCTGGGTTGCGGAGATCGTCGACTAATGGCAGTGATCGACGCAATCACTCCGACAGCGTGCTTGCACAAACATCATGTTAACAGGTCTAGGAGCGGGATCTACGATCATGTTGTAGCCGCAATACGGTATAGGTGCTGCATGAACAACTAACCGCCAGGACAAGTTGAGCTCCGGGATGGAACCCAGCCTGCTGCTTATCTGCTCGCATTCTCCATCGACTTGCTCCATGCCTACCTAGTACGTAGGCTTGCAGCTTGTTACATATGAGCAATGACAGTAATGTATGACCCTCCGTCCGGACCAGATGATCCATGCCTACCAGATTCAACAAGTAGCGTCACTGGTGTGAGCCCATTTTCAGAGCAAGAAAAGTAAGATCACCGCCCACCGGTCGATGCCGCGAACTGTAAGTTATCAGGGGTTGGTTGAAACTTGTTGAGCCTCGTCCACGGGAGACATGAGCCCGCCCCGGTGTCTTGCTCTACCACGCGTCCCAGGATCTGATCCAAGCGCTTGAACAATCTCTCAGTTTCCGTCTACCATCCGACAGCATCTTAGAGAGAGGCGAAAAAGCCAATGACAGTGACCAATAAGTGGCTTGGCATCCAGTCCCAGGGGCGATCTCCGTTCGACGTCACTGGCTTGGCGAATCTGATCTCCTAGACTGCCGTAAGACTGCTGGTTCGTGCACGATCCATACCCCCCCGGACAGATAGGAAGATACCCTCATACTAACATCAACACGGATAAAACGTGTTACGCTTGATTTTATGTGTAGTTAATTTCCTGGTAGCCTTGACAGAGGTCTGAACACTAAGCTTGCTATCTATTATTGTTATTTACGACTATGAAAGAGGCCGCGGTGGCCTAAATAGTCTACTTCAAAAAGGTTATCTAATACCAGGCCATGGAACTGCTTATGATTGTCGGTACCTCGACTATAGGCGTGTTTTGTGTGGCACTAGATGTGCTTTGATTTGAGCGGCGTCAATTGGCCAGAATCCTTGTGAAGCTCGGACCAGCAGTCTTTACGGCAGTCCAGGCGTAGGCCCAGACTGACCAAGTTGAGGAGGAATGAGGCTCAACCTGCTCTCCGGAGCTTTGGATCAACACTGGCGTGGATGACTGGGCAAAGTTGGCATCAGTACCTGCTACAGTACGTATCAGGCACACACGCTGCAAGTACCGAGTGGCAGCTCGTCGTGTCCACTTGTGAGCATCTTGGAGGAAAGAACGCTTGTCTCGCCCGATTAAACTCTGTTTGGGGCAGGCCGGCAGGCTTTCGCGATCTGGGACTGCCAAATATACGTCACCAACAAACCCCGACAAGAACTAACTTAGTACGTACGTACTGTTAACGGGCTGCCCCAGGCGTCGTTGTTTTGTTTGTATAGGGTAGGCTGGTATTTGGTTATTTATGTCCTGAAGCGCTCTCATTGGAGGTTGCTAAAAGGCTGATCTTTATTAGGGACGGGGCAGTACGTAAAGCCCGGTGACGCAATGCGACTGGAGCGGGTGAGAGCACCACCTTATCGGTATAACTGAAAGACGCGACTAGAGCTGGCGGACAAGCACTTGTAGGATCTCGCTCACATCGGGATGCTTCAGAGACATACTCCGTAGCAATTCGACAATCACGCTGCGCAAAACGGAAGCACTTCCATCACCATGCATACGGAAACTGTCTGTCTCTGTTAACTGTTCAGGTTTGTTAGTCTAGCGTCGCTGTGACAGGCACTGGCGTCCGCGCTCGACAGCAGCTGTCATTCGCTGAGCGGTCCCAGCTGAGCCCTTTGAGTGATGTGACTGGTCAGGTCGACCGGCAGTACTGGAGACTGGAGGTCACTACTTGCACAGAGGTAGCCCAAGGTATCCGCAATGACTGAATGTGAGCCTATGGGGCCCGCACCTTGCACGGCCCACAAGCTGTACCTGCGGACTGCAGCAGGCGTGTGCCTAACGACACTAAGCATTCCCCCCCGCACATCAGTCTCTGCCTCTGCCCACCCCCTTCCTTGGGGCCCAGCAACAGCTCGAATCGAGATATTCGACTAATTAGCACCGCTTTTCGCCATTGCGCCAGGCAAGGTGCGCATTTATCACGCCCTATTGCACCTCCAGCCCGCTGTGCTCACAATTCCCGTCCTCGGATTCTCAAGTTGCAGATAATTTTGCCGGCTTCTCTTGCCTCAACCCGCATCACGTCGCAACAAGACGCTGCAGCGACTACGTACAAACAAAAGAGCTCTCATCGTCAGTCCCAGGGCTTTCCTCAATCCGACACCAAGGAAGAATACGGGTCGCCTCAGCATTTCTCGAGATCGGTTCTTGCGTCTCACGCTCAACGACGGAACGTCCACCAACATACCACCACACTGGACAGACAGCAAAGCAGCGTCACGCTACGCCGCATCGCAGATTCCCCTAGCCAAACATCGAGCTTTCCAATCTGCCGCTTGAAACTCACCTTCACTGTACTGTACCCTGAGTGTGCACGGAAACAGCTGCTGCTTGTGCTGTAGTGCGTGCGTCTCCACGAAAGCCTGCTAGGTTAGCCCGTGGCCAGAGCAGCACTACCTCATCGCCGACATCGATCGATCCCATTTCACAGGCTCACACCATCAACGCCTATCCCAACCCCGTCCTGGTCCTTACCGTCTGCATCCTACCGTGGCCTAGTCACCATCTCTGTGCCCTACAGCAGTTGCATTTCTCCTCTTCCCTCACTCTCAGCACTCATCTCATCCTCGGTAATCCTCCTCGCCCACCGTCTTGGGATCTAACGTTAGCATTCGCAACATATTTCCAACCGCGTCCGAAATCCAAAACCAGAGTCGACTGTTCATATTTCCTTCGTTTGCTTCTACAATAGTCGACCCTCTTTGGAACAGTGCGCTGTGATATCGTACCCCGACCCGCGATATTCGGCACCTGTCCCACCTGCCCCGGCCAAAACACACTTCTCATCCCTCACTTCTCAAGCCTCACAATATCACCTTGGCTTGCCGTTACTGCGTGATTGCCAGACCGCCTTGGCACTCAATTTGCACCTCTTGGACTCCCCGACAAAGCTTTGGCGACGTATTCCTTGCCCAGCCAGGATCAGCCCGCGGCCAGTTTCCACTCTCGTCTTCGCATTCCTCATCAAAGACAAATCTCAGGCCATAGTCACAAGGACCGACTAACGCCGCCAACTCAGTCCTTGGGAGTACCAAACGAACATCAGCCGACTGCTAGCCAACCGTCGGTCCTCACATGTTGGCTTCAGCTTCCTTTCGGAACCACATCTAACCTCACGCTCTTCCCACCAGGAGGAGCCCACATCACGGGCTTCGCACACAGTCTGGATGGCTCACGAGCTTGAGGCGACGTTCAGAGAACTGGGGATTTCCCAGTACCTGGACGCTTTCGTGGACCAGGGGTTTGACACATGGGATACCATCCTCGATATTCAGGAATCGGATCTGTAAGTGTCACGCTCGACTCGCGATGCCACCATACTGACTTTCCTTGCAGTGATGCCCTGGGCGTGAAATTAGGCCATCGAAGAGTACGCTTTTCACCAGCAAGTGACGTGGAATCAAAAGCTAACAGTATCAAGAAACTTCAACGCCGCATCGCAAACGCTCGTGGCCTTGCTCCTAGCATCTCCTTGTCCAACAAGCAGAACACAAATGATGGCAAGAGAGAAGGTTCACGCGCGGCATGCGACCGGAGCGAGCCCGGCGCAGACGGATCTACCGCCGTCAAGCGCAAATATCGCCGGCACCCAAAGGTATGCTAACCTTGCATCGGTGACATCACATTCAGCTGACGCCACTAGCCTGATGAGAATGCACCTGAGCGGCCACCATCTGCCTACGTGCTCTTTTCCAATAAAATGAGGGACGACCTCAAGGGCCACAACCTGACCTTCACAGAAATCGCCAAGCTGGTCGGCGAGAACTGGCAGAGCCTCCCACCCCATGACAAGGAGGCTTATGAAAGCCAAGCCAACGCTGCCAAGGAGAAGTACCACCGCGACCTGGCCCAGTACAAGAAAACACCAGAGTACCGAAAATACCAGGTTTATTTGCAAGACTTCAAGGAGAAGCAAGCCAAGCAGAGTCAAGGTAAACACCTGCTTGCCTCCGGCATCTCCTCTTCGAGGTGCTGACACTTCGTAGATGCGAACAAGAGATCGAGGGTAGAGCCAACGAGGCTCCGCCACGGCAGTACTAGCAGCAGCGCAGCAACGGGGACCACCATGTCGAGCAGCAGTGGCATCAGCACGAGGGGCAGTGGAAGTAGCAGCGAGCGCATAAACGGGAGCGAACCGCCACCTACGCGGCAGGAGAGGGTCAACTCGTTGGGTTCTATGTCGCATAACGGGCACGAGATGCAGCCGTCGCCCAGGACCGCCAACTTTGACTTCAACACCCCCAACGGGCGGAATGGAGGTCGGCAGAACCTACCCTCGCTCTCAGACATGCTGGAAGACGGGGAGACAGCGGTATTACCGGCACCAGGAAGTGGGAGTGGTTACACGACATCCGGCTTTGTGCCCGCGAATGGCCGGCGTCCTATGCCAGAAGCACATCGAGTGCCATTGTTGCGTCACCAGCAATCGTCGACGGACAGCAGTGTTTCCGCCGGATCGACCAGTTCAATGAGCAGTTATGGGCGCGCATCGGGTGACGGCTCTCTACCTATCCACGCACTTCTGTCGAACCGATCAGGAGCTGCGCACCCGCCCATGCCCGACCACAACTCGTCGCCTACCTTCAGCACCGCGTCGAGCCCGACCTATACAGCTGGACCCCGAGGGTACGGTATGTCAATGACCCACCATGGTGCCTCGAATCTTTCTCATACTAACACCGCGACGGCAGGGTTTCAATCCGCGCCGTCTGCGCTCCAACACTTGAAGATTGAGGAAGCCAATGGTGGTGATGTTGTGATGACGTCGCCGACCCCTTCCGGCGCTGCCCCCAAAGATTCTGGCAAGGACAACCTGGACGGGATGAGCGCTCTCCTCAGGGCTGGCGAAATCGTTGGACGCAGGACATCCGACTAGTTGTCTATATTCACGACTAAACGACATGGTCTGCGGCAGCGGACATAACTTGCTTCCTTTTGCGCTGCATACGACGGCATTGTATTCCCCGGGGGATGATTGTTGTGATTGCGCCCGTGGTTTTCAACAGGCAGCGCGGTACGGCATTATGTTTTTGATCAAAAAGGGTTGTAAGGGAGGCGAATTTGCAAGCATTATTGAACCAAAGCTTGGCATACGGCGTTCAAGGGCATACACATATCTACGGAGGCGTTCAGGAAATTTTGCGATTTTGGGGGGGAGGTGGCTCACACTCTTGTCTTGACGACAGATGACGAAATTTGGGGGAGTCTTGGTCCGGCATTGGTACATGAACGTTTTCTAGTCCTTTTGGATTGCGTCGTTTACAGGAGTGGGAATACGTCAATGACGAATGGGTACCTGTTGTACATTTGCTTTACATTGCTTTACTGCAACGAGAGAGTAATCCATAGTCTGTGGGGGTATGAGAATCCAAAATGGGAAACGTTGAACGAGCTGAGCCGCAACGTGCTAAGCTACGTCCGCAGAACACAACGATCACGCCGACCGTATCGTGCACTTGTTCGCTTATTACTATATTAGGTAATTGTGTCCCTCATTAGTAAGTAACTACAAGTAGTTTATGTCTCCACGAGTCGGAAGCTTCTTAGACCTGCAGATACCGCGTGTGGTGAAGAGGCTGACGTCATGGCGCAGCGCCACGACGCCGCAGCCGCAGATCCAATTCCAGGGCAACTTTGCAAAGGACCCACATCCACGCGATGATACTCAGGTACCTTAGCTTCAAGCTTGTTCGTGAATTGAAGCTATCGAGACTCCGTGCGCGGACGACCCCAAACACTAATTAATCACCACAGTGTATGCAAGCAGACACTCGGGAGCAGTCGAGCAAAAAAAAAACAAAAAAAAAAAAAGGGTTGATGTTCACGGCACACTTCACATGTGTGTAAACCACTGCCTGTCCCCTTCCCCTCGAAACACGCCTTGCTACCCAATGACCGAGGACAGAGTCACAGCTCGACCAACCCAACTATGTCTCATGTGCGTATGTAGGGGTAAATATAACAAGGCCCAGAGTCATACAGTTCGTTCATCACATCATTTCAAGCGCGTGCAATCCCAACTCCTCATCACGCCCTTCCTCTGATCAATGATCACCTTCTGATACCTCTGCCGTCCAGTCTTTGCGAATGGTGAGCTCTCTCAAGTCTGGCGTCTTCTCAATCACAAGGCCCTTTTCGTTGGCCAGATGCAGAAGAGAGATGAAGCAGAACGACGTGGAGATATCGGCCATCTTCTCCTTGTCATATGCAGATTGCAAGCCATTCATGACATTGGTGAATTTGAGCGTTGGGTCATCCGCGGTAGAGGAGGCTTCTGACCCTTCTTGCGCTGGCGGTTGTCGATCTGCGGGAGGTTCCTGGGCCTTGTCAGCTTCATCCTCTGATCAAAGTATGTGCGCCTAATCGTGACTCACCTCAAGTTTGTCAAAAGCCATGCCGCGCCATATCTCCTCCTTCAGCCGTCGTACGTCTACCTTTTTCGCTACGCGCGCAAAGTTGACATATTCTGGCCGCACTCTCCTCGTCGACGTGATGAGGTGTGTGCCGTACGCTCCATTAGCCGCGTTTGTCGTATCCCCTCCTAGGAGAGCAGTGATGCCCATCCCCTGTGTCATGGCCAAATCACCCTCGGGAGAGAAGTGCTCCCTGGCATCGGCAAACTCCAGGTCCTCATCATCGAGATCGTCACCTCCAGCAAAAGGCATCGCGTCATCTTGGAAGAAGTTGGCGTCGTAGTCGCCCGTCGGTATCGCCGCCAGGTCATCTTGAGGCGCATTCTGCCGCGCCCAGAACGCCTCATCCATGTCACCCGCTTGCGCAGCATCTTCATGCGCATGGCCGAAGCCAGCTTTGCCGCCACCGAACCCCAGTCTCTTGCGACCAATGCGTGCTTTGGGCTTGAGGAACAAACTGAGCAGTGATTTCGAGCTGAAGTGTTTGTCGTCGGGGAGGAGATTCCTTGATTTAGATTTCCAGTCCTTCTTGGGCATGCTGATAGTCGCATTGGACGAGGCCTGTGTGTATAGTATATCGTAAGTGTTGGTGTCGAATGGCGCCGCAAAATCGATCTCAAACGGCTCCTTCTCCTTCCGCTTCTTGGTCTCGGTAGCTGGCTTGTCTCCATCTTTGATCTTGCGGATTCTCCAGTGTTCGGCACTTGACCAGTTCTTCTGGAGCGCTTGGTCGAAGAAGCTCAGAATGTCGTCCTGCAAGCGCTCGTCTTTACGCCCCTTGGGCATGGTCACGGCAAAATCCGCATTATCATCGAACCCGTCGCCTTCGCCATCCTCACCGCCAAAGCCAGCGTTGAAGGGTCGCATCTGCGGCTCCAGATTGGCTTCCCGAGCCCAGGCTTGACCGCCCTCGCCAAATGATACGTCGCCGCCAATGTCGAAGCTGCCCAGTCCAAGATCATCGTCGTCGAACGCGTTGTCGCCCTCAATGACCATGCCAGACTCGTCGCCAAAGGCACCAGGTGTCTTCTCCTTCTCCTGATCTTTCCAGTCATCGAGAGCATTGAGGAAGGGGATGTCGGTGGTGCCTGACGGATTGCCAAGATCAAAGGTTTTCAGGGAAGGGCACACGTCGAGCTCATCCAGCCGGCTGAGGTCGGGGAAGAATCGCTGGCGAATAGCATTCAGATCGATCTCGACATTGGCTTCGTCGTCGTCTTCATCCAACTCGGGAACCTCCACGTCTTGGCCGAGGTCCATCTTTGACACGTGCATCGACTCGTCTTCGGCTTGCGTTTGATCCCCCATTTCTTCATCGTCCTTCTCCTCGTCCTTCCTACCAATGGCGGCCTCATCCACCGAGTCGTCACTGCTGTCGAATACAATGCGACCCTGAGAGTCGATCATGAGGTGATTGAGTAGTAGGCCCTTCGCCCCACCTTCGTCGAAGTCGGCAGATGCCTTCTTGAAGAGCGGGTCAACTGAGAACTCCAGTTCAAACTTCTTCAACTGTATTGAGGCAAACGAAGGCGCGAGTGTGGCTTCGGAGCGTGCCGACTGTCGGACCTGTTAGCACACTGTACCAGGTGGTCTTGGGGCCTCCATTCAGACCAACCTTCTTCTTGGGTTTCTTCTTCGGATTGCCGTCCTCATCCAGGTCATCCTCGTCTTCGTTCTCGCCTTCAGCTTCCGCCCCATCGTGGTCCTTTTTCTTGTTGCTGGCGCTGTCTGCCAGGCCGCTCAGCAGCTTGCCCGTCTCTGTCGCAACACTGTCAATTCGGTTGGTGTAGATCTTTACGCAGCCGTCGAGCGTGCAGCTGGCCTTTTGAAAGTTGACGCCGTCGCCTTCCTTCAGCAGGGACATGTCGTGGAAGTAGTCAATGAGCGCAAAGTTCCAGGAGTTTGTCGCGTTGATCTTGTTGTCCGTCGCCATCTTCATCCACTCCTCAAAGTTGGCTAGGATAGGGACTCGCTTCATAGGCGTGACCCCAGAGCCCACGACCATGGCATCGTCATCGTCCTCCAGCAGCGTCGGTCTCGATCCCCGCGGGGTCCTGGGGTCGGACCCTGGGGATGCATTCTCGCGGTCCTCCAGTCTGACGCTGCTCTTGCGCGGCGTAGATGCCGCTGCTCTAATCTCGTTGTATTGTCGCTCGTGGAGGGCCTTGCGCGAGTTCATTCGTTGGCCTCGTTCTTGCGCATCGTCATTGAGGGGTATCCTGCTCGTTGAGTAGCGGTCAGCACGACAGGAACCCTAAGCGCATTTACTTCACGGTGACTGTATGCGCAAGGCCTACTGTGATTTATTACGTACTTGATTGGCGACTTGAAGGGCGATGCCGCTGAGCCAGACGTCGACTTGACGTTGCCAGCACGGGGCACTTGGGCGACTCGAGGCATGCTTAGTGCGAGAGGAAGGGTAGGGTAAGAGTCCCCTTTGATATTATTGTTTGTGTTCGATGTGTTTCGTGATGCGGAGCCCGGCCGCAGGGAATCGCTCGTGCACCACAGCAAGCGCTGCGGGCAGAAATGCAGTTGTGGACTGGTTTGCTGCAGCGACTGGGGGCCGGTGGGCAGCGCGCGTCGTCACGGTCTGGTAGTGAGCGGCGTTGCGCGGGACTTGAAAGTAAACAAAAATAAAGCCGGACCTTGCTTACCCTACGGCAAGGTACAAGTAGGGGGCTACCTACGCCGTAGTTGAAGGCAATCACGCGCGTCAAGCTCAAACTTTGTTCCGCCCGTGCCTATCTAAACTAGGTAGGTTTGGGCAATGTGGCGGTCGACGCGCCACGCACGGAATGAGGGGTGTTGCGCTCGCTGTGGCGCAGTCTCTGCTGCGCGCCACGCTGTGCGCCTGAACAGGCTAGCACCATTAGTGAAGAATGACGATGCTGAGTGTTGACAGAGGCCTCATTTCACTCAGCCACTCCTTCAAAAACGTCCAGCAGGTTTCGCCCCGGGCAATCCTCGACAACCTACCTATAATAGAGTTTTCAACACCCACGCGATGGTCTAGGGTCTAAGAACCTTCTCTCTTTTACCCAGGCATCGCCCACCGCTCGCTCACCTAGCTGTCTCGCTCCTATCGCTGGCTGGCCTGATATCATGGTTCCGAGGTCCGAACCGCATCGCAATCGACACCCACATCACGCACTAATCTAGTCGCGCTCCTTCACCGGCATATGACAGTCGCATGGCCGGTACAATGAAGACAACAAGGCTGAGGGGGGCTAACCCTAGCGCCCGGCCTTTCTATCTGACGATCTTCCTCATCTCCCTCTTCGCTGCGTACTCTTTCCTGGTGCACGTATATCGTGGTGATGTGATTGATGTGTACGATGGAAGCCAAGACGGTGCGGCAGTGCTCGGCAAGCGCAGCAGCAAACCCGAGTGCATCGACGTGCACCAGGCCCAGGACAAGTGCGCGTTTGTGAAAGAAGTCTGCACGGATGCCGACGCTGGACTCATCCCGTATCTGCAGTTCTACTATTGCGGCATGCCACACGCCCAGGGCATCTCCTTCATCATGCTCCTGGCCTGGCTAGGTTTGCTCTTCACGACCATTGGCATCGCAGCCAGCGACTTCTTCAGCATCAACCTGAGCACTATTGCGACAATTCTGGGATTGAGCGAGAGCTTGGCCGGCGTGACGTTCCTGGCCTTTGGGAATGGATCGCCTGACGTTTTCAGCACCTTTGCCGCCATGAATTCCAACAGCGCCAGCATGGCTGTCGGCGAGCTCATCGGCGCGGCTAGTTTCATCACCGGTGTCGTGGCAGGCTCAATGGCGCTTGTACGGGAGTTCAAGGTGGACAAGAGGACCTATGCCCGCGACATCTGCTTCTTCATCGTGGCTGTCGCGTTTACCATGGTGTTTCTGGCCGACGGCCACCTGCGGTTTTTTGAGTGTTGGATCATGATCGGCTACTACGTCGTCTATGTTGTCACGGTCGTCGCGCAGCATTGGTACCAGGAGCGAAGAAAGCGGCGATTGCGACGCGAGGGCGAAGCAAGAAGCCACGTTTACGGTAGCGTTGGCGCGTATGCCGATGAGCTCGCTGGTGAGCCATACCGCGACGATCCAGACGATGCCGGCGACGGGGGTGCTGAGCACCGAGCTTCCGCGTCCGCCATGGCTGCTCTCGAGCATGGACCGAGGATCGAAGTCGAAGGGCGTCCGGCACCGAGCGAAAGCGATCTCGACGAGGAGTCTGACGAGGAGCACAACCGGCAGATTGCCGCCGAAGTCGCAAGCAGCATGAGAGTACTTCGCACGAGGGGGAAGCGAAGCAACACTATCAATCCCATCCGGCCCAGTCTAGTGGGTGCTCTAGAGTTCAGGTCGGCATTGGCCCAGCTACAGAAGGAGAGCAACCTGAAGCTATCCACCATGCATGGCCATGGCCGCAGTCTTTCTGAGGCGCACCTCCCAAGCCGAGGCCGGCGACGAACAACAACAGATGCGCCAACCGACATGAGCAAAACGACGCCGCTTGCTGCTGCGCAACAAAGCAAAGACCAACACGGACGAGGTAGGGCCTTGTCCTCCGGGAATGCGCCTACCTACATGACTCTACCTCCCGAGCTGCTCGCGTCCAGCGGGCCTGCCCGACCACCCCAAACTGAGACAAACACTGGTGGCAGCAGTCAACGTAATATGAGCCCAACACCTTCCATGGGGACGTACACGATTGGCGGCAACCTGGCACCTCCTCCTGCCGGTCTCGGGCCCCCATCAACGGGCTCAGTGAGCCCATTGAGCGGCGCACCAGCAGCGGCACCGACGACGCCGGGGAGTCTGCATTTACAGATCCCCAGCCGGCGTAGCAGCCAGAGCGGCGGCTCGTCGCCAGTCTCTCCGTTTCCCATGTACACAGATTCGCCTGCTGTGCTCACGCCTCACCCGCACATGGAACATGGGGGCTTCATGCTGCCTGCGCCCGTGCAACGCGAGGCGTCGTTCCCGGGCTGGCACACGCCCGTCTTGGCACCGCGTCCAGTCAGGTGGTGGCCCTACTCAGCACTCCCGCCACCGCACATTCTGCTGGCGACACTGTTCCCGACACTGCAGGGTTGGAGGGAAAAGACTATATGGGACAAGATCGTCAGCTTGATCTCCGTTCCAAGCATATTCTTGCTGGTAATTACTCTACCCGTCGTGGAGAGCGAAACGACTGAGGACGAGTCGGAGATTGGCCAGGCTGTAGACATGCCTCACAGCCATTGCTCTATTGTCGGTCACGTTGCGCCATCAGTGTCCCTCGAGCCCCAGGCGATCGAACATGAAACAGAATGGGAGCGATATCGAAGGCATACCCTGGTTAGGAACGACAGCTACCAGTCGATCGCAGGTACAGCGCCAACGACTCCTTTGCTCCCAGAGGAAACAGACGCGACCGGGCGAGCCGTGCCAAATGGTACCTACATGGATGGCCCGTCGCCCCACGTACCCCAGGTGGTCTCTCAAGCGCCGTCTAGTAGTCATGCAAACGACGAGACCATTTCGTGGAATAGGTGGCTCGTTTGCCTGCAGCTCTTCACGGGCCCTCTGTTCAGCGTATTTGTGCTCTGGGCCAACTTACTTGAGGACTTTGAGAGACCAGGCAAGGCGCTACTCACCATGGTGCTTTACACGCTCCTTGTGTCGACAACAATCCTGGGGGTCCTGTTGCTGTTCACCAGTGAGCATCGGAAACCCAAGTACCACTACTTTCTCTGCTTTTTGGGCTTCATCATCAGCATTGCGTGGATTTCGACTATAGCGGGGGAAGTCGTTGGCGTGTTGAAGACGTTCGGCGTCGTACTGGACATCTCAGAAGCCTTGCTAGGTCTGACCATTTTCGCGGCCGGCAACAGCGTGGGCGACTTGATTGCGGACATCACCGTGGCGCGCCTGGGCTATCCCGTGATGGCGCTGTAAGTTTTTCTTGCCCCGAGTTGGACGCAGCATGTGCTAACACTCTGACAGATCCGCCTGCTTCGGCGGGCCCATGCTCAACATCTTGCTTGGGATAGGCATCGGGGGTGTGATCATGATGGTTCAGAAGGCCAACAAGAAGCAGAAGAAACACCCGGGAAAGCTGGTCAAGTATGGGCCCTACCCAATCCAGGTAGGCGGCACCCTTATGGTCTCAGCGATCACGCTCCTTGTCATTCTCGTGGGTCTGCTTATTGCGGTGCCCATGAACAAGTGGGTGCTGAGTCGCAAGATTGGGTGGATCTTGATTGCGCTTTGGTGCGTTAGCACCGTGGTCAATGTGGTCGTTGAGCTGACAGGCATCTGGGGTGATGTGGCATGAGAACGTGCTCTGTAGATTCGTATCATATATCAAAGTGTACATAGCGTCGAGGGCGCTGCTTCGATAGCAGTCAATAATAAGTTCAGTCTGTGTGACCATGAGTACGAAACGGCTTGATGCAGGGCCAGGCAGCAAGCAGTTCCCGGACCCCTTCCCCCCCCCCCCCCCCCCCCCAAACCTCAAGAGGGGCAGGGTAGGCACGGTCAACACAGCCTAACTAACATAAGTTAGCTCCTGCCCCGCGCGTCAGCTCCTAGTCAGTCGGTCTATACGTAGCCCGTCCCTCCAGCTCACCTTTTACATCCTCACTCGGGCGGCCACAATCTCCATTGTCTCCCTGAGTCTGGCGAAACAACTGCGAATTTCACTCTTTCAGTATTCAAATCGACTTCACCGTCATCATGTCCGTCGCGCCCACCTTCCCTCCGCTCGACGCCCGTCCTTACAAGGACACCATCTGTCTCTTCGATGTCGACGGACCCCTGACTCCAGCTCGTCGCGTATGGCTTTACCTCCCCTTTGGCCCCTCCCCTGCCATTCCACTACTTTGTGAGGAAGAAACAACCTTCTGACCCAACCTTTCTTCACAGGAGGCTTCGCCCGAAACCCTCGCTCTCCTCGCCGCCCTCCGCCAGAAATGCGCCATTGGCTTCGTCGGCGGTTCCAACCTCGTCAAGCAGGAGGAGCAGCTCGGCAAGCCCGCCGGTGTCCCCGTCACGACCCTCTTTGACTTTTGCTTTTCCGAGAACGGCCTCACTGCGTACAAGCTCGGCCAGGAGCTCGAGTCGACCAGCTTCATCCAATGGCTCGGCGAGGACCGGTGGAAGGAGCTCGCCAACTTCTGCCTGCACTACATTGCCGACCTGGACATCCCCGTCAAGAGGGGCACCTTTATCGAGTTTCGCAACGGCATGGTGAACGTGAGCCCCGTGGGCAGGAACGCGTCGAACGAGGAGCGTCTGGCTTTCAACGAGTACGACAACGAGCACAAGGTGCGCGAGAAGTTCGTCGCGGTGCTCAAGGACAAGTTTGGACATTTAGGTTTGACGTGAGTGACCACAGCTTGCAGCAGCCCGCTCCCGCCCCCAACCCTCTTGCCTAGCCCCTTGGCTGTTTGGTCACGTTCGCCCTGCTAAGATTGTTTATCACTACACAGTTTTGCCATTGGCGGCCAGATCTCCTTTGACGTATTCCCGAACGGCTGGGACAAGACCTACTGCCTTCGCCACCTCGAGGCCGACGCGAAAAAGGGCGGCATCGAATACAAGACCATCCACTTCTTCGGCGACAAGACGAGCCCTGGAGGAAACGACTACGAGCTCTACGAGGACCCACGCACTACTGGGCACACCGTGACCGACCCGCAGGATACCATTCGCCAGGTCAAGGAGATCTTTGCCGATCTGTAAAATGGAGATGATACCCATCGGGATAGAGAATCCCGATACGGTAGGCTAAACGCAACGCCACAATCAATTCACGAAGACATGATGCCATGAAGTTTGACTTGATTTGCCCCACAATGCGTTGCATGTTGTCTAGAAGAGTGTATGTGGTGTATCCAAAATGAAGTTGAATCGCTACCTGTGATGAGGATGCCATGCAGGGAATGAACAAGAATCGGGCCCCTACCGTCCAAACTCGAGATGGGGTATAATGACAGGCCCGTACTTGGTAGGCGCAGTGTAGGCACCATCGCCCTGCACCACAAAGTCGACGGCCAGGCTGAGCTTGGACTGCCCCTGCTGGCCGCTGCCAGCCAAGCTGGGATTCGGGCTGAAGGGAACTTGATTCTGCTGCTGCGCCGCCTCTTGATCAAAGGCAACAAAGGCGGCGTAGTTCCTCCGACCAATGAGCTTCTTGAGCTCGCGAGCAGTACCGCTTGCGTCGTTGTGGAAGATCTCCATCATATCTTCCTTTGTATCCGTGACCTCGTGGGTCGACTTTTGCCCATTCGGCGGTACGTAGAGCGTCTTTTGGTTGTGTAGCATCTTGAGGACGTAGTTGCTCTGAGGTGCGGCGACGATGGGCGAGGTGATGACTTGATACATTGTCTTGTGATCACCTGGATGGGTAGGGTCGTGGACCAGACCAGCGCCAGCAGCGTTGACATCTGCAAACGTGATTAGTACAAGTGCCTAACAGGCAGGGGGACGAAGCTCACCTCCGGACAGGAATGTCATGCGTATCCCCTTTTCCCGCGCAATCCCCTGAAGGGTGCGGATAAAGTACGTCCGCTCCAGGTCCTTCGTCTCGTGTGTCCACAAATCCTTCAGCACCTCCTGGATGTCGAGCTCACCAAATTGGTTGAGCACGTTGCCCATGAGACCAGTCTTCCCCACGGCCTTCTTCACATGCGTGAAGCCTTGTGCCACCATATCCTTTTGACCGACAACCCCGGCGACCGAGCTGGTGACCTTGCCCAAAATGTTATATGTCGTGTTGACGGCCTTCTTGCCCGCCGCAACTGTGTTCGCCAGACTCTCAACGGTGTCGAGACGAGGATAGACTAACGGCACTGATACCATCCAGACACAGTGCTGCACGCTTGGTGGGAGGGTAGCGATTTTGGGGAACAAGCCTTGATATGTCGGCCCTGCCATGACCCGAGCTTGGCTGCGCTCGGAGCGGCAATCCGGACCGACGACAACCATAGCTGGACCAAGATGTTTCACAAAGTGCCAGCCCGTTCCGGTAACTGTAAAGATGTCATTGTCGGTGCTGACATTGCGCATCAGGTCGGCAGTGGTGTGGTGTTGGAACAGGAGATATAGGTCGGTGGCGATTCGGCCAATGTTCTTGAAAATGGGCGAATTCTGCATGTAATCAGGGTATGAACCATAGCCATCGAAACTGTCAGAGGTCAGCGTCCAGTTCTGTTTCCCGAGGACGTGGTGTAACGCACATGTCATGGTCGTCAATCTGCAAGATATGGGGGATCTGGGCAAATGCCTCTCGGAGGAACGGCTGATCAAAGTGACTGGTGTAGTAGTGGAAGTAGGCGTGCGTCACATCCTCCTCGTGCCGCGCGGTCCACTGGGTATTCTTCCTGTTTTCCCTGCCACTCATTGCGAGCCATTGTCTGAGTATTGGGACCTCTTTCCAGAGTCTGTCACCATAGATCTGATCACCCAGGCCGAGCTGCACGTGAAACCCGTTGCAGTCGACGTTCTTCTGCAGAACGTCTTTCCACATGAACCCTACACCTCCTAGCTTGGCTCGCTCATTCTGGGATGTTGTACCGGCGAAATCGTTACCAGAATGGGCGATAAAGCGCCAGTTGGTCTCATAGCGTCCTGCGACCACGAATTCGTACCTAGTGCATCCCATGTGAGAGGTGACAGCGTACGTCCAGCGCTCGGTGCCACCTTCGCCCATCGGCAGATCCATCTCGTACTTATAAAACGACCATCGCTGGTGTGTATGTATGACCCGTGGCTCCAGCTGCCTTGGGTTAGGAGAGAGATCCATACTCAAATGCAAATGGATAGTCGGCGGCTGGGGTGCATCGGTGACAATGAGAATGCTGCCGAGCCAAAGACCCTTCTCCATGTCCATGTTTCCATATCTTAAGTAGGGTCCGAAGTAGACACCGTTTGTGGGTTGGATCCTGTACATGTCCACTCCAGCGCTGGGCGGCGGACCGGAAAAGCCTACCGTTGACGGCGCCTGGCTCTGTGCGACACTCATGATGCTTTCTGCATAGACCGGCGTGTGAGGAGCGAACATTGGTGATGCGAGATTCTGCTTGCCAAACATGGGCGATGCCAATGGATTGCCATATGTCGATGCCGTAGGGGAGAGAGGCGTCTGTTCGACTGTGATGGGGTTGGGGCCTTTTGGAAACTCCCACTGGGTGGCTTGGGTCGGCAGATGGATATAGTAGTATTGGCCCGAGTTCTGGTCAAGATGTGCTATCCATCCCTCCGGTAGAGGCGGCGGAGATGCAGGATGTTGCTGAGCGGTAGGCGTAGGCGCAACCACCTGTTGTGAGCTGCTCTGGCCATTCTGCTCGTGGGTTGGGTCATTGGCGAAGGCGGGATGGCCAGGGTGCTGCAGGGCTGGGGAAGCCAGTCCAGACGCAGCGATAGAGGCCTGGGTTTTGGCTGGTGAAGCACCGTTGATCTGTGGCTGCTGTCCGCTGCTGCTACCTTGCCCTTGCTGCTGCTGCTGCTGCTGCCCGGGTTGCTGTTGCTGTTGCTGTTGCTGCTGCTGCTGTTGTGGTCGCCCCTTTTCTTGGGGGTACTCTGAGTTGCCACCGGGATTCACGCTTGAGTAAGCAGGAGGAGGAGAGCTTGTACCCAAGCGTTGGAAGTCCTGCTCAAGGACGCTGGTCTGAACGGGCTGGCCGCCAGGGTTCTGAGACGAGGGTTGAGGCGGGGGGCTGAACGACTGCCTGTTGTTGCTCTGCGGGCTAGCAACAGGATTGGCGCCTTGATACACGGTCGGCGGACCCGACGGGGCTTGATCTGGAGACTCTGTGGGCGTCCACGGCCGATGGGGTTGGGGCCTTTGGTTGCCGTACTGCGCCAATCTTGAGGCAGCCGCAGCGCTCTGCGCCTGGGACGCTTGAAGACCGGTAAGAGTCGCATTGCCCGAGATGCCAGCAGCCGCATATCGAGCCTCTATACCGCCGCCGGGAACGTTGCCAGGCTCGACTATGGGCGTTTCGGGTGGCGGTGGGGAGCCGCGGCTTGCGCGCGTCGTAGAGATGGAGTCGAAGCGGTTCACCGAGTCGTTCATGTTGCCCGTTGGTCTCGACGCGGCCCCAGCCGACGCGCCGCCTGGAGGAGGGTAGTATGCCTGCTTCTGGTAGCTGGGGTAGTTGGTTGTAGATGCTGGCGGTTGCGATTGCGCCTGCAGTGGCCGCGCGAATAGATCCTGGTCGTCTTCGGGGCTTGTTGGGGAGGCGATAGGCTTGGGTGCAGTGCCCCTCCGCTCAGCCAGACCCGGCTTCTTGTCCACGGGACTCTCCAAGCGGAAGCTGGTGTCGACGTAGGACCTCTGCGCTTGCAAAGGCGAAGGTTTTCGAACGTCGTCGTCCTCTGGGAACACGAGGGGTGCCGCAGAACTAGAAGCGCCCGGTGGTAACTGGAAGGGGGATTTGGCAGCCGGCGACGAGGATGAAGGAGGGGCAGGGTAGCGTACAGCAGCTGGTCTCTCAGCCGGTGTTGGGCTTTGTGGCTTGTAGATGCGTAGTGGGCCTACGGTAGGGCTGTCGCCTCCATCTCCTCCCGAGGATGTGTGGTGTTGATTCGGGTCCATGGCGATTTGAGAAGTTGGTGCTTGTGATTTCAATGTCGAGCCGGAGGGCCTGCCGCGTCACCTACGCCAGACTGCAGGAGCACGCAAGCCAATGGCGAAGGCGTCAGTGCACAGCTTATGCAGGTTGTTCGTTAGAAGGCCAACTTTGAGGCCGCCTGAGGGCTTCTTTCCAACCTGGCTCCTCACTAACTTACTTGGCCCGCGTTGGCCAGGACGAGATCCAGGGACGCGATGGGGGGGCAGAGTGGCCGATGAGCGGGGTCGATATGGGGGTTGCGATGCAGGTCGCATGAACGGTCGCTTTGGAACGGATACTATGGCGAAACTCGTGCCAGCGTTGGTTGAGGTGGTCGTGAAGTAAGATGAAACGAAATATAATCGTCGAGATCGGCCAGGACAGACGAAATACACAGGCAGGACGGTGCTGCTCGCGCCCTCCCCATGAGCTGACGCAACTAGCATTCACAGCTCAAAGGCTTGGCAAAGAGATGGACCTCTCACGGCGGCAAAAACGCCGCCCAAGGTCCAAAGAGATGCATTTCCTCGAGTCTGGCGCCTGGAGGCCCCGTTCGGTTGCACATCTGCAGAGGGTGCAGCTCTCTCAGTTGGTGGACGCCTTCGGTGATTGGTCCATGGAGCTCTTGATTGTCCTGTAAGCGCCCGGAACTCGACAGCGACTGACAAACCCTGTGGAAGCGCCGGACCAGTCTGGAGCCAAGAAGATAGGGGTAGGGTAGAGTGATTGGCATGGCCAACATAGCTGGTATGGCGATGGGAACGTTGCTGGCGGGTTTGTGGGCATTTTCTCAGCAGCAATTCGGCCTCGAGGTCAAGGCAGCGACTGGAGAAGCGGAGGAAAGGTCGATCGGGACCCAGCTTGAAGTTGCGTAGTAGCACGGCAGGTACACGTACGTACCTGGGTTCCTGAAGGCTAGGCCCTGACCGGCAGGTGTGCGGGTCGGCCTGGACGCGACCCTCCCGCTGCGCTACGCTACTTCGGGACGTCTTAGGGAAATAACACATCCGTACTGCGAAGATACTTGTCCTAAGCGTATCACACAAAGTTCCTGGGACGACTGAGTTGCGAATCGGGTACAGGATTCTGACCGCGCAATCTGCTCAGGGTGCAGAACATGAACCACCAGGATTTTCCTCGGAGCCACAGCCAGGCACTTGAGGTGCCACTGCCCAAGTGCACCGCACCAGATGTCTCAACCTAAAATGAGGCTACCGGGGGGGACAAAAGCGGGCACTGAGGATCCCACTTAACGCGTCCGCTCGACTGCAAGACGTCGCGACGCGATTTGAGCGTCACCCACCCAGATGCATCAAGAAATCTGGACGAGCCAGATCCCACGGTTATCGCCGTCATGGCACCGCCCTCGGAGAAGAAGCAAAAGTCTTTGACGTCCTTCTTCACTCCCAAAACCGTGAATGGGCTGGCTGCTGCCTTCCAGAAACAATCACAGTCGCCAATACAGTCTACAGCGACACAAGAAGATGAGTCCCTACGCAAACGACAGCGCGAGAAACCGAGCGATGAACCAGACGACCGAAATACAAACGGCGCCAAGAAGACGAAGATTGAAAACAAGCCCCAACCAGATGTCGACCTGACCTCATCCGCCAGAGCAGACCGATTCCTTCATACCGAGTACCCGAATGGATCAGCGGAACACAACAGCAAAGGCGACGACAATGCTGATGTTGATGCCGAAACTAGACGCATCAACCAGGAACTACATAGAAAATTTGTGAAAAAGCTTGGCCACCCGGATGCGATGGCAGGGCGCTGGGGCGGCGGCAAGTCTGAGCCAGCTGGGGATGATGACAACGCCGAAGGTGAAGATGACGATGACGAACCGCCGCCGCCGTCAAAGACAAAGAAAAAGGGCTCCAAGACGGGAAAGCTCACTCCGATGGAGATTCAGTTTCTTGACATCAAGCGCAAACACATGGATACGCTCCTAATCATGGAGGTCGGCTATAAGTTCAGATTCTTCGGCGAGGACGCCCGAATAGCGGCGAAAGAACTCAGCATAGTCTGTATACCAGGGAAGATGCGGTACGATGAACGTGAGTCGTGACGTGCTTCTCGCTCTTTTGCTCGACTGATGTCCCCCCAGATCCTTCAGAAGCACATCTAGATCGGTTTGCATCTGCTAGTATCCCAGTCCATCGTCTGCCTGTCCACGCGAAGAGGCTGGTTGGTGCTGGTCACAAGGTCGGCGTCGTGCGACAGATCGAAACTGCGGCTCTGAAAAAGGTCGGCGACAACCGCAACGCCCCCTTCACTCGGAAGCTCACCAACCTCTACACCAAAGGGACGTACGTGGACGAGGTCGGAGAACTTGACCACCAACCAGAAAGCGGAGCTCCATCCGGGGGCTACTTGCTTTGTCTGACTGAGACGAAAGCGAAAGGTTGGGGTACCGACGAAAGGGTCGACGTCGGAATCATCGCAGTGCAGCCTGCGACTGGCGATATCATCTACGACAACTTTGAAGATGGTTTCATGCGGAGCGAGATTGAGACCCGCCTGCTGCATATCTCTCCTTGTGAATTCCTCATTGTGGGCGAGTTGACAAAGGGGACAGAGAAGCTTGTTCAACATCTGTCGGGCACCAGTACCAATGTCTTTGGCGATAGGAGCCGGATGGAGCGCGTGCCCCGGAGCAAGACCATGGCTGCCGAGTCCTACTCACACGTCGCTCAATTCTACGCCCACAAAGTCCAGCAAGCTTCGCGAGACGACAAGGCCAGTGCGCTGTTGGATAAGGTCCTCAAACTCCCCGAGCCAGTCACAATCTGCCTTTCCGCCATGATCAATCACCTCAAGGAGTACGGATTACAGCACATCTTCGATCTGACAAAGTACTTTCAGAGTTTCACCACACGCTCACACATGCTTCTCAACGGTACAACACTTGAAAGCCTCGAAGTGTACCGCAACTCTACAGACCACGTTGAGAAGGGCAGCCTCTTCTGGGCGCTCGACAAGACTCACACCAAATTCGGCCGCCGACTCCTCCGCAAATGGGTCGGGCGCCCCTTGCTTCATATCGAGCAGCTGCAGGCCAGGCTGCAAGCTGTTGAAGAAATGCTTTCCAAGCAGTCCACTGCCCCCGTCGAGCAGCTCGAGAAACTGCTGGTGCACACCAGGGGCGACCTCGAGCGCAGTCTCATCCGCATCTACTACGGCAAATGTACCCGGCCAGAGCTCGTATCCGTTCTTCAGACGCTGCAACGCATCGGGACGCAGTACGCCAGGATGGATACAGCTGCCGACACACCGTTTGATTCGTCCCTGATCAACGACGCCATCTGCGCCATACCTCGCATCCTCCCGTCTGTCACTTCGCATCTGGAAAAGATCAATTATCGTGCGGCCCAGGAGGATGACCGCTACGGATTCTTCCGCGAGGAGCACCAAAACGAGGACATTCAAGACCACCAGATGAACATTGCCCATGTGGAGTACGAGCTGGACCAACATCGAGTTGTCGCAGCTGAAAAGATCAAGAAGAAGAGTGTGGAATACGTGACAGTCGCCGGCATTGAGTACTTGATTGAGATATCGAATACCGACATTAAGCATGTCCCTGCCTCGTGGGCCAAAGTCTCAGGGACCAAGAAGGTGTCACGCTTCCATACCCCTGAAGTTATCCGCTTCACCATCGAGCGGGACCAGCATCGCGAGTCTCTGGCAGCCGCTTGTGACAAAGCATTCAAAGATCTACTCGCTGCCATATCCTCCGACTACCAGCCGCTCCGTGATGCCGTCTCCGCTCTTGCATCTCTCGACTGTCTCCTTTCGCTAGCCAAGGTGGCCGCCCAGCAAGGCTATTCAAAACCGACCTTCTTACAAGACGACACGGAGCCTACAATATCGATACAAAACGGCCGCCACCCCATTGCCGAACACACTCTTGAGTCGGGCTACATACCATTCACAACAACCCTCGCGCACCCAGCTCCCTTGGCCCACCTTATCACGGGCCCCAACATGGGCGGCAAATCCTCCTTTGTCCGGGCGACGGCCCTCCTGGTACTTCTCGCGCAAATAGGATCCTTTGTACCGGCGGATGCCATTCAACTCACTCTTTGCGACGCGATACACACAAGGGCCGGTGCGCGCGACAACCTCTTCGCGGGCGAGTCGACATTCATGGTTGAAGTGTCGGAAACCGCACGCATCCTTCGGTCCGCCACACCTCGCTCTCTCGTCATCCTCGACGAGCTAGGTCGCGGCACCAGCACGCACGACGGCGCGGCCATTGCGCAGGCCGTCCTGCAGCACGTCGTCACTGAGATCAAGTGCCTCACCTTGTTCATCACGCACTACCAGAACCTCGCGCGCGTCGCCGAAGGCCTAGACGCAGTCAAGAACGTGCACATGAGGTTCACAGCGGAGAAAGGCGACGACGGAGATGAGGAGATCACATTCTTGTATGAAGTAGCAGAGGGTGTTGCGCACCGCTCTTATGGTCTCAATGTTGCCCGACTCGCTCGTCTGCCAAGGAAGGTCTTGGATCTGGCAGCCGAGAAGTCTTCCGAAATGGAACATGGCATGAGGACCAGAAGGTTGGGCGGAGCTGCTCGAATGCTGACACAAGCTGTCTCGAGCAATGGAACGGCTGACCACCTGGACCAGCTTATCGCCAGCGTTGAGCAGCTATGAGACGTGTCCTCATATCCACTGCTTGTAAATTGAGTGTAAGGAAAGTAAACCAGATTCATAATACGGAAACCCATTATACATGAACGCCCCCCTAACTTTTGTCTGTGAACCCATATTTGACCCATGCTGAGGCGCGCCGTCGTCCCCCCCCCCCAATACGTCCTAACGATCTGACTCCAAAAAGCTAAACTTCCCTCCTTTCTTTTTAACGATGACACCAGGAACAACAACAAATAGCGCCCGAGTCTTCCCAATACAATGACAAAGCAAAGTTCGCAAGCCCCATATCATGCTTGGCGTGCAGTATAGTATAGTGACCCGGCTTCCGAATGTTCGACTCCGTGATGTGCATCCCCATTGGATCTGGAATTGTTATTAGCGTGCAATGCGTCAGAGTAACTTGTGGCACGTACCAGCCTCAGCCGAGATGTCATAAAGCGAGCACAAAACCATAAATCGCACCCCTTTCCCAAACAATGTGTAAAAAATGGCAGCTCAGAGGCTCATATCCTCGGTGCGGAGGGCATCGGTGATCGTCAAGGGTATGTTCAGGTGATGTTGTTCCCAGGCACTGTGATCCTCGAAGCTGAGACCACCATCCTCGCCCTTGTCCGGATCGCTGCCTATATACTCTGTCGTATTTTCTTCTAACTTGATGCTGTTGTTCGAATCCTCTTGTGACCGACCGCAGGCACTAGTTGTAGAGAGGCTTTGCTCCTGTTCAAGTGCCACAAGCGCAGCGAGTGGCGACATGCCTTGGTGCGTCGAGTCCAGGGGTTGATTAACAAGGCATGTTTTGCCATGTGTCAAAGAAATGTGGGTGCCGTTTGTCGCCTGAGGAAATATCCCCAGTCCGACGCCACACAAACCATCATCGCCCCCAATGTTGCCGAATCTATCGGCCCTCGTGTATGTGACGCCGGGGAGGTGGTAGACACTGTTCAGTCCGTCTATCTGTGGAAACGTATAGAATGAGTTTCGCATGTTTGGTGGATAGTAAAATGTAGGATCGCCGAAGAGATAAGCATCGTCGTGTGGAGTGAATGGTTCTGCTTCTGAATGTTAGTTTACGAGCTTCTCAACAAGGAGTGGCTTTCAACCTGTCCCAAGGATGTTGCTGTTCCCATACTAAGAAGCAGCAGGGAACCTCTGACGGTGACCATGATTTTCGCTCCCATTGAAACCTGTAATCGGGTCTTTGGGGGTCGGTGTTGGAGAAACGAGGTTGTGATGGGACAGCATATTTAAATTGTGAACATTGCATCGCTCTCTGAGGTCGGAGCTGTCGGACCCAGTTAGCTATAGCTTCTCAAAGGTGCTAGGAGATGCTTCTTACTTGTGCTCTCGAGTAGTCGGGACTGCAAATCCTTGGTCATCGAAAGCTGTGAAATGTCAGTCGAGCACCGATACCTGTAGTGACCATGAAGTCTCACCAGGCTTGAGATCTTCGTCGCTGAAGACATCGGGGGTCGGTCGCTGGGATGGAGGCACGAAGGTGGACAGCTCAGGATCGATATCGTGTCCGCCAGCTTTGGTAGGCTTTGCCACGTTTGGCAGTGCACAGCCCTCACGGCGTGCTTGCTTGAGGTTCCGACGTGGAATGTTTACGGACACATCTGCGAGAGCATTGGTCTTCTTCCTCTTGGTGCGGACCGTCTTTTTTTCTGAGACCTTCAAGATCCATGATTAGCCATCAAAGCAGAGAATTTTATGAGAAACACCTTACTGGTTCCACCCCATCCTCATCCGGCGTGAGCTCATCATAAACGTCCTTTGTTCTCGCGAACTCAAAGCCAGGACTGTAGACAACTTGTTCGGAGCTGACACCCTCTGATGTCCTCCGCATCTTCTCAATGACAGATCGTGGCTTTTTCTGGTTCCTGATGCGCTTCATCTCGTCGTTTGCAAGGTCCAACTTTCCCATGCCTGGCCAGATCAGTCCTTTGAGGGACATGGTGTCATCAAGCGTGGTGACATCCTCGGCTGCAACCAGATCATGTTCCGGTACAGAAGCGCCGGGATGAGCAGCCATACTGGTGCTAGAGGGGAATTCTTCATCCTCGGACTTGATGATTGGTGCTACAGTGCCGGGTAAACGTTTGGGTTTCCGGTTTGATTGCTACGTTGGGTGTAAGGGCTGGGTCAGCCCACGGATAATCTAGATATGCTTACCTTGGCTGGGTATGGCGCTGAGGAACCTACTGTTCGTTTGCTTCTCGTTGCATCCTTCTCCTGCTTGGTTTTCATCCTCTCGATGAGAAGAGACTCAATGTTATTGTCTCGATACCATTGGTCATAGCTTTGGATGCTTGTGAACGCCTGCCCATCTTGGCGAGCCTTGAGCTTGGTCTGCGTTTCATGGTGCAAATGGCCTTTGGAAGCGATATGCGTCAGGAGATGAGAGACGTCCGAGAATGTAGGGGTATCGGGGCACACGCAGCATTGCAAGGGGATCGGCTTTGGAGGCATTTCTGGTGCCAGGGTTTCGGGCATTTGAGCCGCCATCGGAGCTTCAGGAACAGCTATCGGCAGTGATTCCATGGTGGCCTGTAAATTGTTAGCCTTCGGTTTCAAACTGCCAAGGTCCAATGCCAATAAAATTGGTATCCCCAGGTGGGGGATCTGAGGCATGGCTTCCATACGTAGACGTAGATTCCAGGCTAAGTCGTGGCTAGCTTTCGTGGTTATATCGATGCAACCGGTGGTTAGCAGGCCAGGAAGGCCAGATCGATCAGAACACGTAAAAGGTGTTGGAGCCAGTGATATCTCCAAGTAGAAAGAAGGAGTGCCTGGAGATGAAGGCAGGTGAATGAGAGCAAGTTGAACGAGAGCAATGGTTCAGAGCTTTGACAAGCAAGGGCGTCTGAGGGACGGACAGTGGGTGTAACGCAGATGCCGACAGAGCTGACCCAGGAGTCGAAATGGCAAAGCGAAGGAGGCCGACACGATGTGACGAAGTTGTTGACTTGATTCACGGCATAACAGAGACTTACCTGCGAAACAAGGCCAGCTGACCGAGCATTGGTGTCTATAGCTCCTGCCGCTATGGCATTGGCTTTGCGAGCTCGCTTGGGCATAATGTCGACTTGCTCCAGACGGTGGAAGGCACGGACGTAGGAGTCTGTGTGGCCGTTATGTGCCCTTGGAACTGGCTACTGCCGGTGAGGATCGGGTGCAGAAGTTGGTGCGTCGAAGAGCCCAAACACCGCCTTGAAGCCAAAAGACTCCACCACTTACTATTGCAAGCTGACAGACGGATCGAAGTGGCCGGAGGTGAGACAGAAGGGATCCGGGACCAGAAATGAGTCCTTGCTGCAGTTTAGTTTCCCGCCGTCTGGTGCCAGATGCGCTCGCTCTTTCCTCGAGCTGGCCACACCGCCCGCACAGCTCCAGACACTTCGATACAGCGAAATGAGATGAACGTAGCTTGGTGCTAGAGTATTCGTCTACCTCATTATACCTCTCTATATCTTATGACTTTTTCAATTCGTTGTGTCAGGCTGGTATCGGCGACTGGCTCTGGAGTTCAAATACAGGCAATAGGGACTTTTTTTCCCTTTTTTTTTTTTTCGAGTGGTCGCGGCGCGTGAGTTGTCAGGAACAGGTTGTTTACATGCGCTCTCGGGTCTTTCGGCAGAATCGTCCTAAGTTGGGGGTGACCACAAACCAGCACGCACGCCAGACTTTGTAACTTCCTGGATTTTGCAGCTCAGATCATTGCTCTCGATCACCACTCGAGGCATGCGGTACCTCAGAAAAGAATGCTGACAAAAGTGTACGCTTGAAGGGATTCCAAGTGATGAACCAGGTGTGCTGACACTGCCCCCTGAAGTGTAGTCACAATATGTGATGTGAGAGTGCAGTTCGTTGGCCTCACGTCCGAAGGACAAGGGCTTGTCCTACCGTCGTGTATGTATGTCTGGTTTGAGGACCATAAGCTCATGTGCATAGCAGCTGTATCAGCCTTCTTCCACGTTGAAAAAGGAGTAACTCGATGCAAATTGACTTCTATTATTAGGCGTCAGCTGTGCCGATAAGCACTGAGCTAGTAGTAGTAAGACGCATGTTTGAAGGACTTCACAGGACAGCGCCACGGCGTACTAGCGCTGCCCCTGAAAAAACCAACAGTTCCTCTCCTCTCGCCTTGTATCCTGGCTAACACGAAGTATTGTCTTTAGCAGGTTATTAGATGGCAAGAGGGGCTTCCGAATTCGATGGCCGAAATCGCAACCCACTCCACAACTCAAATCCGGCTTTCTTCAACCCAGTATTCGCTTGATGACGGCCTTTGGCATGCAATAAACGGGGTCAACCTCTTCCATGGAGGGGTACCCGAGCAAGCTGAGCCCAGCCGCACCGAAGCAGGTGTGCCACACATCGACCATATCACCAGGTCGATCTGCGATGCCACCCTTGTCGGTATCTTGGGACTGAAGGATGAACTGAGTGAGACCATCGCGATCAATCCAGTGGATCCTGCCGATGATCGACAGGCTACTCAACACCCACCAGCTGTAACACACGTCTTCCTTCTTCTCCGGCCGGCCATTCAACCCGCCGCCAGGGACTTGTCTCTCGCTGAGCCACTGCCCCAGCTTCTCCTGGTCAACTAGGTCGAGCCGGTTTGCGATCGCCAAGGCAGCGACGCATGTGAAGATCTGGCCCGAGTGCGACTCCGCACCAGGTCGCACGCCATATCCGCCATCAAAGTTGGCACAGGACGCGACGTACGAGACTGCTCGCACTACATCTACCAGCGAGGTGAGCTCCAGGAGTGACAGCGCATTGAGGGCTCCATAAAGAAAGCGCGTGTCTTCCTCGCCCCATTCATCGCCGTAGAATGTTCCCGTTTCGCGGTTCTGCAGCTGGGCGATATCTGTAGCCTCGGTTAGTGCAACTGTCGGGGACTGAATATCAGCAGCCCATACATTTGCCAACCTGAGCTTTACCCCTGCCGCGGCGGTCTAGTTCATCGAAGCCGTCGACCATGGCTAGAATCTGTACAGCACTTACTGTAGAGAGCATGTGGGCGTCGTGGCCGGGCGCTGCTCCGAATCCCCCGCTCTCATGTTGACACGACAAGACAAAGTCGAGAGTTTCGTCGCGAGGGAGTGCATCGGGATGGCCGAGAAGGTGAAGAGCCGTGAGTCCCCAATAAACGCCGTTGAGACGCAGGTGCTCAGTCAGCCAGTAATCAAGCTCATCTTTGTGGGTGTCGAGGCTCTGAATGTACTGAACATGGGCATCAGTAGCCAGATGCAGTTGCTTGGTGGTGGCAGGAGCCTCAGTCATGGCGACGAGGAGCGAGTGAGGTGAGCGGGGGGTGATTGCTTGTGGTCTTTCATGAGGAACTTTTTATACTAAAATCGGTCCCTTACGTAACCCTATTTGCCATGCCCGTGTAAACAGCCTACCCTAGAGCGTATCCTGGTCACGTCACTTAGGAAGGAGACCAATACCTCGAACTCTTAACTATTTGCTTGCGACAATCGTTATTAGCAAATCCTTACTCAATGCCTTTAGGTGTTCATGTCGATGGCCTGCAATTGAAAAGTATGGTCGGTAGCGTTCATTGTTATATGAGCAACCCGCAGTTTTTGAACTAGATTAGTATTCAACAGCACGTACATATTGCTCCATGTTTTTGCCCGAGGACCCGAAGCACTGTACTTTCGCCCTGTCACAGCCGAGGCACTAACTTGATTCAGATCGTACAGATGGTAAAGACTGTATGTATCACGACAGGGCCAACACTTATGCTCAGAAAGGATCAACGGTCAATGGGCGCAGTCACGACAGCGGACGCCAAGGATCCAACGTCATCGCCAATCCCTCCCATGCATCTGTCAGGTGACTACAATTGATTGGAGAAGCGAGTTTGTCGAGGAGTCCGACCAGGACACTACAATTATCTTTGAGTCTTGGCAGTAATTGATTAATATCCCTTATTTACCGAGATATTTTCTCAGCTGATCATGGCGAACAAAGGCGCTAATCATGAGAATGAGGGTGTCGTGTCCATGCCCTGCAGGGATGGCGACAACAAAAACCCCTGAAACAATCCTGAAAGGGTGCCTGAGTCCTACTAACGGTCATTGGTTGAACCAGGACGAACCTAGCCTGTTTCAGACCCATCTCTCCTGTAGCGACGCCGGCAATGAAGCCTGCCGGCTTACTTCGTAATAACCTCGACGTTCGAGAGCTTGGGGAGGCACCACGGTGATGAAGGGCCAAGTTGAATTTCGCCAAGCCCAAGTAACGCTAGGAATACGTACATACCTAGCAAGTTTGGGATGTTTTGTTCTCTGAAATTAGAGATGGAACACGAGCGGCTTTGGACTTTTGTGAATGCCTCCCTGCCTACCTTGCGGCGGTCATTCGTTGGCAGTCGCAACAATTTGAAGCTCATTCCAAACGGCTTATCGAACCCCTGATTGAACGATCGATCCCCAATTAATTAAATACGGAGATGATACTTTAATCATTGTTCTATCACTTTATGCCTAAATAGTCAAGCTTAACAGGTGTGCGCACAAAGTTGCCAAAGCCGTTTTGGAAGGCAATGAAACTGCCGAGCTCTATGTCATCTCGTTGGGCCTGAGCTGCATGCGAAGGAGGACTGGGCTGGATGCCCTTGCCCGCAAGCGTCCCTCATTTTGCGGTCCGTATTCCATTGTGCACCGCGACAACGACAAAATCCCCGGCCCGCCCACGACCGGAGGACCCTTTGCGATTCCTTGGTCGCTGGCAGGTTTTCTTGCGCAACCCTCGTCGAGTCCGCTGCCCTGTGACGCCTGTTGCCGCAGTCACAGGCCGATCCTCTCCACCGCCCGCATTTGTTACTGCTGTAGACGTGTGAGACGCCTTAACTGTGCCAGCCTGGGCACTTGCGCGCAGCTCACGCAGGCACGCCTGGTCCAGTCCAGTCCAGTCCAGTCCTCTTCCCACGCTCCAGTCCCGTTTTGTAGAGGGAAGATGGGACGCAAGAAGGCGGTCCCCCAGCCGCTCTCCATACCTCACACCAATTTGAACATCACAAGCAAGACCACTAGCTCTGCAACGACCTCCATCCCACCTGAGCCTACCGCTGCCGCCCAAGCCGTATCAGCCGCGAACTCGACTCTTGGGACAGCATCGTCTACGTCGACGGGCCTCTCCCCATCCGAGTCTAGATCCCCAGCCTCCGCGAGCGCGCGCATATCGCCGTTCAGCAGCAGATTTGCTCAGAAGCGCCCTCAGACTGCACGCGCCGGCCACCCGTCCAAGACAGACGACTTTGACCAGTTCGACCGACGTCGCCCCTCGCAGCCATCCGTCCAAGGCTCAGCACAATCGCAGAAAGCTGCTGCCTATCCTCACATTGCTTCTACCTACAACCACTCGAGCACATCCCTCCGATCAGCGCAATCGACATCGCAAAGCCGAACACCACCAACCCAAGGTCAACAACCCCCGAAGCAGGTACAACACGAGCCCAAAAAGTCGAGAGGTTTCTTCCATTTCGCGAAGCCCTCCAAGTCTTTCACTCAGTTCACAAGTCAACCATCCCACAATTCGATACCCTCACGCGACGAGCCGCAACCCGCTGAACTAGAGCGCGCAGACACATCTGGTTCTAATCAAGCAGGTACGTGCGTGCGCGCGCCCCAGTCCTTCGCTTGAGCACAGCCTGCTGCTCGACGTCCCTGTCTTCGGGACTGGACATGTGCTGGCTGTAGTCAGGGGCTCTGTTCGCTGATTCAATGACATTCTAGGCTCCACCCATCGCGACGCTGCCCACCCCCAATCTTCTTCTGGAAGGCCACTGCACCTCAAATCGTCACGGTCGCAACACTCTTTGTCCTCACACGGCGAACGCGACTCTCCCCAGGCGGCTCCCAAGCGAAAGCCATTCGGCCTTCTCAAACGCACCAAATCTCTCCGAGACAATCTGCGCGACATTGCCAACCCCTCCGAGCAGCAACACGATCCGATGCCTACGTTGGCCCCACAGTCGACCAACGGAAGCGAGTCGCCGTCTGTGCAGACAGCGCCCGCGCAGCAACATAAGGAGAGTCCTCGTCGCGACGTGATGGACTCCCCCCCACGAAACCCGTCTGAGGACAGGGAACCTTCACGCGAAGGCCAGGTAACCCGAGAACAGCGCCGCGACAAGTCGCCAAAAGGCGCACCCGTGCCCGCACCTACACCTGCACCTGCACCTACACCTGCACCCGCACTCGCACCCGCACCCGCACCCGCACCCGCACCAGTCCGCGAGAATGGACACTCGACATTCTTCAGTGGACTCAAAAACTCATCTACAAAGGCTGCCGGTATGTTCAATCGGGGATTCTTCAAAGGTCACCGAAGCGCTAGTACCCACGAACACCAGCATTCGTTTGACGACGAACACTATGAGCTCAAGGTTCTGAACCTTCCTCTAGCAGCTCAAACGCGCAAGACACGGATATCCAAGCGACTAGAAGATTCGAGGGATAAGACCGAGTTCTGGATGCCCGCCTTTCCATGGAGAGCTATTGATTATCTCAACTTCAAGGGTTGTGAGGTAGAGGGTCTGTATCGCGTCCCAGGCAGCGGTCCTCAGATCAAAAAGTGGCAACGGCGGTTCGACGAGGGTCAGTGCACCTGTACAGAAAATAGCAGAACATATGGCTGACAAGGATCGCAGAACATGATGTCAACCTCTTCGAGGCAGATGACCTATACGACATCAATATTATCGGCTCCATGCTGAAAGCATGGCTTCGGGAGCTACCCGAAGAGCTCTTCCCCAAGGCTGCTCAGGAGCGAATTGCGCGAGAATGTGCGGGAGCAGAAACTGTTCCGCAGTTGCTCATCGATGAGCTGTCGAATCTGTCGCCTTTTCAGTACTATTTGCTCTTCGCTATCACTTGCCATCTCAGCCTTCTCCTGGCCAACTCGGACAAGAACAAGATGGATTTCCGCAATCTCTGCATCTGTTTCCAGCCTTGTATGAAAATCGATGCGTTCTGCTTCAAGTTCCTGGTCTGCGATTGGAGGGACTGCTGGAAAGGTTGTGCCAACGAGGCAGCCTACATAGAGCAGGAGTATATCCTGCTCGACGAGCCGCCACCACAGGGACTTTCTCAATCAGCAGAGCTCTCGCAAACTGTCGCCGTGCCGCCAGCTGCGGCAACTCGGCGGTCCCGCTCGGAGTCCAGTCAGCGCTCGGCCAACGGTGCCGCACCAGCTCGAGCACCGCAAAAACCCCAGGTACAGGGATCGCAGTCCAAGGACAGCGTGGGCTCAAACGGGTCCACGATATCGACAACCATGACGTTCAACAGCGAGCAGGAAGCGGCGAAAAGCAAATCAGTGGAGCTACGCCGGCTTTCTCCCATCCAGCCTTTATCACCGCTTGGCTTTCATTAGCCATGGGCAGAATCTCTGAAAAGAAATAGTCGTCCGCAAAATCTCACATCGTTATCGATAGATACCCTGATTGTATTCCAGCGCGTTAGGCGAGTCACGAATCACGCCTTTATGATCTTCTCATTTCAAGCACCTTTTTTTGTCATTCGGCCAATATTTACACATGCATCACCACCTTAGTCCTCAGTTGATCGGTTATCGCTGGTCAGTTGGGCCAGCAGGCACCGAAAGAATCGTCGTTTTTAGAAAGAGTTGCTTTGTCAGGAATACTCTGTTGCGAAGACGAAGCTGGGGAAGGATTGAACTGCCTCACAGGCTCAGACGTTCGATAATGGAGATGGTCTATCATAACAACTTTTGGGGGGGGGGGAGTCAGTTGGATTGGTGAGCTAGTTGACAACGAGCATACTGGCACAGCATGGTGTGCCCTGAAGGAAAGAAGGAAGAAAGAGGGCACCCGCCTTGGTCATGGAAGTCGGAGCGCTGCTTTAAGAAATTCAATTTGATTTGGTGATTCCATGCGAAGCGCCCTGTCCCCAACGCCATTGTGATGCTGGCCGAGCAATACCTGAACCCATCCGCGGCAACAAACATCCCTGTGATCATCATTTCCTTCCATTCGCTGAGGCATCCCGAGAATTTTTCCTCTGCTTCCTCTCGTTTCGCCTCAGGTTCTCTTTGCGCTCTCTGCGGTTGTCCCCCCTTACGTGTGTGCCCTCCTTCCTCTCCCTCTCCGCCTTCATGTCCACCTCGACGATGGCGTCGCCTTCGCCCTTCTTGTTGACACCACCGTAGCCCCACTTGCGCTTCCAGTCGCCGCTCTCTTCGTCAAAGGTCAGGTTGCGTCGCGACTCCCTGGACTTGGGCAGGATGCCCTTTTTGGCGGCGAAGCGCTCCCACTTGGTCGGGGCCTTGGCTTCGGGGACGGGCTTCTCGCGGGGCAGGCGGTTCGATGGCGCCGGGAGACTGAGGAGGACGCCGTCCTTTGTGGTGCTCAAGGGGCAAGTGGTCAAGAGCTGGTTGATGAGAGATTGCGCGCCGTCGCGGGCGACGTTGGCGAGCGACGCCTCGATGGCCTCGTGATCGAGCTCGACTGGGTTGGGGTCCTCGACCATGATGTGACCGAGGTCAAACGTGTATGGCGTGGGCTTCTCCACGGCCACCTGCAACTTGGGTTTCGCCTCCATTGTGTTTTTGTGGTGTGCGCTTCAGTAGGTGGTTGGTTGGTATTCTTTAAGTGAACCGTCAAGATGCTGCGACTGTCCCACCAGAACTTTTCGCCTGTTTTTTTTGCTATCGATAAGGCGAGCGTCGCTCCTGGGCCCCCTTGGGCTGGGGAGCGGGTCCAATTTTGGCCTGCCATTGAAACCTTAGTAATCCGAGAATTTCTGCTGCGAGACTCAGATTATCACCGCCAGCGACGCGACCGCGCTCCATTAGCCAGCATTCGACATTGCTCTCTCGCGTGCGTGACAGCAAAGACACCCGCGCACTAGCCGACATGGCTTCCGCACACTCACTGCGGTCGTTCATGCGGCCGACAGTCTCGACGACGCCTCGATCCCTCACGAGGGCCTTTACGACAACGCCCCTCCAGAGCGCTGCGCAAGGGAAATCGAGCCTGCCGCCGCAGAAACAGGTGCAGGTCTCCAAGAAACACAAGAAGCCTCTGGTCCGCGCGAAGGCTCCCAATCCCGGCGAGCGCAAGGCTTTCCGCAAGCGCATCCAGCTCAGCAACAACAGCGCGCTCGAGGTGCAAGGCACGGAGAACCTGCAGCCCGACACGATGCTCAAGAGCGAGAATGCCGGCAAGATGTTTTCCATCCCCAACGATATGCAGGATAAGCTGCGCACGCTGGAAGCCTTTAAGACGACCCAGTCCTGGAATCTGTTCCGCAAGCCGCATATCCTTGTGAGACAGGACATGGTGGATTTGATGAACCAGGTAGAAGCTGCCAAGGGCAACAAGGAGGCGCTGAAGCTGGTGCTCACGGGCACGAAGCTGTCTGGAAAGAGTCACGCTCTCCTGCAGGCTATGCTCTACGGAATGATGAACGATTGGGTCGTCATCAATATCCCCGAAGGTATGCTAGACACGGTCAACCCTCGCTGCCAATGACTGATGCTAACTAACACCGTCCTCTAGCTCAGGATCTTACCAATGGCAACACCGAGTATGCGCCTGTCCCCGAGACTTCGGACCCGTACGAGTTCATCCAGCCTGTGTACTGCTACAAGCTCCTCACCAGCATCTACGACGCCAACAAGAGTGTGTTGGCAGGCCTGAAGCTGCAGAAGGACTGGTCCGCCACGACGCAGCAAAAGGGGGCCGGCAGCCTCGCCGACCTGATCCAGAGTGCAAGAGAGCCCGACTGGGCGTGGCCGACCTTCATGGCCCTGTGGCAGGAATTGCAGCTGCCTGGTCGGCCGCCACTGTTGTTCACCCTCGACGGCCTATCGCACATCAACAAGAAGAGCGACTACCGCGACCCCGAGTTCAACCCCGTCCACGCGCACGACCTTGTCCTCGTGCGCACATTCATCGACGCCCTCTCGGGCAAGACAAAACTCCCAAACGGCGGCGCCGTCATCGCTGCCACCTCCGGCAACAACCGCCAGCTGCACCCCTCCCAAGAGCTGGTTCTCTCGCAGCTCGAGGCCGGTCAGAAGGGCGACGAGGTGCCCAAGCCCGATCCCTATGAGAAGGGCTACGACGAGCGCGTGTATGACGCCCTCAAGAACTCCACCGTCAAGAGGCTAGAGGCCCTCAGCAAGGCAGACGCACGCGTGCTGATGGAGTACTGGGGCGCTAGCGGTATGTTGCGAAGGAAGATTGACCAGCACACAGTCTGGTCGGACTGGGCGCTGAGCGGGCATGGAATCGTGGGAGAGCTCGAGCGGACGTCTCTGTTGACGGTCAAGATGTAATGTACCAATATTGTAGATTTGTATACTATGGGATGTATCAACATGTGACTCTCGAGCCTCTCACTTCGCTCATGTCAAAAGCAAACAATGATGCCGTCCCCAATAGTACGCACAAAGACTCGGCAGTATTGAAGACCTTGAATCAATAAATTGGCTGCTTTTTCTTCTGCCAATCAGAAATACTGACACATACCATCGTCGTCTGTAATCAATCCTAGAGCCTTGAAACGCCTGACCGTCTTTCCCAAAACCACGAGCCTTTAAATATCCATATCATCCTCAAACTCATCAGCATCCGCAGTGACAAACACCAATCTCGCACCGCCGCCTGTTGTCTGCCAAACCTGCGGATACAGTTAGCTTCAAGTCGTACGACTATTGAGAAAAGAAACTTACGTCAAGACTTGTGTACTCTTCCAGAGCAGTCATCCATTGATCCTCGGTAAAGCCCTTGGCAATGACGCGCTCCTTGACCTTGCGCATGCTCAACTCGACGCCGAGCGTCTCGTCATCGTCGGCGTCTTCGGCACGGCAGGCCCCCGAGTCAGCCAGGGCCTTGACGAGGTTGTATATCCTGCTGCTGGGGTTGAGGCCACGGCGACCAGAGGTTGTGTCGGTGTTGAGACTCTCCTTGCTGGCCTCAATGAGGCGCAGTGCCTCGTCGACATCGTCCTGCTGAACCTCGTTGCTGAAGCGTAGACGAGCGAGGGCCTGCGACAGACGCACGACACCCAGGAGAGTACGTGGGGTAGTGTGCGTGAACTGCTTGCCCTTCTTCTCTGCGCGCTGCTGCTGATCACGCATGCGCACATAGGTCTTGATCATGTATTCGGATACGGACTCGGGCACCGTGGGGCGGTATGTGCGCGCCTGCGCGACGTACGAGCGGACCTCGTGTGGCGTGAAAGTGACCTGTTCGGGATGGCGGTTGTTCATGTGCACATAGGCCACGTGCTTGGCCAGCTGCTCGTCAGACTCGCGGTTAGGGGTATCAAGAAGAAGGAAGAGGATGTCGAAACGAGACAGGAGCGCGGCGGGAAGATTGATGTTCTCAACGGGAGAGATGCGCGGGTTGTAGCGGCCGTAGACAGGGTTAGCCGCGGCAAGGATAGATGTCCTCGCATTCAAGGTCGTCGAGATTCCGGCCTTGGAGATGGAGATGGTTTGCTGCTCCATGACTTCGTGAATCGCAGTACGGTCGTTGTCATCCATCTTGTCAAACTCATCGATGCAGCAGATGCCGTTGTCGGCCAAGACCAGCGCACCGCCCTCCAGAATCATCTCGTCCGTCACGGGATCGCGCATGACAGCAGCCGTGAGACCAACGCCGCTGCTACCACGGCCAGAGGTGTAGACACCGCGCGGTGCCACTTTCGAGATGTACTTGAGAAGCTGGGACTTGGCCACACCGGGGTCACCCATCATGCACATGTTTATGTCGCCACGAATCTTCATGCCGTCTCCAACCTCTTTGTTCACACCGCCAATTAGGAGGAGCAGAAGGGCTTTCTTGACGTCAAGGTGGCCGAAAATCTCGGGAGCGATGGACCTCGCTAGCAGCTCGTACACTTGTCCTGACTGACGGTGCTGTTCAATCCGGCGCACAAGCTTGGGATCAATAATCATTTCACTGTACGCCTTCTTGTGCTGCAAGATGTGGTGAGCCTCGAGGTAGGTGTCGGTGAGCAGACCAGCCTTGAGCGCCTTAAAACCGGTGTAGGGCGTGGGGAGGAAGATGCCGGAAATGTCCACAACATCACCGGGGTTGATCTGACGCACGGTGCTGCCGTAGCATAGCACGGTCAAGCTGCGAGGGATCTGACCGATGGGGACCTGCTCGGCCATCTCCTGGACCTTGACCTCCTGAAACGGCAGGTACTTGGAGGCCCTCACTGAGTGAGTGAGTTGTCCTCTGGCTTGGTTTTCAACACAAGACTGCGACGGGCAGGCCGTGAGAGGGCCAAATTGCCTGTCAGTGATAGGCTGGAAGATCTCACAACCACAACGGTCGCAAGAGTAGGCGTTGACCTGAACGATGGGTTTCACGTCAGACACACGGGTGGCGATGCAGCGCATCGTAATGAGATGCCCCAGGTGTTCGCCTCGCACGTCGCGAACAGCAAGTGCCTTCTTGGGTTGGTCCAATGTGCCCGAGCGAGGTTTGAAGAGAAGGGTATATCGACGGGTAAGCTCGGCAGGGAAGACGTCGGCGTCGATGGCGGGATCTCTCTCCTGCTCCTCCTCCAAAACGCGGTTTCGCTCCTGGCGCCGCGCAGCGAGGACATCTAGCACATCATCTTTGAACCTGCTGTGCGTCAGCCCTTCACATACTGCAAGTAAGCAAAGCGTGCAAGGTGTCGTACGTAAGGTCAGCCTCGGGTGGAGGCATCTTCTTGTCGATAGCCCTTGATACAATCTCCACGTAGTGCTTTGTGTTCATCTCAATCGAGCCCACGAGCTTCAGTTCATCCTCTTGTTGTTGCTGTTCTTCCCACTGCCAGTTGTCAGCCGGTACTTCACCAGATTTTGCGTGCCGTGGCATACTATTTGCACGTCGTCGAGGTCGACAGTTATCGAATCGATTTGCCTGTTGGCGAGCTGACGGAGGGCTTCCTTGTACTTGTATTGAGGCTCGCGCTTTTGCTGTCGCTGTCGCTGCCTTTCCTCGGCTGCGCCATCGTCGTCATCCATAAAGTCATAATCGTCGCTCAATTCATCCTCGTCAATTGTGACATTGCCCAGCGCCGCGGTGATGGTCTGCTCGGGTGATGTTTTGAAGTCTGTCAGAAAGCTCTCGAAGGCGCCTGTCGTTTGTTAGCCCTGGCCCGTCTCGCGCCCATGGCGCAGCACACTGACTTTGTTGCTTCTCGTAGTTCACCGGGGCCTTGAGCTCACGAAGCGCCATCTTGTCCGAGGCTCCTCGAGTGTTGTACTATTATCTGAGCGGCAGTGGTTGCTTGTCGCAAAATTGTTGACTCGTTCGGTAAGAGAGGGGCAGTGTGGTCATTAGCATACGGCAAGCAATTCAAATGCGCGATACGACTTGCAACAAATCCGTGGGCTGGGAAACGAGCGCGAGAGGAGTGGATTCCTCCTGGCATGCACGCGCGATGCAGCTTTCAGACGCGTCTTTTCGCGTCGCGCGAGTGCCACCAGCCACATTCCATTAAACTTGCAGCTTGCCGCGCCATATCGTGGCGCGACGTGGGGCAGTTGTGGCGCCGGCCGGCGGATGGTCGATTCTGGTGTGGCTTACGCTCCGTACCTCGGCTCTGGACGCAAGCGTGGGCCAGGGTCGAAGCTGGGGAGGACCGACGGCATCCGCCCCAAAGTCACAAGCTCGGTGCTTTGGGGCACCTCATTCTGCTGCCTCTTCCACTACCTTTCTCAAACAAGCTCTTTCTGACACCACTGTGTGGGCAACTCAGTCATCATGGCGTCTAGGAGGAATGCGCCATCCACTTCAGCCGAGATCTCGCTCGTTCATCTCAAGAACTGCCTCGTCAATCTGCCACCGACGCTGGTGTCCCTCCTTGTCAACGTCAACACAGTAGGTTTCGACTCAATGGATGGGATTTTGCGCCCTACTGATGGAGCATAGCCTGCTCAGAATGTAGTAGTTGAGCTCAGCATCAAATCATCCACGACCGCACAAGCTGGCGCAAGCCCCTCGCCCCAGTCGATCTTTGTAGGATGGACGGGTATGCCGAGCAAGCGCAGGACCACGGCGCCTGTGGGAAGAGATGGGATCAGTGGGTCAAGAGGCTCGTCTAGAGAGCAGGACGGTCAATCCCTCGAGATGGACGCGACTTTGGCGAAAGCGCTTGGCGTCAGCGACGGCCAGAAGGTCATGGCCACCGTTCATGTCGATCCACCGCTGGCGCATACCATCAACATTGAGCCGCTTACCCCCGAGGATTGGGAGATTATCGAGCTACACGCGACCTTTCTTGAACTGAACCTGCAGTCCCAAATCCGAGCGCTACCGAATCCGGCCTACGCCCCATCGGAGGGCATTCCCGTACCAGCTCACACTCTGACGCTGCACCTGTCGCCTACCTCGACAGCCAATATCAGGGTGGTGTCTCTGGACCCGGCGCCTGGTGCTGACGTACCATTTGCGAAACTATCACCCAACGCCGAGGTGATTGTGGCACCCAAGACCAGAGCCAAGACGCCCAGTAGCACGGGAGATCATCGGAGTGTGGCCAGCACGTCCAAGTCGAAACGAAGCGGCGCAAGCACTGTGCGTCGGAGAAGTGCTAGAGAGGAGAAGAAGTCAGCCATGTTCTTCCGTGGCATTGATCGCGCAGTTGTGCGCGAGTGGTTCGACGAGGATGCGCCAGCTCAGGAGCTTAGCATCTGGGTTGACCAGGATATCGTCCAAACCGGACCGCTACAGGGCGTCAAGTACGGGGTTGTTGATGTGATGAAGCCGGGTGGTCTGCAAAAGCCTCAAGCAGAAGATGGCACTGCACCAGCCACTACGGCCACAGCGTCGCAGGTCATTGTTCACATACGAACGTGGGAGGACCCTCCAAACGGCCAAACCGCCGCGCTCTCGTCCGCGTTGTGCGCAACGCTTGGTTGCGAGGGTCTGGTGGGAGGCGTGGTCAAGCTGCAGCCAGCACCAGCGCAGCTGATGACCAGCACAGTCAAGCAAATCAAGGTGTTCCCCTTTGCCACAACCTCACATGCTTCGGAGGGTCTGAAATTTGGCGGTGAAACCAAGGCTGAGAAGGAAGAATCCGCCAAAAGGTTTCGCAACATCTACGGGGCTACCTCAGGCGCCCCAGGTCTGTTGCAAGGCCCCTTGACTGATGGTGCTGCGCTAGGCATCTTTGAGGGCTTGGACGCCCCAAGCACCTGGGAAGGAGGGCTTATCAAATTCGTGCTCGACTCGGATAGCGTGAACCAGCCCGGCACGAGCAAGGACGCCGTGCATTGGGTCCTGGGGCTTGATAACAAGGTCAACATCGACTTCCAGCCGCCAGTGCCTCGGGCATCCAGCAAGGCTGATGGGGACTCGTATGATCCCCATCCTGAAACCGACGCCCTCCTCGTCGGCATCGATTCCTTGCTGCAGAATCTGCAGAAGCAACTTGTACAAATGTCGTCCCTGCTCCTGACAGGTGGCATGGGATCCGGGAAGAGCTCTGTGGCGAAATACTTGGCCCAACAACTACGAGAGGACCACCTCTTCACAACCATATACTATCCCTGCCGCAAGCTGGTCACGGACGAGACGAGAATATCGACTATCAAGGAGACTCTGCACCATCTGTTCATGACTGCAACCTGGGGTGCCCGGCTAGGCGGGAAGGGCATCGTTGTGCTCGACGACGTCGACAGACTATGCCCTGCCGAGACCGAGTTGCAGGTCGGCAACGACAACGGCCGCAGCAGACAAGTCAGTGAGATCCTGTGCTCCATGGTGAAACAATACTGCACAAAGAGCAGCGGTGTAGTGCTGCTGGGCACGGCTGAGGGCAAGGACTCTCTGAACAGCGTGGTGGTGAGCGGCCACGTAGTCAGGGACATTGTCGAGCTGTCCGCGCCGAATAAGGAAGCGCGCAGACGCGTGATGGAATCAATCGTGAGCATCGACGCCACGCGACCAGGCGATGGGGTCGCACAAACGAGCAATGGCAGCCGCCCCACGACGGCCGATGGCAGCAGTGCTACTGGCGACGAGAACGGAGAATGGATGGATGGTGGCAGTCAGTCCAATGGCGATTTGCCTCGCAAGAACGCTGGAGGATTCATCATGGAGAGCGACCTCGACTTTTTGGATATCGCTGGCTCTACGGATGGGTATATGCCAGGCGACATTGCCGTGCTTGTGTCGAGGGCGAGAAACGAGGCGATCATGCGAGCCATTGGCAACGATCCCTCGGATGCAAGCAACATGCCCATTCCCTTGGGTCGAACTGACTTTGACAATGCTCTCAAAGGATTCACACCGGCGTCGCTGCGTAACGTCTCTCTGCAAAGCTCGACCACTACGTTCAAGTCCATCGGCGGTCTGCAAGAGACGCGAAAGATCTTGCTGGAAACATTGCAATACCCGACAAAATACGCACCTATCTTTGCTCAATGCCCGCTTCGACTGCGGTCCGGCCTGCTTCTCTACGGGTACCCGGGTTGCGGAAAGACACTGCTGGCGAGCGCTGTTGCTGGCGAATGTGGTCTCAATTTCATCAGCGTGAAGGGTCCCGAGATTCTGAACAAGTACATTGGTGCGTCGGAGAAGAGCGTGCGTGATCTGTTTGATCGCGCCCAGGCAGCGAAACCGTGCGTGCTGTTCTTTGACGAGTTTGATTCCATCGCACCCAAAAGAGGCCATGACTCTACGGGTGTGACAGACCGCGTGGTCAACCAGCTGCTTACCCAGATGGACGGCGCCGAGGGCCTCTCTGGTGTCTATGTTCTCGCCGCGACTTCGCGACCCGACCTGATCGATCCTGCACTGCTACGTCCCGGCCGACTTGACAAGTCGTTGCTGTGCGATCTGCCCGAGGTCGAGGACAGGCTGGACATTCTCAAGGCTCTGTTGCAAAAGGTGCGGCTATCGGATGAGCTGGTCCACTCTGATGATGTGCTCCTCGATATTGCGCATCAGACTGAGGGTTACTCGGGTGCCGATCTACAAGCGTTGGTTTCCAACTCGCAGCTGGAAGCCATCCACGACGTTCTCGACGTCAACGAACATGCCATGACTGTCACGAAGCGATCAAATGGAGTGACGAATGGACAGACGGACAAGGCAGCCCCGGGTTTCGTCCAATTCCGCTACGGCGAGACGGCAAAGCCTGCCGATGATAGCGCACCCAAGAGCGCAGCCGCCGCGCTCGTGGAAAAGGCAGCCATCGTGTCCAAGCTGGAGGAGATCAAACTGGCACGTCGTAGGGCCAGGCAGACCCAGCGAGGAGCAGCGTTCGGGGGTCCCGGTGTCGACAGCAAGAGTGACGGCACTGACAAGGAGGTTGTGATTCGCCGCGAGCACCTCGAGAGGGCTCTGGATGCCACGAGAGCCAGTATCAGCAGCGACGAAAAGGCACGCCTGCGCAGGATCTACCACGAGTTCGTCGTGGGGCGTAGCGGACAGATGAAGGACGGACAGGCTAGCATGGAGATTGGCGGCAGGAGTAGCTTGATGTGATTGCAAATACCACCGGCATTTTAACTACAAGATTGCCTGAGCACTAGTACATGTAGAAGCGTGGCAGCAGACATGAAGACAATGTCGGTACTGTACCATCTGTACGGACTGTAGTCACGCTGGATGCCGCTAAGGAATTAAGCATACTCAAGGTACGTACCTTCCGCCGTAGGGCCAGCTGCCAGCTGCCAGTGCCAAGGGCTGCGGGCCGGTGCCCGATGTGGAAGCCAGTGAACTCCAGTCAATGCTCTGCCAGGCAGCAGGGATCAATCTCCAATCACCTGTTCGTAGCTGCGGATATTGACAATTGTTTGGTCAGGGCAAACGGCATGGAACTGTCGCCCGTGTTCGCTGCTTCCTCGGCTGCTGCTGCTGCTGCTGCTGCTGCTGTCGATCATCCAGAATTCGGGTGGCAGGTGGGGTGAGCCTCAGCTCCTTCCTTGTCCTTTCTCTTTTTCTTCTTCTCCTCTTTCTGCGTCTCCCACGCCGCCGAACCTCAACCGCCTTTTATCTTGCCTTGAATGTTCATTCTCTACTGTTAGCGTCTTGCTTCCGCTCGTTGCTCTGTGTGTGTTTGTGCGTGCGCTGTCTTGCTTGGAAACGATTGCCATGATGCCATGAATTTACGACCTGAACGACACCCGCTAGCTAATTCACCACGAGTTCCCACCTCGTCATGGCCACTACCCGAGACTGGCACCCGCTCTCCGCATTCCGGGAAATGGCCCATGGCGGTGGAGGCATGAACTCATCCACCACATTGCCGGCTTTCCATTACGACTATGATGTCGATGATGCGCACCCCGATCGCAGCAACACACCTGATGCTTGGGCCAAATATCTTCGCACTCGCATTTCCCGTCGCAAACAGCTCTACCACAGCCTCGAGCCCTCTGATCAGGACCTGATCCGCAAAGAGGTTCGGAGAATCAGCTACTTCAGAGATCATTTCAGGGACTATCGCGTCTTTCCGACAGATGGACTTCCGTTGGTGGCCTTGCTAGATGACTCTCGCCAGAAGTGGCGGGACATTGCCGCCAAGAGAGCAACAGAAGAGTTGGCCAAGGTCCAGCGACAGACCGAAAAGTCTGGCGAGACAGTTGCGACGACCCGCAACAGAAAAGTGTTGAGGTACGTCCAGCAATGGCAGACGCCTGGCTACAAGGATGCCCAAAAGGCCCTCCACCCTGAAGCCTACATGCCCGACCTAGACGCCGGACCCGACAACAGCGAGGACGACCCCAGGCGCGAGGATTATGGGTACAACGGCTGGATCATCCTCTGGGACGAGAAGAAAGGATGGGCCTCCATGGACCACCCGCTGGTGCATGGCTCCTTTCCTCACCAGAAAATCTCCATCCAGCAATTTCTATACAACAAGGATAACACGCCCCTCAAGCGATCAGATCGCAAGGATCAGTTTCGGTACTTTCACCTCCCTGCCAACAACATGAAATGGGTGGAACAGGCGATGAGCAGGTACTACGGCGAGGATAACGTCGAGTTCGACGGCATGAAGGCCCTGAACATTAAGCACAACTCACAACGGCTCCTGCGACCGGAGCTCTGGCGCGGCCAACAGCGCGGCGGTTACGGACTGCCCGCCCACTCGCGCCAGATAGGGCCGCGTTGCTCCATGGTTCCCTCTGCGGCTCTCGGACCCAAGGGCGGACTCGAGCAGGACGGCTGTGTGCGGAAAGATTTTGCACTCTTCGTAGGTCAAGGTCCTGGCGCACTGGCAGAATGAGTCGCTAACATCTACAGATGCCCTTCTTGCACTTTGAGGTTGAGAAGAGACTCCACCGCATGGGCCAGTTCATGCAGGTGGCCAAGTCGCAGAACGAGAAGCTGCGCAGGGCCAACACGTTCCGGCAGCGAGGTCGTATGGCCAGCGTCGCCAACAACAAGATCAAGAAGAGCCACGGTCATGTCGCCAGCTTCGAGCCCGAGAGGGAAGGCTTCATGGAGGCATGGAGACCTCGAAACGCACTGGCCAAGTACTTCTGGCACGTGGCCAAGATACACCAAGTCATCGACGAGGCCGCCGACGGGCGCCTCATCGAGGATCACCTGTACGCCACGCCTCCCTTACACCCTCGCAGAACGCTGGAGCAGTTCTACTACTGGACTGCCGAGGACACCAGTCGGAGAGATCGTGACCAGGTTGTGGCACGCGGCACGCGGTACTACAGCGAGGAGCACAGCGCCGAAGCCTCAACCCGCCTCATCATGGTCGACCAGCTGTGGCTGTGGATTTTGGATGACAGTATGCCAACATGTCCCATCTTGCATAAGCACAGCCCAAAATGACTGACTTGTCGTCGCAGATACCGTGATATCGGCGTTCCCCCGACGCTGGGGACGCAACAAGCCCGACCCGTCGGCTGTGCATCGCAGCATCCGTGATCGGCTGGAGGAATTGGACGCTGGCGAGATCCAGTCCGTCTACGATCTTGCACTCGTCGTCGTCGACGAGTGCTCCAAGGTCTTCTTTGACCCTTCAAAGCTGCTTGATCACCGGCCCGAATTACTAGACATCTTCAGCTCGGCCATCTCCAAGATCGCCGAGAACAAGACCATTGCGTACGAGGGCTTTGGACTTGATCTGAGCAAGATCAGCAGCGAGACGATTGAATCAGCAGAGAGGCTGGTCCGCAAGTCGCTGAACATTAGTTTCGAATGGTCCATCCTGGAGGAGGCCCAGCACGTGTTGGATGAGCTACAGATTATGCAGGAGATTTTCAACACGCAAATCATCGTATTGAGAGATCTGGATCGCAACTTGCAAGAGCTTCTCAGCGCCGACATGCCATATCCAACGGTGGCGCAGTCTGGTCGGGCTTCTGTTGCCACAAAGATTCGTGAGGGTTGGCGGAATGCACGGGACAGAATCGTGTCACTCACCTCGGACATGGAGCAGCGGCGGGGCGAACTGGCCGAGATGGAGAAGCTCCAGACGAAGACGCGCTCACAGGTCAGTTACACTTGCCGGGCTCATCGCATCTGCATTTCGAACACTAACATATATCCCATGACAGCTGCGCGACCTCGTCGATATGAAGCAGCAGCAGGCCAACATCATCGAAGCCAAGGCCGCTATTCGCCGTGCAGATGAGTCGGTAATACAGGGCCGATCCATTGTGATCTTCACAGTGGTGACGATTATCTTTGTGAGTGAGCTCGCAAACCCCCGGTGACTCGTTGCCTGCTAACCACGACAGCTCCCTCTGCAATTCATGACATCCATCTTTGGCATGAACGCAAAACAGTTCAGCGAGGACGGTGCCATGGAGCTCGGGCCGCAGCTCAGATGGATGTGTAAGCAGAACGCCGCAAGAAGGAAAAAGAACCACAAGGCTAACCAGTGACCACAGTCGGCGTGAGCAGTGTCGTCATTGTCGTGTCGCTTTCTCTAGCATTTAGTACCTGGATACGCACGGCTCTGGCGGTGGGATGGACATTTGTCTACACCTACATTGAAGAACGGCTGGGCCTGCGCACAAAGAAGGCCCGCTACAGCTCGAGTGCCTTCAAGAGCAAACAGCACGAGCGTCTCCGAGAGCTCGAGACGCGGGATCAGCAGAGACGTCTTACTGAGATCAACAGTCGCAGGATGACCTCGCCGAGACGGCAGCAGCAGAGTGAGAAGAGGTCGACGTGGGATGTACGGAATCTGAAGCCGACACCGGGGCTATTCGGGTGGAAGCGAGACTCGCCCAAGGACAATCACGACGCCGTCTGACGGGTCTGGAATGGTGCAGTCCTTGTGGGACGACGTGGACGAACGAATCCATAGAAGAGATGTAGGAAGCAAGTAGATGCTGAGCGATATGCGGTATATACAAAGCAAAAAGACGAATGCCGGACGCTCTCTGGCCCCATGCTCCATGTCCTCCAAGTACTCCTTACGCCTCGCCTATGATCGCCTTGACATCTCGCAGGAGCTGCGCGTGGACGCCCTCCCTGGCGACAATCATACCTCGGTTCGCGTCCATCTTGCGACCAGCGCCAAAGTCCATATCCCGCCCGTCTAGGTCCGTGATACGACCGCCCATCTCGGTGAAGATGAGCTGGGCCCCGGCATGGTCCCATATGCACACGTTGCTGACCTTGTCCGCCCGAGGCACGCGGATCTGGCAGTCGGCGCCGCCGAGGATCAGGCTGGCGTACCGCATGTGTGACGACCAGACCTCTGTCCCCGGGTACCGCGTCCCCAACTGCTGCGCCAGCTGCTCGACAATATCGTGCCGCACGGCGGTGCTGGCGCGTGCATCGACAATGTGGAGGTCGGCCATGCTCGCGGGCGTGGTGAGCCTCGGGAGCGGCTGCGCCTCGGGCAGCGGGTAGGGCGTGCACGCGGGCGACGCAGAGAGATAGCGCACCGTGGCGCCCTGGCCCCGGACGGCCGTGAGCATGACGCCGAGGCCGTCCCTGTCGACGCTCCTCTCGACGACGCGGCCGTCCTGCAGCCGCAGGTTGGGGCAGCACAGCACGCCCACCACCTCGCGCCCGTCCTCGATTAGGCTGAGCGAGACGGCGTACTGATGTTGCTCGAGGAACGTCCTCGTGCCGTCGACGGGGTCCATGACCCAGAACCGGCCGTGCTGGCCGCCCTGGCCCCGTCCGCCCAGGTCGATGAGGGCGAGCATCTCCTCTTCCGTCTGGGGCGTCGCCAGCTTCGTCGTCGCCGTCCCGTCGTCGGCCATGCTCCGGACGTGCTCAAAGACGGTCCGCCGCAGCGCGTCGTGGGACCGCAGATCCGCCGCGTCCTCCTCGCCGACGAAGCCGTCGCCGGGGAACCGTTGCTGCAGACTGGCGATGAGGAGGGCCTGCGCGGCAAAGTCGGCGGTCGTGACGGGGGAGAAGTCGTCCTTTGTCATGGACTGCACCTTGGCCTGGACCCTTTTGGTGAGGATGGCGGCGCGGAGGGCCGTGGCCTCTGCAAAGGCCCGTTCCTCTGCGTAGGGCACTGTTGTCATCGTGGTGTGGATTCTGGCGTTGCTGACGGTGTTGGAGGGAGACGATGTGTTGGCGTAGGGAGCTTCATCAATCGTCAGTGCCGTGTCCCCTGCCCGTGGTAATTAATTCGTCTTGGTGCAAGCGTGATGATGGAGGATGGAATCGACTTGTTAGCCGCACCCTATAATATGTACTCGTACTAAAAGCCTCATCCCAGGTCAGGTCAGTGCGCGATCGTGCGTTTCCCAGGAGGGAGGAGGTGAAGTTTGGCGGGTGGCTATGCTGCAGCGAGGCAGATTTATTGACGACTGTAAACAGCAGCGTAGAATCTCGTGAGATCTAACGTGCTAATAATTGAATCAAAAGCAGTCCATCGCAGTTCAGCTCATGACACAGCCTCACGTGCGCCGCCTTTTCCTCCATGGGTCCGTCCCTCTCTGATCCATCTACGTTCCCAAGCATACCTACGCGTCAGCCGCCAGGTCATCAGAGCAACGACAACTGAATCATGAGCTCCTCAAGGAAGCCAGCAGCACCGAGGCGCAAGACAGTGAAGTGAGACTGACTGACTGATTGACTCGTACACCCATGGGGAGCATTTCCTATGATGAATCATTCGTGTGTCATGCCGAGATTGACAAGTAGTCCCATTATTTCGACACTATGTGTAGGGATGCCTCTACGCATCAACGACCCCTTCGGCGAGGGGGGAATATATATGTGTAAACCATTGCTGAATGAGCCCTATACGGGCTTCGCTTCGGGCTGTCCTTCTTCTTCCCCAGCTCACGTCAGCTGTAAATCCTCCCTCCCTCCCATCTTTGCTCGGGGGAAGATATAAACACAAAGCGCGCAATATTTCTAGTAACTCCCACTCGTGTTTCCATGACCATGCTTTTCTGGTGGATATGCTTTCGCATACGTCTCCGCCGCCAAGTACAACAAGAACAGGGCTCTTGTATCCCATAAACGCCCGGGCAATGCACAACGATGATGAATGGCCAAGAATGAGAAGAGCAGTAAACAGAACATGAAGACGGAAAATCCTCTTTCTCGAAACTCCACAAAACTCCAGTTAGCAGGTAGAGAGACATGGTTAGGCGGCTGCCGCAGACGTCGTCGCTTCACCACCACCACCGCCTCCGCCTCCGCCTCCGCCTCCTCTCTTGCGGGCGCAAAGACTCTCATACATCTTGCTCAGTCGTTCGCCGCTGATCTGTTTCGCTGTCTCAACTGGCCATCGCTTGGCCAAAAAGTCCCTAGTATTGTTGTTAGCCACAGCCTCCATGACAGTGCTTAGGGCGCCCTCACCAAAACCGCTTCTGCAACGAGGCGTCGCTTGAAGCATTGCTATCCTTCAAAAAGTCGCCGATGCGCTCAAGCTCGTCACCGTAGATGGCTGCGCGTTCCTTACCCGACTTGACAGTCTCCTTGGTAGTGGACAGGATCCTCTCAAAGTTCTCGCGGACCGGCTTCAGAAAGTACCATATCAGGGCGTCGTTGTTCTCGTTTCTAGCGTTCGCATCGTCGCCTATCACCCGAAGCTTGTCCAGGTGGGCAAGCACCCCGTTAGACGTGTTACTGCGGGCGCGCTCCGTCTGAGCATGACCTCCAGACTCCCGGCGACGATGGGACTCGTATCGGTCATCACGAGACCTGTCCTCCCTATCCCGCTCCTCGCGACGCCGGTCGTCACGTCGGCGTTCGTCACGGTACCGGTCGTCGTGGTGTCTGTCAGGTCTGTGACGGTCGTCATGGAGACGGTCCTCACGGCGCCTGTCGTCGCGATGCCGCTCTGCACGCTGTCTGTCGTCCCTGTGCCTGTCCTGGCGGTAACGATCCTCGCGATGGCGGTCATCGCGGGACCTTTCCTCTCGACGATGGTGGTCGTCATCCCTGTGACGACCTCTGTCAAGATCCGCTCGTCGGTCGTCCCGCCAATCGTCTTCGCGGTGACGCCGCTTGTCCAGGCGGTCACGGTCGTCGTGCTTGCTGGATCGCCGCTGTTCATCCAAGCGCCGATGCTTCGGGCTACGTCCGCCCTCAAGATTCGCATGCCTCCGCTTCGACTCAGGGCGCGGTGTCCCGTTCTCGTCCTGGTGGCTGCGTGCCCTGTGCAGCTCAGGTTCTCTCTTCCTAATGGAGCCGCTGTTGGGCGCTGGCGAGCCGCTCGAGCCGTGACGTTGTCCGTTGCCCAGGTGTCCCTTCTTGTTGTTGCGGTGGTGGTTCTCGACCTTGCTCAACAGGTTCTTGTCCGACGAGTGCTTGGCTTGCAGTACGGACAGCAGATACTCAGCACGACGCACCAGATGCACGGCTCCTGGAGCCTTCTGCTTGTCCTTGGCTTTGCTCCGCTCCTCTTTGCGCGCAATGCGGCCTTCCTCCAGGAAGAGTTTGTCCTGCAATCCGAGATCGGGATCGTCGCGTATCCGGACCCACGAGCCGAAGCCATGACGGTCGATCCCGACGAGGAGCATGCCGTCTTCTTTCGCACCCCAAGGACAGCTATAGCTTGCGCCTTTGGTCGCATCAGGAAGTCGGAAGGATTTCCACTCGGGAGCAGCAGCTACTGCCTCGCGTAACAGTTGCAGTTGAATGGGCCTGTCAATGGCTGTCTCAGCATTGACTTTCTTGAGTTCGCCAAAGTCAATCAAGACGGCTTTGCGGTCTTTCTTGTTGAGAGCCTTGCCTGCTTTCATCTCTTCCTCAGCCATCTTCGAAATGTTGTCTTCCACAGCTTCCCGGGCGCGACTGACAAAGTCACCCAACATGGCCTTCACCAAATCGGGATCCCTGTCGCCAAGTTTCGCGTCAGATATTATGTCGTCAGCTCTGTGTTCTATAGATCCAAATTTGAAGTAAGCTTTGATCAGGACACGCTGCTCGGAGACGTCGAGCGGCCGCTTTGGATCGGCCTTCTGCAAACGCTTCTCGGCCTCTTCTGCCTCCTGCTCTTGCTGTCGCTTCTTCAAACGATCAGCGCGGTCAGTCTCCTTGTTGCGGTGCTTGATAGTGGCTCTGCGCGGTGCGCTTTCTGCGGCAAGCTTCGCGAGATACTCTTCGTTCTGCTTCCTCTCCTCGTCGGCCTTGATCTCAGCGAGTTTGTCGGCGGGGATGATTTGGTCCCAATCCAGGTTAATGTCGTCGACCTTGACATCGGTGATTTGCATGAAATTGTCCCAGTCAATGCCTCCGCTGCTGAGGTTGATCTTGTCGTCTACTTTGGTCTTGGTAACCTCAGCATTCTCTAGAATGGAGTCAATGTCAAGCTGCTCCAGTCGCTCCTGGTTGCCCGACTGCTCAAACATCTTGGAGGAGCGCATCTTGAGGACCATCTGGATGTCTTCGTTCGACGTGGGACCGTCCGTCTTGAGGCCCTTCTTATTCAGCTCAGACTGCATCATGGCTTTCCCGTCATCGGTGACGCCTGCTTGAATCGTCAAGTATTCAAGTAGAAGCTTGTTTCGCGCCCGCTCGAGGACTTCCTCCTCAACTGTCTCCTTGCTGACCAGTCGGTATATGTTGACAGGCCGCTTCTGGCCAATGCGGTGGGCGCGTGCCATTGCCTGCAAATCGGCTTGGGGGTTCCAATCGGAGTCAAAAATGACTACAGTATCTGCCGTCATCAGGTTGATACCCAAACCACCCGCCCGAGTAGATAGCAAGAAGCAGAAATCCTCGCTGTCATCGGCGTTGAAATGGTTGATCGCCATGCGACGAGGACCTGCAGCAATGGTACCATCCAGCCGCTGGAATTTGTAACCGCGCAGAGACATGTAGTCGCCTAGAATGTCCAGCATCCGCACCATCTGGCTGAAAATCAGGACACGATGCCCATCCTTCTTCAACTTCGACAACAGCTGGTCCAAGAGCATCATCTTGCCGCTGCTTGCGATAAGGCCTTTGATCTGGTCCTCACGGCGTGTGCTGCCCGCTAGCACCCTTTCCTCAGCACCTGCAAACATGTAAGGATGGTTGCTGACTTTCTTCAGCTCCATCATAATGTTGAGCAAGGAGTTCTTGTGCCCATTGTTAGCCGTAGACAAGGCAGCGTAGTTCCTGGTAATGATGTTCTTGTAGTAGTCAAGCTGGACATCGGACAACTCCACGCGAATGATCTTTTCTGTTTTTGGTGGGAGGTCGGACTCGACTGTCTCTTTTGTTCGGCGGATGATGTAAGGTGCAATGGCATTATGCAGGTCCTGTAGCTTCTCCTGTGCATCGGCGGCTGACAGGGAGTCAAGATCCTCATCAATGTCCACTTTGCCGGGGTTAAGGAAGTCGAGAAGAGCTGAGAGCTCCGCCAGGTTGTTCTGGATTGGTGTGCCGGTGATCAGAATCTTGCAAGGGACGCCAAAACCCACCAAGCGGCTGTACAGCTGGGATTCACGGTTCTTGAGACGATGTGCCTCGTCAACAGCGAGCGTCTGCCATTTGATGGAGGAGAGGAATTGCCAATCTTGCAGGATAAACTCGTAAGAGGTGACCAGCACGTTGAACTTTGGTTTCTTTGGGTTACCGTCCACAAGGAGCTCATTCTCTCGAATAATCTTCCTGGCATCTTCCGGACCAAGGTAGACAACATAGTTGATGTCGGGGGACCAGTGGTTGAATGTATCGCACCAGGCAGGGATGACACTGAGTGGCGCGACAACGAGTGAAGGTCCCTCTTGTCGTCTGTCATTGCGAAGCCAGCTGAGGAATGAGACGGTCTGCACGGTCTTGCCCAGGCCCATCTCGTCGGCGAGGATAACATTGTTGCCTCTGGTCCAGTTCAGGCACAAAAAGTTCAAACCTTTCAGTTGGAACGATCGAAGCTCGCCTCCTTGGATGTAACTGGGTTGCTCCTCGAGTTTTGTCATCCTGGAACGGGTCTGCAGGCTGGTCTCCTTCTTGTCAGACTGCCAGCTGCGCGAGGCGCGGTCAAGGTACTGATCGATCTTGTCTTGGAACATTGGACTGATCAGAGATGCCTCTTCCCATGTACACATGTCGTAGGATAACCCTTTCCACTTGATAAAGTACTCGGTGTCATCCTCGCCATCGCGGATGCCCACGACTCTTTCCACTTTCGTGTAGTCTTCGAAGGCTTCCTCGTCACGCTCACGGTCAAGAAAGAATTGTTCCTTTGTCTCGGGCGGGATGTCATACCCAAACCGCATCTCGAGTTCGATGTCGACCGTTTTCCGGAAATAGTTCTCGACCCTCCGGACGCCTCGAACGAACTTGAGGGAGTCGGTGGTCTCCCATGTGTCGTGCAAATGTGATTTGCCTTGCCATTTAATGTAGTACTCGAAATCGTGCCGTTGCAAATCGTACGCAAGCTCGATACCATCCTTGACCCGGTGTTTGACGACTCTATCGACATAAGGCGAGTCGTCAACGTAATCGGCGACATATTCTACGTTTGCCTGTTCAACTTCATCGTCTTCCTCGTCGAAATCGCTTTCCTCGTATGCGCCGGTCTGCACCTGCTGCGCAGCACGCCGGCTCGACCAACGTTTTTCGGACAGGTTTGGCTGCTCTGCTCTGTGGAGACGAGCTTTCTTCTGAAAGGTTCGCGCCCGAGCTCCGCCATAGACGTCGGAGACATCAGAGTCGGAGTTGTTTGTGGAAGATTGGTGGTGCGCAGGGCTTACTCGTTTCGAGGCTGCTAAAAGTTCAGTACGATGAGACAACACTGTGGTTCGGGTTGGATCTACAATTGCGGGAGGACTCGATACGTCGACGCTTCGCGTGCCGCCTGTTAGTAGGGCCAACATCAGAGTCGGAATCATCGGAATCGACCTTTAGTCATCAGAAAGCAATACAAGACACCACTGGGGAGTAGACTTACGACTTTGCGCGACTCTCTCGGTCTTGTCTGCCGGCACATTAGTCGATAATCGCAGGAGATGGCGGTGAGGGATTTGTGTCATACACTACGCCGAAGGCCATATAGCTCTGGATCCATTCTCATATAATCATCTTCGGCCACGGCGGTCTTGCGCTTGGTGGCAGTGGTGGACGACCCGGAACTGGCGTGTTCGTCGACCATATCCTCGTCGTGATGAGACGCTTGGCTTTCCTCCATGTCAAAGTCTGCATCCTCCGACGCGTCATTGGGCGACGGAGGACTACTGCCAGCGATACTTTGTTCATTGGCGAGGCCATTTGGAAGGTCTTCGGTCTCGCTTGGGCTCGGTGAGAAATTTCGTGTGGGAAGCGCCTGCGCGGCGTCGACGCGTTCAGTGTTGTTGAGAGTTTGTCCATCTGCAGCATGTGTTTCAGGATCAATTTCAGGCGATAAATGTCCATTCGAGACGTCACCCTGTGTAGGGGTCGCCATCGTGAAGTCTTAGGTTAGGCTGCCTGCTGGAAGGACGACGAGGTCAGTAACAGTCCATTAAGGTTTGGTGAACAGAACAGTGGTGAGGGTGCGTCAATCAGCCCCCCGCGACCAAGATTCGAGTATCCAAGAAGATAGCGGACCTGATATCGTTCAGATATCGGACCTGTCGCATTCATGGGTGTTTTGATGATGGCGAGCCTGTGTGACGATGGGAGGGAAATTGGCGCGCCTGAGAGCCGTGGACGCTTCGAGCATGTCTGGAATGAGTCGCGATCATCGAAGTGCATCGATCCGCATCAATGCGAGGCCTTAGCGGCTTTGTAAAGTGTTTGACAGGGCGTGATATCGATATCGGATATGGGGTCGAGGCTGTATTGATGGGCGGACGCGGCAGGACTAAACGGCAGGTAGGGATTTCAGGCGACGTGGCTGACTTACAAGTCATGTAGCAAGGACTGTCAGGCAGCAAAATATATATGTGATATGTGCCGGTACAATCGAAACTGGTGAATGTGGTATGGGTATATGGTGGTGGACAACGAGGGTGAGGTGCAAGGCGGATGGTGGATGGTGGATTGTCACAAAATCGGTGGAGAGGTTCTGCCATGAAAGAATTGGATGGTCCCGTTCGGCAGCAGCAGCGGCTCATAGGCGGCTGTGACGGTATTTACAGTGGCTGAACCCGTTTACGCTAAGCCTATCTTGGGAACGTTATGTCCGGCATGTAGATCACGTGTGGTCAAAGTACAAGGTGCACTGAGTTCACCTTGTCAATACAGAGGCCATCATATGGAAAATGGAAGCAAAAACGCAAATATCTAATGAATCTTATTGAGCTCTTGCTACGCTTTCATTGCTAGCTTCACTCTCACCTGTGGGATACCGCTCACGAGTCTCCGTAAACCAGAACAGGTGGCGTAGTTCAATTCGTCTTTACTTTCTTTATTCATTGCGAAAATTATGCTTCGCTTGTGCATTTTTTTCAAACAGTATATCAATCTATACAAGAATCAGGCGCAATTTTAAGAACCAACTATACGAATGAGGCGCAATCATAGAATTAACAATGCGTGATTAGTCCATGTACCAGTACAGGGTAGGTTGATTTGGGCGGAATTCTGACGTCCGTCGTCTATACTAAAGTGTACGTGTTTTGTTGGTCTTCTTGGTCATGCCGGTTGTAATTCTCAACAAGGTAGGATGGAGTGTCAAGTGCCCGTGAAGTTCAAATCACCCCCATGATGACTGCAGTAATCTGCATACTTTAACTGCTTGCCTGGGGAGGTGCTCAACGATGACGCACGGATCAAGCACCGTGGACAATTTGTCGGGTGCGTGCCCTGTCTCGCTTGCCCAATCAGACCACGCACAATTACAAGCGCCTTCACCCGCACCCTCGACAAACCAAACTTGTCTCCAGATCCTTACAACGATCAGCTGGCTTGGATCCGTCACGACATCAGGTGTCTTAGCTTGGGTATCCGCTCGTACACGGTCGTCACTGCGGTCTTTCATCGATTGTCACTCGCAAATCGCCCGCGCGCGAACGACACCGAGCTCGGAATTTGATTTTAACTACTGCGGCTATCCATCCGCGCGCAACAACGCCACAATGTCGGACAAGCTCACGCGGTACGCTTCAACGAGGACGCTTTAGTAGCGGTGGCATCTTACTAATATATGTCTACAGTATCGCCATCGTCAACGACGACAAGGTTAGTATCCCAATCCTCGCATCCTCATCTCGATACATGGCGCAAAAAAAGAAAAAAAGGACCCCGCCTACCCCGCCACGTACCGCACGCAGTCGACAGGCAAAACAATCAACATGAACTGACGCTGAATTCACATATAGTGTCGTCCGCGCAAGTGTCGCCAGGAATGTAAGAAGTCTTGCCCCGTGGTACGCAGCGGCAAGCTCTGCATCGAGGTGTCGCCGACATCCCGACTTGCCTTCATCTCCGAGACGCTGTGCATTGGTTGTGGTATCTGCCCCAAGAAGTGTCCCTTTGATGCCATCACCATCATCAACCTTCCCACCAACTTGGAGAGCCAGGTCACCCACCGCTATGGGCCCAATGCCTTCAAGCTGCATCGTCTCCCCATGCCTCGCCCTGGCCAGGTCCTGGGTCTGGTCGGAACCAACGGTATCGGCAAGAGTACCGCTCTGAAGATCCTCAGCGGCAAGCTCAAGCCCAACCTGGGCCGCCACGATAACCCCCCCGACTGGGAGGATGTTATCAAGCACTTCCGTGGCTCCGAGCTCCAGAGTAAGGCACTTGCGATGGAAGTTGAAATCAAAGCTAACATCGTTGGCAGACTACTTCACCAAGTTGTTGGAAGACGATCTCAAGGCTGTTGTCAAGCCCCAGTATGTCGACCAGATCCCAAAGGCTGTGCGTGGCACTCAGAAGAGCGTGCGCTTCCTCCTCGAGAGCCGCGCGACCCTCGGCAACACGGAGCAGGTCACCAACACACTCGAGCTGCAGCACTTGATGGACCGTGATATCAACCTCCTCTCTGGTGGTGAGCTTCAGCGCTTCGCTATTGGTACCGTGTGCGTCCAGAAGGCCGACGTCTACATGTTCGACGAGCCTTCCTCGTACCTAGATGTGAAGCAGCGTCTCAGTGCCGCCCAGATTATTCGCTCGCTGCTGCGTGACGATGACTACGTCATCGTGGTTGAGCACGATCTGTCCGTTCTCGACTACCTGTCCGACTACATCTGCGTTCTGTACGGTCGTCCCGCTGTTTACGGTGTCGTCACCCTCCCGTACTCTGTGCGTGAAGGTATCAATATCTTCCTGGACGGTCACATTCCCACCGAGAACTTGCGCTTCCGCGAGGAATCCCTCATTTTCCGTATTGCGGACACAGTGGAGGAATTTGCCGTCGACAAGTCTCGCGCATTCAAATACCCCGCCCTGGAGAAGAAGCTGGGCAACTTCAACCTTCGTATCGATGCTGGTGACTTCACCGACTCTGAAATCATCGTCATGATGGGTGAGAACGGTACCGGAAAGACCACTTTCTGTCGCCTGCTTGCGGGCGCCCTCAAGCCTGACAGCAAGAAGTCTGTCCCGGAGATGAAGATCAGCATGAAGCCCCAGACCATCACGCCCAAGTTCGAGGGCACCGTTCGCCAGCTCTTCTTCAAGAAGATCAAGCAGGCATTCCTGTCTCCTCAGTTCCAGACCGACGTCGTGAAGCCCCTCAAGCTCGAGGACTTTATTGACCAGGAAGTGAAGAACCTGTCGGGTGGTGAATTGCAGCGCGTGGCCATTGTGCTTTCGCTCGGTATGCCCGCGGACATCTACCTGATCGACGAGCCCTCGGCCTACCTCGACTCTGAGCAGCGTATCATCGCCTCGCGCGTCATCAAGCGCTTCATCATGCACTCCAAGAAGACCGCTTTCATTGTCGAGCACGACTTCACCATGGCTACCTACCTCGCTGACCGTGTCATTGTCTTTGACGGCCAGCCCGGTATCGACGCTCACGCCAACAAGCCCCAGTCCCTCTTGACTGGCTGCAACAGCTTCTTGAAGAACCTGAACGTCACTTTCCGTCGCGACCCGACCAACTTCCGCCCTCGCATCAACAAGCAGGGATCTCAGCTGGATCAAGAGCAGAAGCTGAGCGGCAACTACGTGAGTCGATCGCTGTTGATATTGTGGATATATGCTAACTATGCGCAGTTCTTCCTGGAAGAGAACGCTGCCGCTACGGAGAAGAGCTCTTGAAAAGGGCACATACAACGACATACCCGGACGTGACCACCACCACCACCACCACCACCATAATCATCGACAGCATGTACTTGCTGGCGGTGGGGGCGTCTTGGAAGGAGTCATACTTCAGAAAACCCGCGGAAGCGCTTCGGGAGTTGAAGGTCCCGAGGAAGCTAACGCCAGCGAGGACGATGATTCGGATGGCTAACAGCGGTGGACGACAGTCTATTCCCTGCTGTCTGGTCCTGCAACAGAGCCTTGGTGTTTAGTAACACATGAGCTCTTAGCAGATTGAGGGACAGTGGATCAAGCAGAGTGACTGTCGTCGCGAGCCTCCTACCTCGCGGGAGGCGTATTGCAAGGGGTCAGTAGCTACAATTAGCATCAGATGGGAAGGGAAAAGCTTGCATCGTCAATTACATGTGCCATCGTGCGAAAGAACTAAATCCGCTGTTCTCGATTATGGTGACCTCAATAAGGTGTAGGAAGATACGTACTAGCTAACAAGGAGGGTGTGTGGGATGAATCTCGGAACGGGGCCGTCGCCGCTGGTGCTTGCTTGTGCATGTCGATAGCCTCGAGCGGCGCATCAGTACGAGTAATTCGACTCCTGTACTCGAAAGGGTCATCCCATCTACAAGCATGGGACGTTGCTAGGACGTACTAGTAGTTTTACAATCCCGGAAGATGGCCGCGCCATCATTCTTCCTCCTCAATCTCACCTTCCTCGCTCCCCGATCTGATATCTCTAGATGTGGGTTCGGGCTGAGGCGTCTTCTTGCGAGGAGCGTCACGCAGAGGGGTGCGCTCCAAGCTCTTCTCCCTACGGATGCGCTGTGTAATGTTTAGCTTAGTCACTTAAGCCTCATGGGGGCTGGGCTTACCTTAGAGTCGCGTGAATCACGTCGTCCCGAATCGTCTTCATCCTCACGGCGTCGTCGGGTTCCTGAAGATCTCTCATCCCCGTACGGCAGCTCATCATACGAACCTCCACGCTCCGTGCGGCGGCGATAGAGCCTCTCACGATCCTCCTCGCGAACTCTCCGCTCGCGGTCGTAGTGGGCATCGTCATCACGGCGACTGCGAGGGGGTCGATCAAAGTCTCTATCTCGACCACGATCTCGCTCACGGTCGCGGTCGCGGTCTCTTTCCCGTTCTCGCTCCCGGCGTGGGGGAGGAGAAAGACGACCTCGATCGCTCGTGAGCAGGTTTTCTGCCATGGTTGACTTGCGGTGATTGCGCTCGCGCTCAGCAATGGCTCGTCGCCTGTCGGCCTCGTACGCATCCACCTCGGGGCTGCGACTGCGACGGCGACCACTGCTACGGTGAGATCGCTCGCCCCTGGATCGGTCTCTGTCACGGCGATCGCGCTCCATAGAGGGACGATCTCGGCGACGCTCCCTGCGTTCAGCATCCTCTTCCTTTTCTCGCAGACGGCGGATGTGCTTGTCAAAGGCAGCACGTCGGGACTCCTCCGAGGTTACAGCTTGAAATTCGTCACTCTTGAGTAGGCGAGCCCGGACATCCTCGTAGCTGTCGTTGATGGTAATTGGTGGTTCAACGCGCCTCATGTGGCTCCGCAGATCGTCTATGGCACGGCGCTGATTACGGTCATCGTCGCGCTTGTCTTCTCGTTTGGTGACCCGCTTCTCGCGCAGCTGTGTTATTGTCATTAGCAGGGACCCTTCCGTCTATCGGCATGAAAGAACTTACGCGATCAAAAATCAGCTTTAGGGTGTTACGGTCGATGTTAGCAGTACGACGATCATCCTTGACAAGGGACAGAAACTCTTCGAACTCGCTTGTGGAAGTCAGATCATAGCGTTTATCCTGCGTCCCGTTAGCGATTGCTCTTGCAGCATTCACACTTCACGCTGTAACGTACCTCCAGAACATCGAGGACAAGGTTCCTAGGTCCTCTCAACGCGCGGCCCTCCTCTTCAACAATGTCCCAGAAGAGCTCCTGCGCAGTCGAGCCAGGGTTGCCAGCCATGTTGATGTAGCGCTCATCTTTTTCAACCAGCGGCAGAAACTGGGACCACTTGGTACCAGCGTTGATCTTGCCCTCCTTGCGGAGCTCGGCCAACAGTGCTTTGAAGGCGTCTCTCGCCTTGCGTTCCTCACGGTATTTGCGATCTTTGCCCTCTTGACGGGAAGCTGCAAACCCACGCTCGACGGCTTTCATGTGGTTTTGAAAAGCAGTCAAGACATCAAGCTGAGTGAGTGTCTTGTACTTGGCGTCATTCTGGAAGGGTTGTGTGGTCGAAATGATGTTTTGAGCATCCGCCCAGCGCGTATAGGGCTCCAACTCCAGTTTTGGCAGCAAGTCAGCCAATCCATCTATGGCGCTGCGACGATTGTTTGTCTGCTCCTCAGCGTGTGCTTTTTTGAGATCAATAATGTATTCTTCGAACAGCTGACGGCGCTCCGTCTCGCTTTTGGTTGACCGAAACGTAGTCTCGCCTTCGAGGATCGGTCGTGCCGTCTTCCATCGGGTATAATGCTTGATCTCAGGGTGTCGCTTCAGCATGGTCTCGAAATCGGCTCGCAGCTTGGTCAATCTTTCCTTGGCGCGTTCCTTGTCTTGGACGAGAACATCCTGACAAAACTTCTCAAACGCAGCCTTGCGTTCCCTGGGGTCCTTGATGGCGCGGAATTGAGGGTCGCGCGCGGTCGCCCGGATGGCCTGCTCCCAGGTCCAGTCAGGCTGGACGCCACTGCGACGAAGCAGCTTGTTGAAAGCTGCCTCGGCCTCCTCCGCGGTCGAGTATTCGGGGTCGTTGCTCGCGGGGACGAAGCTCTGAGCTTTCGGATCGGATGGGTATGTAATCTGACGTGGTTCGACATGTGAGTCACGGCTTTCGCGCCCCTGGTCGAAAGAATTCGATGGGCCGCTGGCTGCGTAGGAACTCTGCGGTGTCGGTGCGCTGGGCGTCCCATTAACACCAAGCGCGGTCTTGTAAACCTCTGGCATGTCCCACGAGCTCTCCTTAGTCTCGGTGTTATACCAGTACTTTCGACCGCCCTCGGCAGTGTATTCCTTCCATGGCTGATTTGCCAAGGCGCGCTACAAGCTTGTCAGTGAAAACGCATGCAAGATGTTGGCTTCCGTATCCTACCTCAGCAGGCGACATCATCTCCTCGGGCTTGGTCCATTGTGTTGCCTTTGTCGCAGTGTTGTAATAGTAGGCGCGTCCATCTGGTGTTCGATGCTCTTGCCATACTGAGGGTGGTTGGCCAAACGGTGGAGGCGCAAACCCATTCATTGTGCCGCGGTGCGCTCGTAAAGCCCTTGAATCACTCAAGTAGTGATGAAAGTCCCGTTTCCAAATCAATCGGTGGTCACGATTTGATTGCCGTAGTGCTGCGCGAGCTGACTGGAATGATGTTGCGTCGTGTGTCGAGATTTCTTGCTAGTCCAGGATGCAAATTCCGGCAGGAAGCTTTGCTCATGCGATCTGTGGCTGCATGTGTGGCTGGGTGTGGCGCATGGGCCCCCTGCGGGGACGGGGAACTGCTCTCAGTGAAGTGAAGTTAGGCGTCAGACAGACACGTTAGTGAAGCTCAGATCAGATCAGGGGTCGACAGTCCTCCTCCTCGACCATCGAGGACACACGAAAAAGCATGCAGACCTCTTAAAAGGGGCGATAGGCGTGCTGTTCGTTGACAATGACCAATACCGGCCCAAACCTGGACGCTATCGACAGGATTCCTGAGATGGCGGCACCGCCATCTCCAGGTACCGCGTTCGCAGACCAGTCGAATCTCACATACCTCGTGCCCGCTACTACCAATCTTGACCTGGAGAACTTGTTTGGAGACATTGAATCCGGGACTCCTATCCTCGAATCTATAAACACAAGGGATTCCTTGTTCTTTGGTACACCTCCCCTGAGCGTACCCCTGAGCCAGCCGATCATTGACTTGTTCTAGATGAGACGGTGGAGGTGGTGCTCGTATTGAAAGCCCCATGGCTGGAAGAGAACGCATTCCAGGCCCAATTGCAGAGACTGGTATTGTCAGTTGAGGCCCAGGTTGTCAATGGCAGCGTGCCCGGACACAACAGTCCTCCGGCTACGGACACCATCTTTAAAGGCACCGTCGACGATGTTAGCGACCCTTTCATCCTGGTTGGGGAAGAAGAGAGCGACTCAGATGAGGGAGCAACGCAGTTTGTGTATGCAGTCTGGAAGCTGCCCGTGTTCCTTGGTCGACCGCGCCTGCGACTGCATAGCCCGTCCATCGTTTTCACCGCCTCCGCCAGCCTGAATCCAGACATCAAAGCCGAGCTCTCTGCAGGGGCCAATGGATATCTACCCAGCGGTGTCCCCTCTGGCTTCAACCTGCTCGAGTCCTTTGGGAGCGATCCACTACTAAACGGCGTCAAACCACGACTCTCTGCTCTGCGCGTGTCCAAGGTGACACCCTTGACCCGGCAACAAGATCTCATGCAGCACATACGGGCCATGCAACAGCTCAAGCTCAACATACATCCCATTCTACATGCCCGAGTTCGCTTCACTCGCCCAAATACGGCACCCGCGACACCAGCGGTCATTGCAATGCTAGAAGTGGACTTTACCCCCTTCTTGGAGTGCAGAGTCACCATCGACAAGATCCACCTCTCCGTGTCCGAGACCACGATCAAGGACCTCACTGATGTAGAAGGCATTGCGTTGCCACTGCCCTGCGTCAAGCATGACCAGGTCACTTTCCTCTACCACATTACCCCGTTGGACGCCGATGCACTCTCCGGCCGAAATGCCACCCGCGACCTAGACATCTCTATATCAGCGACAGCGGCGCTGATCCCTGGCACCTGCACGCCCACACTCACCATGTCATGGAGCGCGTCGGTGGACTTCACGACACCTGTCAACCCAGGCTTCGGCCCAACACCTGGGACATCCAGCATCCAGCGCGCCCACCGACCGTCACAACTGTCCATCGGTGGCGGACAGGCGGTGACATCCCTCAAATCACCTTCTGTCACACAGCCCGACGCCCTCCCTTCGCTCGAGGCTGCCACAACCCGGAACGAGAAGAACATCCCTGATCTAGGGGTGACCATGTCCTTCACGGCACCCACAACGCCGATCCATGTAGGGGAGAGGTTCTCCTGGTCCGTGTACATTGTCAACCGCTCTACGGAGAAGGCAGCCCGTCCGCCCCGAAAGTTCGCCCTCCTCGCGATCCCCAAACGTCGCAAAAGCGAACATCGCACAACGAGGCCATTGTCATCGTCTTCGCACCGTCGCGGCGCCAGCCTGCGCGGGGGCGGCAAACCGGCCCCTATGGACGTCGCGGACCCTGTGGTGGATGAAAACGTCCTCCACGCCCTGCAGAAGAACTCGGCCACGGGGGACACGGATGTCATCTGCTTGACGGCGGACGCTCGGTTTGGCCCACTCGTGCCGGGCGCTTGTCATCTTGTCGAGCTGCAATTCATAGCAATGACCGAGGGCATTGTGGCATTGGACGCCATAAGGGTTGTCGACCTATCCTCACAGGAGCATGTTGACATTCGAGATTTGCCTATGATGCACATAGAGCCAGCGCGAATATCATAGTCTGGGGTTATGTTTTGAACAGATGCGATTTTATCATTTCGTCCCAAGAGGTGGTAGCGATGCCAATAATGCAAGTGAACGCCGTGCCATGCTATACCACAATCTATCTATCATTCCCATATTGTCAAGGCACGCCTCCTGCTAGCTTACATCCATTGATACGCCGCGACAGATGGAAATGCCATCACCATGATTTTCTCTTCATAATAAGTCGTCCAAGTCATCATCATCGTCCCAGCCGAGTTTCTGGTAAATAGACACAGGTTTCGTCTGGGGTTGCTTCTTCTCCAAGTCATCAAATGCCAATGATTTCGCTGTTTGTGTTTTTATTGGTGTCTCTGGCACACCACCTAGCCGTGACATGAATGAGCTGGGTTGCGTGGGTGGTTTCGAGATAGTGGGAGGCGCCATTGGTGACTCGGGCATCGCGCCCGCGCGTCTCATCATGACAGGCGAGGACGGCGGAATGGACGGTAGCTCCGTCGCGGGTCTTCGCAGGAACGAAGAGCCCAAGTTGAGTTTTCTCACTGGGTCCCGACCAGGAATGCCTCTTGACGGCGTGGGTGGAACAATCCCATAGCCGTCACGCTGTGAGGTGGAAGGCACAACAGGTCCTGCGCTTGATGGCGGGACGACATCTTCCGTCGAAGGCAACGGAATGTCAAAGGGACTATCGTCCCCCGCACCTGTCATCTCTTTGAACCTCTGATTCATCGGCGTGGCCTTTACTTGCACGCCTGTTCCCGAGGCATATTTCGGTCCTTTTCGGGGTTCTGTGCCAGTCAGCGACGGCACTTGGTGTCTACGATAAGTCGACTTACTCTTGTGAGAATGGGCAGTAGAATTTTTGCGCTCGGCGGCCTCTGCCAACGCCTTCCCAACGACTTCTCGGTTTGGTTTGCGCAAAGCTGTGATAGCCTCCCGCAGTTCCGCGTCAATCTTGGCCTTCTTGTTCGCTCTGGGGTCATCCAGAGTCATGCTACTTGAGCTTCGAGAAAGAGGCCTTGGACCTTGCGAGGTAGTACGGGCCTCATTGACCATGGTCTTAAGGATATTGGAGTCGCTAGCCTCGCGCTTGACACTAGGCAAGGCAGTTGTAGTTGTAGTTGTGCGCATTAGTTCTGCGAGCGCATTCGGCCCCCGCGAAAGGCTGCGGCGATGCTGCTGATCCATTGACAGAGCACGTTTCAGTGACCTTGGCTCTTTGGCGGGTGCCGGGCGTTTCAGGGAGGCCCCAGGCCTCAGGTCCTGTTTGCTAGATGACCGAGAGGGCTTCACCCTCTTGGTAGGGGCGATAATCACAGGCCCGCCAAACTTTTGACTAAGAGCGTGACACAGCTGTGGCAAACGCGAGGAGTAGCTGACTGCGTGAGCACGAACCCTTGGCACATGAGTGGTTCAACCAAACTTACAAAGGCACGATAACATCGACACAGAAGTCTCTTAGCGGTTCTGATGAAGCTTTCTGCTGGGTGGTCGCTATAGCTTCCTCTGTGGCCTGCGTGTCTTGTAGCAGGATATGGGCGTCTGATGCCATGGATTGCCAGATGGTCAATCGATCGGCGTGGACATCGACGAGCATGGGAAGATTATGCTTGCTGCGCTTCTTGCTCGATGACGGGGCTGCCTTTGGTTCAGATTCCGTCAGCTCAGGCAGGAAGGCCAAATGTGTATGGGCTGCCTCCTCCAAGGCCATCGTCTCCATGATGACAATCATTTGCAGCTGAGTTTCCCTCGTCCGGAGCAGGTCGATGCGATCCTTGATTTGGGCGGGCGAAACTCCTGCCTCCGAGTCCTCAGCCAGCGCAGGCTGATTCTCTGCCCACCAACGATGTACAATCTCGTCCTCCATCGGATATAAACCGTCCTTGCCAACCTTCATCTTCTTCGACTTCCGCCGCTTCTTGCGTCCTTCATCTGAGCTGTCCACAAACGTCTTTGTCTTTGCAAGCATCGCGGGAATGGTTTCGCGGAACTTCTTGTCTACCTGCACAGTAGTTAAGATGAGACTCTTCAAGAACTCGATTAAATCGTTTATATCCAAGTTCGATTCGAGATCCAAATGGAAAGCCGAACGAGCACGAGACAATGGTCCTTTTGCGAAATACGCAAGCGAGCCCTGAACAGGTGTCAGTGAACCATGCAGGCTCCGTTGCAGATGGACAAACCTTGGAGAGGTACAATGCCTCCAAGTATTGAGTTCGAATGTTATCACATAGACTCTCTGCCGTCTGCTGCTTCTCCTGGCTCGGCGGGGGCGGCTGCTTCTTCTGCTGCGGCTCAACCAACGGCGGCTTCGCCAACAAAGGTGCAGCAGTGACCGATGAGCTTTGCGGCCGTAATGATTCGACCTCTGATGGTTGCAATTCGGCAGAGCCAGGCAAGCTAGCGTCATCGGATCGCTCTTTGACATCGATCGTCGAGATGGAGTGTGACCGGGCATTCTTGCGCGTGAGAGACTCGATGGCGGCCCTCTTCCCCACGTCGACCTTGATGTCTGCCTTCGACTTGGCGGGAATGGCCATGTCGCTCGGGCCATCAGAACACTGTGTTGGAGGCTGGCATCGTTCTCTGCAGACTACCGTGGCATGGGCCAATAAAGCCTGCAGATCAACCCATAAGCCCAGCTTGCATGCCGTGTAAAGTCCGTTGGCCGTTCTCTCGAGAGCATAAAGCCGCCCGCGCGATTCGTTACGCACAATCAATACGCTTGGGCTTGAGCCCATCCGGCTTTCGAGATCGAGGATTTTGACATTGGAGGCGTAAAAACGGCTTGCGGAAAGGCCCTCCTGTGGGGATGAGAGGTCCAGAGAGGCCAGAGACAGGTGTTTTCGAGGAAGCAGCATCAAGGGTAGGAGTGTTCGAGGTTGGATTTGTAGATTGGGCGGATGTACCTGGTCACAGGGTTAGTGGGTGGGGGAGACAATCAAGTCGCACGGTGATACCTTGAGGCTAATTGCAGACTTGAGCAGATGGTCCATGGTCATGGAATCTGATCTTTTCCGCTTCCTGCCATCGGGAGAAGCCATGGGCTTTCTATCTTGCGCGGTGCTGCCATCAGATGTGGGCGTCAGGATGCCGGAGCGAGAGCGTGGACGCGACGCGTCTGCGCCTGGCAAGACGGTGAAGGACATATAGCCGAAGTCATGAGCTGACTATGTGAGTTGATGTAGAGCAAAGAATATAGGATATCAGAGGAACAATTGATACAACTTCAAACGGAGACACTGCGTCCGTAGTAAGAGATGATGGTAATCAAGAGCAAATGGACAGGGCGTGGTAACTTCAAGGTGGGGATCGACAGCCAACCGTCAACGCGATGAGCCGCTAAAAAGACGCGTGCTGCCGCTGCCGGCGACGTCACGGCGTGTACCGCGTTGGGAAGTGCAATGCATCACATCACAGCTGCTTACCCTACATGACGCCCTCAACTTCAATTATCAATGCCTGGAGCTTGACGGCTGTAGCCTTGAATGTTTCTAACCAGTCGAAGACATTCAAAACGGTCCTCTCGGACTACTATTAGGCCTTTCCGGAGTCTGAATTGTTGCCTCTATTCGAGAGTCCTGCCCCATGCGGAAACCCCGAGTTAGGAAAAGCGGAACTTCTAAGTGCAGTATAGCCGAGCAGAGCGACTTTCGGAGCGCTGTCAATACCTTCTCATGATTGATAAATGTTCACATCACATTCGACAAGTAGTTTCGAATGGTACAACAACGTCGATACATCTCAAATCCAACAAACTAACAGAACTGCTTCCTTCATCCCCGCCATAGCACCCATTGCTTGCGACACAAGCCTGCCGTCACTTCAGTCATCTCAGGTGGCATCAACACCACAGACCATGGGTTCACAACTCGATTTCACGTCGGAGCCCATCAGGGCCACCTTTGACGGGTTCCTGTTCGATATGGACGGCACAATCATTGATTCGACACCGGCTATCGTCAAACATTGGGAGAAGTAAGTCCCATAGCCCCTCGGAGACATGAAAGGAACGTCTCATTGACCCCGATACAGCCTCGGAGGTGATATCGGCGTAGACCCTGCCACCATCCTAGCAACGTCCCACGGTCGTCGCAGTATCGATGTGCTCAAGATCCTCGCACCGGAGAAAGCCAACTGGGAATGTGAGTAACCCGCCTCAGCCCCTCGGCCTTTCTGCTTGTCCAGATGATTTCTAACACGGACGACAAGATGTTCAAGAGATGGAAGGTCGTCTGCCGAGAGAGCATGCATCCTCCGCTACAGAGATCCCTGGCGCCCGTTCCCTCATTGACAAACTCATTTCACTCGCTTTCCCCTGGACGATTGTCACATCGGGCACACGACCTCTCGTAACTGGTTGGCTGAGCGTGCTATCCCTCGCGATACCGGAGCATATTGTGACAGCGGAAGACGTCCCTGTGGGCAAACCTGATCCCGAGTGCTACCTACTTGGGAAGAAGAAGCTGGGCATACAAGATGAAGGGAAGGACATCCTGGTCTTGGAAGATGCGCCCGCGGGTATCAAAGCGGGCAAGGCGGCAGGTTGCAAAGTGATAGGCCTGGTGACGAGCCACACAGCCGATCAGGTCGCCGCTGCCGGGCCGGATTGGATTGTGAAGGACCTGGAGAGCGTCAAGGTCGTTGGTGTCGAGGGAGGCAAAATCACCATTGAGATCTCAAACGCCCTGAAGTGCTGAGGCACTCCGGTCGAAGAGGACGGACGGATGGATACGTATTCTGCAAAAGAGAGGGTTTCCGAAATGCGGCGAAACTGGTGGATATAACCGATAAAAGTAAAAAGGCATTCCAAGAGAAAGAATCTAGAGGATGATCTTCATGAGACTGGAAGAAGGGCATGGGGTTGAGGGAGACCTGCTAATGATCCCTTTATTTAAGTTTGTTTCTGTAATGAGGATCTGCAACAACGAGCCAGACATCAGCCTCACTCGGCTGGGCCTAGGGCCGTCACACAGCTCAAACATGAGACTCGGTGCACTTTGGACCTGTTGTCCACTGTTCAACTCGCTGGTATTATCAAAGCTCATTCGTTGTTCACCTTGTGGGAAGACTTGAACGGGCGCTGCGATGTCCCGCAGAGCATCCTGCACAACACCGCAGAGTATATGTACAACATGTACGTAATGTCGTTACACGACATGCTCCGATTGCTGCAACAGCAATAATCCGTCAACCGGGCGGTAAAATGAGCGACGCAAGGACTGGTAGCACTGGCGGCTGTGATTCGTAGAAGCACAGCTGCAAGGTCCCGTTTACCGTCCCTAGCACATGTATGAACGCCTGCTCGATGGTATAAAGCCACCTGATCAGGGAAAATCGAGATCACAGAGGCCAGGACGTTGCAATTGTCACCGTCGCTGCAAGTGCAAGTCTCTCTTGGCCTGCATTTCTAGTCGTCTTTTGTCCCGACAAGATCCTCGCAGATGATAAGTAACATCCGCCCCAGTAGGCTTGCGTCATGTCCTCAGCAGATTTGCTTCAAAAGCGTCTGTGAACGTACGATACATGTACATGTACATTCGCTCCACGTATTCCCAAGGGGCTACCCAAAGAACTCCGCACGTTGTCTGGTTTTGATCTCGCGCCCATATCTCATCTCCGAGGCAGCAGATTGTCAGTCGCTGTCATGCGTAATAAAGTCACTGGCTGTGGAGGCCTGAGTTTTGTTTCAGTCGTTTGGTGCTCTGCAATGTGGTCGTGGCACATCCAGTCATATAGCGCCTTCTCGGTCCGCGGCAGTGTCAGACTGCCAATCGACAAGCATACCTCGTGGCAAGCATCATGGCCATCCTTGTAGACGCATGTGTCGATCAGGATGGTGAACGGACGATCCTGGGCCCTGAACCCATATCGTCCCACGCCGTTCACCGTAGGTATTACGAAAGAGGTGGCCGATGGCGCTAAATAAGAAGCCACGCAGACTCTCCATCAAGTCCAAAGCTGACCTACTGCAGGAGACATCTGCAGCTAGGCCGAATGTCTGAACACATGGTCCATCTCAGAGACTTACTATTATGAGATAAGTCCCATTATGGCCTGTTCAGAGTCGACTTCGCTGCACGTCAAGCTCACGCAGTCCAGAACAAGATGCCGTTGCATTCCGGTCTGGTCTAGCCTTGGACCCTTGGCCAAGCCTGGACCCTCGCATGGCCGATGCACCCACAGAGTCGGAAAGGGTTGCGCTTCGGAGGCGCCGCAGCAGACAATGTGTTTTGCTTTGGAACGGTTCGACCAAAGTCGTCATGTCGACGCAGCTGAACACGGAAAAGGAAGACGAGAAGCTTGCCCAGCACAGGTCGGACCAAGTGGCTAGTGGGTGGGATCGCTGCAGCCAGCGGTAGGGGGAGTGCTCCTCAGCCCCAGCCCCTGCCGCCTGCGATTGCTACGTCTGTTGCGATTGGGCGTGATCTGCATGTTCTTTCGTGGTAGAGGCACGCCGCACTCCAGCGTGCCTTAGCGCAAGGCCCCAGCGTGCGTGCTCGGATCATTTTCTGGTGCTCATCACACGTGGCCGTCCGGGCCCGAGATGCCACTAACAGCCCCGCCCCTGTTTCTGGCCTGCTGCCAGTTGAACTGCCACTGGCCACCCCAGCTGAACCAGCGTCCAGGGTTCCAGGCTCCAGCGGGCAGCGGCCGCCACCACAGGTGATCACCGTCCGTGGACCAGTGGGTGTGCCAATATGTACTACCAGTAGAACTCCAGTGCAGGTCCGTTCCCATTGTTACTTAGCTAGGTTCTTCAGTTGGTGCAGTGACTACAGCACCAGCGCCAATTCTACCATAGTAAGCTCTGTCAATTGTGCACCGAGATCCTCCGTCACCCTTTCGCAGTGTGAAATGCATCGAAAGTCAAGTCGAATTAATTCTGGAGCCGCTCACACTCATTGATTAGTCCTATCACCTGCACAGAGGGAAAAGTCCCCGAAACCGCCCTGTCAGGCTAGCAAAGCTACTAGCGGGCGTAGTCCCAAGGGTACCTGTAGCTCAGGCCTCCTGATCAGCTTGAAGCCTTGCTGATCACCCATCATTTATTCGTTGAACCCCGCGGATCTATACTCAGGGACCATTCGGAACACATTCCAGTCGACCCAGGTATCCGGCATGGCCGCGAAGCACTTTAACGTGCTAGTATCTGATACGTACGTAACTCTGACGGTACCCCATCACCACGTTTCTGCAATGACGATGAGGCGTTGCTCTTTGACCCAGCATATTGGTTTACGTCACAGAAACATTCCAGCCAGACAATGGACGCACGTCGGCCGCGATACATACAATGGGTATTGTAACAGCACTTGGAGTGTGATCATGACAAATTCAACACTACTTGCATTGTTGAGATCGAGGAGCCATCGTGGCGCGGAGCATATGCCCAAACGAGATACAAAGCACTTGGCAACCTTGCCGCCGCCGACTGCAGTCTGCTGGTGACTCGCGTGGTGAGAACCACTTCGGCCTACTAACTAACTGCATTTGCCGCTTGGGAGAGCCGTCACCTCATCACACAACGACGAAAGCGCGTGCGCCCTAGCACTGATTGGCTCACCGGCACCCCTTGTCTACTCCTTCTGTGATGAGCGTCGACAATGGTTTCACTTGAAGACGAGACAGCACGTTGCGAGCTAAGACAAGTCGTGGGTATCTGCTGGTTGGAGAGGGGAAACACGATTGGTCCAACTTTGGAATGCTACTGGGGCTATACGGAAAGCATGTTGCCCATGTGGTAGATTCGCGGCACTACCCAACAGCGGGCTGCAATACCGAGGCGGAAGCGTGAGAGTTCTGGTATTGGCTCGTAATATTGGCCATGTACCGACAGCGCTAGGAAGTGTAGTTTTCTCATTGTACGTACGTATTCACAACTGTGTCTCATTTGTATTTTGTCCGACTCCAATAGTCCGGGTGCGAGAAGATCGACAGATCTTCACTCGGCATTGCCCCATCGGCTCAACAGCAACGCCCCAGGGGCTCAGACCCAGCAATCGGGTCATCCATGTCGAAAATGGGCGACTGGTGAGTGATGAGTGATGAGTGACGATCAACGGCCGACGAGCTATTTACCACCATCAAGAGCATGAGACGTAGCTTAGCCTGGTTACCTGAGTATGTCACCGACGCTCAGAAGCATGAATGTCAAGCTGCACTCTGGTGGATGCTGTTAAAAAAAAAAAAAAAAAAAAAAAAAAAAAAAAAAAAAGAGCGCTTCGACCCCGGCCAGCCCTTCCACGTCCAGGGAGATTGAAGGCGTTTGACGAAGATTTGCGCGTTGTCTATTAATACGTAGTCAAGTAAATTAACGGTGCGATGAACACTAAATTCAATTGTTGTCGCACAGCTTCTGACGATCGCGCGCGATGCAGCGGCCTGTCTCTTGGAAGGCCCAGACCGTTATGATTTCTCCGGAGCCTCTGTGGCCCGCAGCCTTATAAATAACAATTACAGTTTCTTTCTTTCCCTGCATAGAGCCGGTGACCCGACGGCCGCCTCCGTGAGTGGGGCGGCGAGCCGGCTAAGTACCCGAGCACGTGGAGTAGCGTAGGATCGAATCCTGTCTCGCAAGTTTCCAGCAAGATTGTGCGAAGATATTCGGCACTGCCGATTTGCGACCACCACGTCAATGAAGCGTCATTGTGGGAGAGCTGTTTCCCCATACCTTCTCTGCAAGCATAGTCTGTCCGAAAACCCGACCGGTGCTTACTCCAATTCTCGCGGGACGGGATGGTAGTCTAGTAATTACGGCCATGCCAACTCGGCCATGTGTCGACATCTTTTCATTCTCGTCTCACGAAGAGGTTCAAGACGCGCTGGCAGCTCTGCTAAAAGGCTCGCTGGTGGACAGAAAGGCCCGTGTGCTTGTAGAAACTGATGAATGAGCTGCCTGCGGGCAGATGAGACAGGGTGGTCGAGGCCCAGAATCTCAGTTTGGTTAGCTTCGAGTCTCTCAGTGGGTCGATCGGGGTACGTGGTCCAGCCTATCAGAACGACCGGAGCCGCACTGACGGAAGTCATCGTATTCGCACCGCGATTCCAATTTCCAGCTGCCATGCTCTCTGGACTGGCAAGGTCGAAGGTGGCATCGATTGGGTTTGTTAGTCCACAACGCAGCCTACTCTCTTCGCGGTCTCCCTGGCCAGAATGTCGACTTTAGGAGTGACACGAGCCTGCAAGACCAAGCGGACAAGAGACTGGAGGCTAGCTTCTTCGTTTGCAGTTGCACACCAGTCGTTCAGTTTCCTCTGAGGCGGGGTCTCGGGCCTTGGGTAGCGGTGGAGGTGGTCCACCCGTAAGGTGATTTCCTTGCTGCGAATATACAGTACATGTCTTCCTGACTGAGAAGGCTGGTATTGCATGTGGTAACACCTAGATAACTACTCGTGCAATTTTCCAAACGCCGGAGGATTGACTCGTGGATATTCACGAGAGCCGAATAAGGGAAAACTGGCCATCGAAGGGCCACAGTGAGAAGGGACCGTCATTGGCCTCAGGGGCCAGGGGTTGCACATGAAGCTGCGGCTGCAAGGCGTGTCCACGGTGTGCTCATGCAGCGCAGTGGGAATCATCCCGCGGCTTGACTGACTGGCCTGTCCAAGCGAGTAGCAAAGGCGATGGGTGAATGATAGGGCCGGTGGTCGACGCAGGTTGTGTTGGGCGGTGGTTGTGGTGAGCCACTGAGCCCGAAGAGAGCTTCTGCAGGTGGAGCCATCTCAATTATGCACTGCTCTTAAACAAGGGCTCCTTCCGTGCGACTCCACTGCTATAGGAAGGAGTTGCACACTCCATCATTCAATGGTCTGGTCCAGGTAGGTACGTATCTCTGTGCCACATTGGATCCCCAGGGCGGATATATAGGCTCTGGATACCAGCAAGTGCACACACACCACCCTTTCTAAGCGGCATAGGACTCGGAGTAGTCTCTTGGTATTAGAGAGATCTCTAATAGCTTACGAGAATTGCTCATCACTGAATCCGTGCCCGAACGACCCCGAGGCTGTGGCTCTCGGTAAGCGTTGACAACTCGCAGGCTTCAGCCACCGGGTCCAATTTGAGAACCCAGCAACGCATCAATCTGACCGGAGGAGCAGCCGACTGGAGAGTGGGTGAGAAGCGCACTGCAGTCTGCAGAAACCCCAGCGAGTCTGCAGCCACCTGTTGTTTTTCTTTTGTCTCCATGTCTTCTGCTGCCATCAACAACATTCATTGTGTAGGTGCTTGGAACCTGGAATTGACGCTCTTTTTTTTTACGCTCAAAATTTGTCATGCTGGCGTCCAGTCGTCCAGTCGTCCAGTCGTCCAGTCGTCCAGTCGTCCAGTCGTCCAGTCGTCTAGTTGTCCTCTCTAGCTCGAGAAGTCCATGTTGTCTGAGACATCCACACCTACAGAGCCTGGCGGGATGCATCGGGTCTTCAACAACACGCCAGTCCAGTCGCTGGCGCCATTTAACGTGCCGCTGCCCCAACTTGTAAAATAACTTATAATAATGGCCTCGATCTCTGTGGTCCATGCCGGCAGAGCTGGCAAGCCATGCGGACAATAAAACGCGACCAGAGACTGGGCTGGAGTGAAAACAGGGTAGCATCGACAGGGGGTCACCCCGGGGGTCTAGGCTGCTCTGCTCAGCGCCCTTTCGACTGGACCTGGCCAAGCCCCTTCGGCGGCCGCGGTTCCACAGAGGCTGGACTGGTCACTGGATACTGGACGTTCGCCCAGGCCGCTTTCGGTTCTGCAAACCCAGCGTGAGAACAGCTGCCGCCCTGCCTCTAATTACATGTACGGAGTATGGAGGACGCCTTCAAAAGTCTTTGCCCGAAATTAAGTCACGCTAATCGTGAACATAACGAGGGTACTTTAGCATGTGACTAGGATCTTATCAAGGCTTAAGTATCTTCTGATAGTGATTAATCCTACTAGCGTCTTGGCGGGCAAAGACTTTTGAAGGCGTCCTCCGTAGCTGCGGTAAAAAGCCAAGTCCAGTCAGTGCCTGAAGGCGCTGCGATGCGCTGCCCTCCCCCCTACGATCATGTCGTTGTTGTCGCGTTGGGCGTTTCCGCCACACCTGCCTCCAACACGCTCTGTCTGTCCTCCACCCCCTCACCGTCAGTCCACCGGAGGAAGGGGTGAGCAGGTGGTCCAAGGGCATTGCAGTCCAGGTAAGGTATCGTGCACGAGGGGGCTCATGGACGCTACTTTGCTATCGAATGGACATTCCAGATCCATGCATTCGCCCGTCGACAGCGCGTAGTTAGGCAGAGACAATTCTAATTACAGTAGGGCGAGAAGCATCTCACGATGGTCAACTTCGCCGTGCTCTCGGGTTGGAGTTGGGGGCGATAACGGACCCAAACCGGCTGGATTCACCATCCCTTGCCTAGCACTTGGCGACATGACATGACACTGAACCAACCGCACGCGGTCAACTGAGCTGTCCCACCAGCAGCCTCGTCGTGGACAGTGCAACTGATGATCTGAATCGCGATCCGTATACCACCGTTCGTCAAGTCTGGCTTCTCCTGACCCAAGGCCAGGCTCAGCTCACGATTCTTCATCACGGCAGCGTGATACCAAACCCCAATTATCAATCTTTGCGATCTACGGCCAACTCCAGCGGTCATCCTTGCTGTTCTACTGGCGCTGGGTGCGCCTAGAAAAAGGTGGCTCGAGCGGCGTGAGACTGTCACCCCTCCCAGGGGTATTGCTAGCAAAAACGCGACTGGGAGTTTGGGACCCGCGGCCTGGGCCGCCGAGCGACGTCGACTGGAGCCTCCAGTCCTCTCCTCTCGCGCAGCAAAGTCATTCTAGACGAGCAGGGCCGCAGCGCCAGCTGGGCGGGTCAATCGTCGACATCAATGCCGGGGTAGACAGGGTTCATCCAGAGGCTACAGCAGGTAACGCTCTCCTTTGTGTCTTTCCTTCATCTACCCTCGCTCGCCCCGGCCCACCTCGATCAGGTTCCTGCGCTCCCTTCTCCCTCTTCTGCACTTTTATTCAACTACAAAGCCAAAGATCCACCCTTTGGCAACGTCATTCCGACAGAGTAGAGCTTGAATGCGCATTGTCTCGCCCTGTCGATAGCGCACCCACGTCTTCTTCGTGTTACACGACCGCCCTGAAGCCAACCCACCAACCAACGAACCAACCAACCCTAGCTATCATTCCCCCTGGGCATCTAGGAAGGATTGCGATACGTAGCCTGTTTAAAGGCGCAGAGCTGCTGCTCTCGGATGAGAAGCTTCCACAGTCCTGGGCCATTCTACTGCGATTCTGCAGTCTTTTGTCGACCAACCCACCCCATGTCACTCGTTTCACGACTACTACCACTCTCTTAATCTGACCACACCTAATCAACAAGCTTGCACACATATCGACATTTACAACAAAGTACTTGACTATCACATCGCGACAACGACGCTAGTCACACTACCACTAGGACTACTCACAACATGAGCTCTTTCACACAACCCCCCTGGCCGACCTGGGCCTACACAAACGAGGTTGGTAACGGAGGTTTCACAGGATACGCACAGTACCCTCACTACTCATCATACCTCTCGGACTCGATGGATGCGTATCAAGCTCACCACCATCACTTGGTCCATCATCAACAAATGTCGCGGACTACAGAGTCCAAGCCTCGCCTCTCCAAAGAAGAAGTCGAAACACTCGAAGCCGAGTTCCAGAAGAACCACAAGCCCAACAGCAGTACCAAGAAGGCATTGGCAGAGTCTATGAGGGTGGACAATGCGCGAATCAACGTAAGTATGGTGCTCGCACCTCCCGACACCCAGCAGGACATGGGGCTGAGATACTGCAGAATTGGTTTCAGAATCGCCGGGCAAGAGAGAAGAAGGAGAGGAACATACGCGAGTACGAAGCCCGCCAGAAGCTGGAGAAGCAGAAGAACGCAGTCGAGGGCGGCATGACCGAAGCACCCGACCGCAAAAGCAACCTGGTAGCGTCGAGTGCACCGTTCCCCAACGCACAGCGACCTCCCCAGCGCGTGTCGTCTTCCTCGCGCGTGATTCGTGACTCTCCTCTATCGGATGAGGGAGGCCCGCAGACGCAGCTGAGCTCCAATGCGTCCAATGCCGGGTCTTTCGTGGCCCATGGTTCATGCACATCCCCGTCCAACGCACCTTCAGAGTCGAATGACGCTGAGTTTGTCCTGTCCACGGACGACGAAGACACGGACTATTATGGCAAACCGATTTCTGACATTGGTACCGGGGGTGATTTCCGGAATCCTCCCTCGATCTTCACCGCTTATAGCACCGATAATCTCGCAGGGTTCCCTCCAATGGCCCAGTCGTCTCCCGAGCATGATCTCTCGCTGAGGTCACCAGCCTCCTTCGATATCGCGGCACGCCGCAACCGCCGCCCGCCACCCCTGGCCATTGATGGTCGAAGCTGCTCGGCTGGCGCGCCGAGAGGTGGGCTGGACATGATGCGCAAGGGCGACACGATGCGGCGCGTAGCGTCTGCCACAGGTTCTATGCGCATCTCAAAGCCCATGGGGGCTCCTCGCAGTCCATACATGCTCAGCCGATCTCCTGTCCCCACGGGCGTCAGGGGGAGCCATGCGCCACCAACGCCCGATACACCCGTGCTGGCCAACCACCCTGGCGTCAACACCCTCGATCGAGGGGCCGGCGTATCGGAACTGGCAATCCGTGACCCTAACCTTCGCACGCCGCCCACGACTCCCGGCGTTTCCCAGACCTTTTTCAGTCTCAATTCGATCTACGATATGCCCATGACGGAGAGTGGCCTGCCCACATCGTCCCTTGGTCGGTACAACGGAGGCCTCGAGCACCCCGGCGTCTCAGTCGGCGCACAACATTACTTCACCAATCCCGGTCTTAGCCAGCCGCAGACACCTTCATTTGTGTCTCCTATCAGTCACTTCGGCATGGATGCTGGCCAAGGGCCTGAATACGCGTGGCCATAGAGGCGCAGGTCTCGCTTACCGCATTGGTAGTTGGTACGGCGTTTTCCACCTTGAGCATGGGCAGATAGTGATGGCCTGGTCTGCGATACCTGTATACCCTGCCTCGGTTGGCAGCACGGAGTTATGGTACCCCAAAGGGATATGGTTTGGTCTTTTGGCATATTTCTGGCATATTTTTGGCATTTTCTTTCTCTCTCTTGTTCCTACTGGAGCTACTCAAGCGCATATACATATAGCTTTCGATGATACATGATGGCGGCATATATTTCCTGGGGTTACCTTGGGTAATGGGAGCACAGGGCAACGGATGGGTACCAGCCTTTGAGCTGAAAATCACTTGGTTAGTGCATAGAGCGCGTGGCGTATTTGGCACAATCGATGAATGCGGATACTATTTCTCGAACTATTCACGATTTGAGCGAATTTCGCAGGCCAAGACCAGTTCCCAAACACACTCGTTGCTGGGGCGTGTTGCGTTGGCCAAGTTTGTTGGTCGTGCCAATGCGCTAACGCCACAGCGGCGAGCGCCTCCAGTCTGACAATCTCAAATTCCGGATTTGGCTCAGGCTTCCCTAATCACTACACGCCCTCTCTTAGCATCAAACCCAACAACCGCCCACAGAAGCAAGCCATGTGCGGCATTCATGCCGTGATCGCCTCTCGAGACACCCCAGCCCTTTCTCGTGAGGTTGAGGAGAAATTGCATGCAAGGGGACCAGACCATGTCGGGACAACACGCGTCGAGTTTGGCGACGCGTCCGTGACGTTGACCTCCACAGTCCTCTCTCTCCGAGGTGATCACATTGCGCGGCAGCCACTGGTCGATCCAAAGAGCGGCTCTTCTCTCTGCTGGAACGGCGAGGTGTGGCGGATTGATGGGCTCCTGGTTACGGGCAGTGACACCGAAGCGGTGTTTCAGCTTCTCGTCAAGGCAAGCTCACATCGTGCCGCGGACTTGTCTGAGGAAGACCCAGTCCTCGCTGCACTGCGAACTATTGAAGGCCCATTCGCGTTTGTGTTTGTCGACAGACCGGCTCAGCGCCTGTACTATGGCCGCGATCGACTCGGTCGGCGCTCCTTGCTCGTCCAGACTGGACCCAGTATTACGCTGTCCAGCGTAGCCGAATCCACATCCGAGGGATGGCGAGAAGTCGAAGCCGACGGCTGCTATAGCTTATCACTCGACCGTTCAGATCCTGGCGCAGTCTTCGAACCTCAGCGGCACGCTTGGCTCGAAGGCGATGACTTGGTAGGTACTTAGGCGCAGTTCGGCAGCGGTGTATATTCTGCTACTTACGGTTGTAGGTCTCGAGCATTGGTATTTTCAACACCCAAAGAACGGATAATCCTCCCCGGCTAATGCCTTCTTCGGCGTCGGTTAGGCAACTAGGTCAGCAGTTGCGAGAAGCACTGCAGGCGCGTGTCCTGAACATACCGTTGCCGCCCTATGCCCAAAGTGCTGATGCTAGAATTGCTGTGCTCTTCTCGGGTGGTCTAGACTGCACTGTGCTTGCGCGTCTGGCGGCTGACATAGTACCAATTGATCAGCCCATTGATCTACTGAACGTTGCGTTTGAAAACCCGCGCATCGCCGCGCAGCATCAGGACCTTTCGACCGACGACCTATTTGAGCTCTGTCCGGACCGCATCACCGCCAGGAAAACCTTCGCTGAACTGCAGGCTGCATGCCCCGGGAGGAAATGGAGGCTCGTTGCGGTATGGACGCCAGCGCTGATTGAGTGATGCCGCTGACAACAATAGGTCAATGTCCCATACTCCCAGACAAGAGCTCATCGCGCTGAGATTGTGCACTTGATGTATCCTCACAATACCGAAATGGACCTCTCCATTGCCAATGCCCTCTACTTTGCGGCCAGGGGCCAGGGGCAAGGTTGTCTTGCTATGGAATCGCCCTCGACACCCTACACAACCACAGCTCGTGTCCTTTTATCGGGCCTTGGCGCAGACGAGCTTTTCGGCGGCTATGTGCGCCACAACACAGCCTTTCAACGCAATGGCTATCCCGGTCTCACCGAGGAATTAAAATTGGATGTCAGTCGTCTGGGCAAGCGTAATCTTGGTCGCGATGACAGGGTCATGGCACACTGTGGAAAGGAGGTGAGGTTTCCTTTCCTGGACGAGCGACTCGTCAAGTGGGCTATTGAGCTCCCGGCATGGGAGAAGTGTGACTTTAGCACACCAGCAGGAGAAGGACATCCCGATGCTGAGAAGAGAGTCTTGAGGCTACTGGCACAGGCAGTTGGACTCCCCTCAGTGGCCACTGAAAAGAAGCGAGCAGTAAGTCTTTGAATACTTCCGAGTGAAGGGGGAGTCCTTGCTGACCGTTGTCAACAGATCCAGTTTGGGACGAGGACTGCCAAGATGGAGAGCGGCAGAGTCAAGGGCACCACGTCGATTACGCTGTGAGGCACACGCGACAAGTGTCGCAGCAAAAGCTTGGTCTTGCACCACAGGGACTCTACCGGCGGTGATGACCACTCAGATACTGTTGAGTCGCGCGAGAACCCAGGGACGAGGAATTGTGTGTTTTCCGCCCCGGCGTTCAACCCCTTTCTTCGCGGGTCTGGCGACGCTGATGACATAAAGGCAAGTCTGAGCCGTGGAGCAACAAATGTCCCTCATGTGAGATGGCACCAAGTGAACGTCATCATTAGTGTACACAGCGCATTCAAGGAGAGTCAAGGCGGCCTCCACGCGTCCAAGATCGTGTGCTTGGTTATGGCCGAGAGGGTACCAGTAACATATATGCGAGCTATATACAGACATACAGTTCCTGCTCTGGACCGTGATCAACAAGACCAGAAACGACAACAGACACCAGTGCACTGGCGATAGCCTCGCGGACACCCCGTGATGAAGAATGACTGTGCATTCGGCTAGTTGTACAGATTGTATGAGGATTGGCGCTGATCGTTGCGCCACTGTTATCTTTCGGTGTTTCGCCTGACTCCCAAACCATCGACGGCTTATGTCGAGCCAGAAACCCGCCGCGGTCTTGCAGCTCCTAGCCCTCATACCGGCTCAATGATCTGACGCCCCAGCTTGTCGACCATGAAGTGACTAAATGATTCTTCATCGTTGTCGTCCACAAGAAAGGCCCTGTCCTCTAGCTCGGACGCCAGTTTCGCATACAGACCCTCCCCTGGCTTGGGCCAGGACGGCGGCAACGGATCCTCCTCCACCTCTTCCGCTGCGGGCTCATCTCCTGCGATTGGTACTTCCTCTGATAGCATCGAGCGTTTCAGTGGCTTCTTCGGTACCGGCCTACCCTTGATCTTCTGCTTGGCTTTGGAGTTCAGCAGGCTCGGCCCGGCTCGCGGTCGGATTTGTTCGCGTTTCTGGTACTTCTGCGCCGCGCTCATGGGCGGCGGCGGAGGCTCGGGAATTCCGTCATTCCAGGTCGGTGAGCTGAAAATGGGTAGATCGGGATGTTGTTTGGAAATAGAGACCATTACATCGGTCAGCAGTTGAGGCCGAAGACGATCGCAGAAGGAGAGGACGGAAAGCATATCGTCGCTTGCCATGCGTGAGAAGTACTGCCTCCGCTAGGAGTTGTTTAGTCAACCGTACATGAAGCATCGCGGCTGGCACTTACAGCATGCGTCGATGCTCCCCCGGCTTCGAACCCGACGATGTTTGGTCTCGCCGGGGTGGCACCCTCAGGCAAAGAGGCGAGCCTCTTTTTCCGAATGCGCTCAATCTTCTCCTTTCTGTCAATGTCTTCCAGTGACACGAATGGTTTGCCCGTGGCGGGATGCCGCCTTGGCTTGGGAATCAACCTTGTCGGTAGGTCGACCGATGCTTGTGTACTGAAATCCGGTCCTCTTTGCGCATACGCTGCCTCTCTCTTCCTCTCATTCTGCTCAAGGTTGTTCTTGGCTCTCTCGAGCTCGTTTCTCAAACTCAGTGTCTCGATGGAAGGCGGTATCTGGGGTGTCTGCGACGGTGTCGTTCGGTCGGGTGTCGAAAGCGTGACGGTGGTGTTCATGTCTCGCATCAACCTCGACTTCGCATCCTCAAAAGCCTCCCTGTCCGGAGTTGACAGCTTGGTCGAGGCGTCGGAGAGGCCGGCATTGAAGCTCTTGTTCTTAATGCGCTCGAGGATAAGCGAAGTAGTGCTGGAGAATTGCGTGTCATACGATGGCCCTTGGGAGGCGCCCGGAGCGCCAGCTAGTTGGCCAGCACTTAGCGCAATAGGCATCTCATCGGATGGTGTCGATTGAAGAATCGAATCATCATCTTCTACCAAAATGCTAGGCGCATTGCCTAGAGGGAGAGAGAAATCCATGATGTTGTCGTGTAGCGCGTCGTGGGCGCTCAGGAATCGACCATGCCGCACAGCGATACGGGGACTTGGGTTATTCCACTATGAGTGAATGGTGACGATCGTAGGGCTGGAAGAGGTCATGGAGGTAGCGGACTGGGTGAGGCACGACATAGTTCATGATGGTTCATTCACTCTCAGGTTCAGGTATGCTTCAAAGATGATGTTGATGAGAGCACGTGATAATCACGTGCCAGGCATGCCAAGACTTCGAACGATCATATTAATCGACTTCTGCAGCCTGCCACATGCATGTGAACTTCGGCCTGCAGTCGCGCTCATCGAACTATCTTCTCCTCACGCAACGAAGCGACATCGCCCTTACTCAAGCCCAAGTCCTCAAGGACCTCATCGGTGTGCTGACCCAAACTAGGTGGCGGCGTCCGAACGCCTGGCGCGCAACCCGACATTTTCATCGGCGTGTTCACCAACGACATCTGCCCACAACTATCGTGCTGCACCTCGACGACCATGTTCCGCGCCTTTGTGTGACTGTGCTCGAGAGCAGTCTGCACATCATTTATCGGCGCGTAAGGCATACCCTTTCCTTCGAAGACGTGCAACCACTCGTCCGTGGTCTTCTCTACAGTGATAGCCTCGATCTTTTGTTCAAGCTCGACGCGGTTGGCGACACGAGCAGCGTTGGTGAGATAAGCAGGTGCTTCTTTCCACTCTGGCTTGCCCAAGCCGTCGCACATGATGCGGAAAAGACGATCGTTGCCACCGCCGAAGAGGATATCACCATCCTTGGTTTTGAAAGCTCGATATGGGACGATGGAAGCTACCGAATGTCAGTGGTGCTTAACGAATCCACTGGGGTGAAGGGACTTGCGATGTGCGGTGCCCCAACGCCCGCTGTCCTTCTTGCCTGTGACGAGGCAGCTGCTAGCAATGTTCGCCAGTGTCGCGGTCTGGCAGTCGCTGAGCGCCATGTCGATATGCTGACCTTTGCCAGTGCGCGCCCTCTGCAGAAGCGCCGCCATGATACTGTTACTGGCGTACAGCCCAGTCGTCAAGTCTGTGACGGCTACGCCGACCTTGACAGGCGGACCGTCTCTCTCGCCTGTAATGTGCATCAGTCCAAATTCCGCTTCGACCATGACATCGTAGCCAGCGCGCTCCGAGTATGGTCCCGTCTGCCCGTAGCCAGTGATGGAAGTGTATATGAGCCTGGGGTTGATCTTGCGCAGCGTCTCATAATCCATGGAGTACTTTTTGAGAGCATTGGGTTTGTAATTCTCCACGAGAATGTCGCATTCGGCGGCCAGCTTGTGAAGTATCTCAACCCCTTCCTTCCGCTGGAAATTAAGTCCAATAGACTTCTTGTTGCGATTCACCTGCTCCTCTCAGCCTCGCTCTCCCAACATGAGGACCAACTTACACCCAAGAAATATGCCGACTCGCCGGGTCCTTCTTGGCTGGACCCCGTCTCGTACTTGGCAAACGGCGGCCCCCATGCCCTGGTATCGTCACCGGTCACGGGATGCTCCACCTTGATGACCTCTGCTCTGCGTATGGTCAGTACTTGAATCAGCATACATTGTCCATGAGCCATCTCACCCCAGATCGCCTAGTATCTGCGTGCAATAAGGCTGAGTAGAACTGTCGTCAGTGCCGGAACACACACCATCTTGGGGATGTCTGCTTACACCTGCAAGTACTCGGGTCATGTCCAGCACACGGTAGCCTTCGAGCGGTAGTGGAGGCGCCTCACGATGAGACACTGTGGTGGCCGTAAATGTCCGGCGGCCATACACAGGCAACTGCAAGCAGCGTGGCCGCCATGACCTACAAGCGCTCTTCCATCCCGGCATTCTGATCATGATGAAGACTGATGTATCTTGGATATGCAGAGACGGCATCAGAGCATCAGACCGAGGCGTTGATGTCAATAGCCGGATAAGCACGTGACCTCGGCCCCGGATTCTGATCGGGGCGGGTCCACCCGTCCTTGACCTCCACTGATCACCCTCCCGACTCCAGTCTTCCCTCTTCCAACATAATTTACCAACTTGTTTTCATCGACCTGCACGGAAGACCAGAATCGGGGCTAGTTATCTGTATCTGTTGGTTGGGGGCCTGCCATTGATACCACGCACGGTTCACCTACAGACCCCAACTTCGAGGTTGTGTTTGCGACAAAGCTAGAGGTGGCATTGCGTGCATCCTCTGCCGTCGCTCGGTGTGCGTGCGGCGGATTTACCAGTTAAATTGTATTTGCTCAAGCGAAAGATTGGTCCGTATCAACGCCCCATGTCTTGGACGCGATCAATGTCGACGATTCCGAGTGATGCTGCCAGTCTACCACCTAGAGTCGTCAGCACTCGCATCTGTTGCTTCTGAAGACATCCATTGCCCATGAGAAGCTCAGCTGCAGCTACAAGAACCTACGGTACGGAGAGCCAGCTGCTATTGTAGCGTTCGTAGGCGCTATTGAGGGTGAAATCGGTAGGTCTGTGCCTTGCAATAACGACGTGCTGTACACTGCACACTGCACACTGCAGGCTCGGCTCCGCCCCCTTAAGTTCAATGTTCTATACTCATTATTGCAAGGATGCGCCGACACCGTTTAGGTGCGAAAATGTTCATTGCTTTGTCTAGCGACTGAGCTACGACTTCCCCGCGATCCGGGATGCCCCTGTAAGCCCAATGGTACCAATAATAGTAATGCGTACCATGCCGCATTGCTGTCCCAGAAGTGACTCTCAAGATACCCTTATTAAGGTTGGGTCACGGCCTCCTCGAAATTCAATGTGTCCTGTCTCATAACTGGGTGGTACAACTAAGTTTTTTTTTTCAAATCAACCCGCTCTATCACGAACATAATTTGCCACAGCCAGGCGCGATGGCACCATCACTTGGTCGACGCAAGCTCCCCTTGAACGGCGATGCATCTACAAAAGCGGGCATTATCGCTATGATCACCGTGGTCTCTGCCTTTTGCCTCGCCATAGCCGGACTCCTCGTGTTCAAATACTACAAACGCCGGCAATACCACTCGCTACCTCAAAGAAGCAGCCTCCGTTCCTCGATCACCGAACTCGTCAACTGGAAGTCGAACAACACGTCTGAGCAAGATTTAGAGCAAGTACATGAATTGAAAAGGACCACAATGATCAGAAAGTCCTTGGCCAGCCGGACGTCGACTCATAGACTACACCACGACACAAGATCCAGTCCAATATTGGATCTTTCAGACTCGGACTCGGATGACGGCTCGAGAGCCTGCAGTCTCATCAGTGTATACAAAGAGGTCGAGACCGGTCACAAAAGCGACAGGGCTGTGTTTTTGGAAAACCATCCCGCGCTCAAACAAACGCCTGCAAGCGAACTCCAGAAGGGCTTGCCCGGTCCGCGAGGCGCTTTCCGTACGTCATCTGGCCCTTCGTCTCTGGGACGTGGCGTCGTTGTGATGCCGCCTCCAGCCCTTGCAAATCCTAGTCCACCGCCCTGTGACCGACAAAACAGGCATACATGGCAACATGTACCGCCTCCTCGCAAGGCAGCGGCGATTGACTCGCGTGGAGTACAGCGTATCGCGCAGCCAAGGCGGGCAACGTTCGGCGTGGTTATCCCCGCGAAGCGATCTGCCACATTTGACAGCGTGCCAGAAGAATGCAGTAGCATGCGCACATCCGAAGATGGTGTGCCCGGCAGTACTTGGATATAATTGTACATACATATAGCATTGGCGTTCCTTTGATCGGACTGGTCACTAGTAGAGCACGGCGTTGATCAGGGCATAGATAGCATGCGAGCCTTTCATTTTATTTTTTTGCTGTATCTACACATCAGCCCTCACTCTCAATTTCATTCGTGATATCTACAAAGGACGTCCACTGCTTCCACGCCTCGCCGCTCTTCAATGCCCATCGGGCCCTCCTGACGCCCTCCTTCCAGCGCTGGCCCGCGGGACCACGCTCCTGAATCACCTTCCCGTCATCGCCTTCGCCCATGTTGCTCGTATCTGTTTCACAGATCCCCGAAGCAACGAACAGTGCGGCCACGTTGATCAGCACGAACTCTAGCAGTGGGTCATTGTCGGGAAGCTCATTGTTCAAGATGCGACGGAGAATTTCTGCATTCTCCTCTGGCTCTTTGCCGGAGGAAACCTGGTCCAAGGCGTGATTGCTCACATCAAAGTCACTCGGCTGAACAGTGAAATGCTCCACCACAATTTCGCCGCCCGATGTCTTCTCCTGAAGCATCCAACACAGCGTCCTCCCGGCACAGCTCACCTCGTCCAACTCCTCTTCGCCGCACACAATGAGCGCCTTTTGGCAGCCAGCCATGCGCAGCGCCTCGGCGAATGCAGGACCAAGGTCCTTTCTCGCTACACCGATTACACGGGCTTCGAGCACATCTTCAACGGGGTTGGACAGGGGTCCCACATTGTTGAAGATTGTCCTCCAGGGGAGCTGCTTTCTGATTGGGGCCACGTAGCGCATGCCGGTGTGGAAGACGGGCGCGTAGAGGAAAGCGTAGTTGGTGGCCGAGTACACTCGCGCCATGGTCGAGGGCTTGACAGCAGTGATCACGGGGGGGCGAGGCTGCATCTTGTTGACGAGGTCGGCGCTGCCGGACTTGGACGTGCTTGCCTTGTTGCCGTGCTTTGACACAAAGAGCAGGGATGAAGCAATAATGGAGGCTGTCGTGCTGATGTTGAAGGTGTTGTGGCTGTCGCCGCCTGTGCCAACAATGTCACACTAATTGCTTTCGTCAACAAAAAAAAAAACCCTATTTGTGTAACAACGGGGGCGTTGACTTACGAGTCCACCATGGTAGTTGCCTTCCCTTCTCCCCCTTGTCTCGATGACCTTTTTCAGCTCGTCTACTGGCACCTGAGCACACGCCTTCTGCATGGCGGCCGCACAACTTGCCAGGACTTTGGGTTCAAAGTCGAGCTTCGTGAAGTGCAGCGCCATTAACAGAGACGCACTTTGCGCCTCCGTCACCTGGTTCGTGAAGAAATGTGAGATGGCATCGGCAATGTCATCAGCTGTAACGCGACCGTCCATGGGCCAGAGCTTGGACAGCAGAGGCTTGATGTCCACTGGAGGGAGCTGGTCCTGTTGAGAAGCCATGGGTACTTCTGCGCCGGTGTGATGCAGCTCAGATTGGTATGGTTATATGGATTGCAGGTGCAAGTTATTTGGAGGGCTTGAACAAGAGCAAGATGATGATGATGATATACCTCAATAGCACTTTTGGGTATTCAAGCTCTGATTCATCCAGTTCCGTTTGACGGAACCACTGCGTCCACCTTCTTGTGGGGTAGCCTCCATACCGAAAGTGGCAAGTCATTCTGATGAGTAAGCGTTCAACCACGGTTTGTTTGGCCACTGTGCTCCTGTGTTAACAGCGGCCCATGAGAGTTACTCGGCGGGGTCGCAGGATATTCTGCGAGTTCAATGTCATCCTCAATAACCCACGATAGCCATTGTTGTCGACCTCATTGCCATGAATATTGAAGGAGCGTGGCCAAGGCGTATTGAGTGTGCAAGGGTTTTTCAACGGTGACTCGCTGAGAAAAATTCGTACCTACGCTTTGACCTTGAAGCTGCGAAATTTCATTCTTCTTATTGCGCCCGACATGTTGACGTTACTGCGGAGTACACTACCTGATATGTACGTACCATCATGACCTCGATACAGATTGACGCGAGCCGTAGAACCTCGATAAACAGTCCAATAGTCGATTTGCAATGTCATCAACGGCCTCTTTGGCATCTGACAACTGTGATTGAAATGTGTCCTCGGCCACATTTTAAGTCTGCTAGCACGTTCTCACGGAGGTGCAATCACATGACTCTCCGCCTAGAACATTCCGCCACACATTCGCAGCCACCCCAGACAGCCTACCACAAGGTTTACCCTGCACCCTCCGCCTGGCCACCGATTTCCTACCCGAACATCATCTTCTACTCGCACTCCCGAATAGCCAAAGTCGGTCACAACCATCGCTAATCATTCTTTCAAGTCGATCGTCATCATCTCGCGACCGTATAGACCACGCCTGCCAATTTTTCGATTGCTCTGACGTTGCGCGCAACCTCGGACGCCTTGACTGGTTTCGGACAGTTGGCCAGGCAGACTTTGCAGTTCACCCACACCACAATTCCCATAGATCGAACGACTTTCTATCTTCGTACCTCGTTGTCGCGCACGAGTCATTCCGGCATCTTGCTCTTTTGGCTCGACTGCCGTAGTTCAAAGACAAAGAACAAGGACCAAAAGACGCCTGCCTGTGCGTCTCCGACTAGTGACATCCTCCCACTGCACCGTCAACCGCGAAGCTGCATTCCCCACTGTTTGTTCAGGCCGCCAACAATCGCTTGAGGAGGACAAGTACAAAAGACACTCAAGCGCGCAAGGTCTTGCTGAAAAAGCAGACTCAACTTCGAAGGCGCGCTAAAGAGGTGAGGAGAGCCCGCAAAGTTTTCGACGAAATCAACAACATCTACACACCGAAGGCGTACCAGGCCAAGATGCTGTCCACAGCCGCTGCGGCGGACCCCGGTCCTTTCAAGGAGGACCTTAGCAATCAGTTGCTCTGCCCCGACTGCAAGACGTTCCCGCCCGATTTGGTCGAGGAGTACAGCAGCGGAGATATGGTCTGTAACGAATGTGGCATTGTCGTTGGTAGTCGTATCATCGATACCAGATCTGAGTGGCGTACTTTTGCCAATGACGATCAGAATGGCGATGATCCGAGCCGTGTAGGTGGAACGATGGATGAGTTCTCGGACGTACAGCAGCTCTCGACATCGGTCGCTTTCTCCGAGAGCAAAGCCCACAAGGCCCTTGCCCGCAACCAGAACAACGCTTCCAATGATAAGGGGTCAAAGAGCCTGCAGGAAGGGTATCGCGCCATTGTCAGCTACTGTGAAGCGTTTCATGCTGGCACGAACATCCAGAATGCGGCCAAGCACGTCTTCAAGGTAAGTTTCCATGTGGCATAGCTTGCATTGCTGCAGCCATATTAACCCCAATGCCTCAGCTCGTCGAGAAGGAGAAGGGCTTCAAAGGCAAGCCGCAAGAGGTTCTCGTCGCTGGTGCCATCCAAGTCGCCTTCCGTCAGAATAACGCCACGCGCTCGTTCAAAGAAATTTACGATTTGACTGGTGTTCCGAAGAAGGACGCAGGAATAATGTTCAAGAAAATCACAGCGTTTGTCAAGAAGGTCAAGGCCGAGGGTCGCACGGGTGTCGGCTTGGACAACGTGGCCAATTTTGAAAGCCGCACCACGTCGGCTGGTGAGTACTGTGCTCGATTCACAAGCCGACTGGGCTTCAAGCAGACCAATTTGATTGCGAAGCTTGCCAAGTCGATTGCCGAACAGAGTCAGAACAGCGTCCACATCGGCGGCCGGTCGCCACTCTCGATTGCCGCTGCCTGCATCTACATGGCTTGTCATGCTGTGGGCGAACCAAAGTCATCCGCCGCCATTGCTGAAAAGTGTGGCGTCAGTGACGGCACGATCAAAACAACCTACAAGTTCCTGTATGCCATGCGAGACCAGATCATCCAGCCGGAATGGGTGTCGCAAGGGGCTCGGGTGGACAGGGTTCCTGGCATCCACAACTAGAGGCTTTGCAAGAACAGTGCCACAGTCCGCACGAAGCGGCCGGCTACGTTGCGGCATCTCGGTCACCAGTGGGTCTACACGCTGCCGCTCCGTCCACTTCGGAAGCCTGAGCGTCCGGTGTTGCATTCCAGGGGGTGTTAATCTGCAATTTCGAGTAATTTGAGGGGGGCAAGAGATCCTCCACAAATTGACTTTCTCAAAATGGGGGCTGGGCTCGGGGAACACAAAACAGGCTCAACGAGCTTGGAGGTGCCCTTATGCTGAAATGGGCCGGTGGTACGGCCTTGTCGGCAGAAGTGGTCAATGTTGGCATCGAGGGACCAAACAGGCAACGGAGTTTTGATATCTCATCTTGCTCACTTGTCCCGTGTGCATGCTGTTTGTGCGTATTTGGACCTCCGCGGTTTGTGTGACTCTGTCCTCCGGCAAGACGCACGCCTCCCTCCCTGCCTCTCCTTTGTCCTCGTATCTGGTAGGGTATTTGGTCACGAAACCAGCCTTCACGACCTGAAAGTGGATGACTGATTATTGGTCAACCTTCTGGTAAGTCTGCTGTGCTACCATGCTGTAATCAAACTGTCAAACAATACGACCATAAAACAAGTGCAATTTGCTTGCTTCTTTCTTTCTACCGTGTGTTCCAGTGCGTGTGGCACAAGCTCGAGTTTCCCTTCCGCGTGACTAAGCATTAATTACAATATCCCTTGCCGGCTTTCGGATGCAACTCAGCACAGCCAATGATCCAGATCGAAGCAATCCCTGCTGTTCCGTTCCGCTCGGGCGGAGCGATCGAGTAAAAGCAACGAGGGGCCGTTTTTGACGGATAGGTCAGACGAATCAGAGACGGCCATGACTCTCTTCCTTTGCATGTGTGGTGCCGTTGTGCATCTTCATGTCTCAGTCTGTCGGAGTTTCTACACGCATCGGTGAAACATTGTTCATAGAAGCTCTCCGATGGGTCTACAGTGCTGTGGTCCAGGCCAGCCACGTATGTACGATGCTCGGGTACATGCGTCCAGCGACGCGCGTGGCTTTTCGGAGCTCGTTTGCTCCATGTTACTCAAGCAAGCCACCATTCATCGCTACACTTTTCCGCTTCTCCAGACTTCTCAGAATGTTCGCATGGATGACCCTGCTTGATGGGGCCGGTGAGCGAGTCGGTGAGCCACGCTTTGACTTGGAGGGTTTCCCGAAGCCGACCCATGTGGGCTGTAGCCCGGCAATTGGACGTCGCAATGGAGGGGCCCGGCCGGCGCGAGTGGAGGACAGAGGAGGGGGAGGGATAATTGCAGCGCGGTCGTGTCACGGGAGCTGAAGCGGACCTCCTGGCAAGGGGTCGGATTACATACCTGGCACCTCAGGTGAAGTAACGAGCCTGCTAGCACCGAAGGAGTGGTTGGATCAGACTGTGGGGTTAGTAGCGGCTAGGTAAATAGCCCAGAATCCCAGATCAGCCTGCCTGTTCTCGCCGTTCCAAGGGGGGGTTCACGTGTACCGACACCACAACACCAAACTGGCTTCTTCGCACAGGGTGATAGCGTTATTCTGCATCTCCTCTTGTTACGGCCGTGTTCTTCAGGGATGCCATGGCATTACCGTGAGTCTCTAGCCCCCGGGCCACCAGATTTCGGTCGCGTGTACGGATCCGAGCGCCTGTGCTCTCGTATTGAGCTCGAAACTATTGCACAGGGACCGACGGACCCTCGACGGTTTGGAAAAGACGTGAAGGGGTCCCTATCAAGTCGACAAAGTCCGACATTGACTCGACAAGCACTGCAGCGCCCCGGCATGCTCCACGGGACGCGCATCATCATCATGCTGATAGGATCTGCCACCCTTGTTGTCATCTGTGCGTGGCTCGTCGCCGTGCAAGGCACGACGCAGCTGGCAAGGGGTCCACATGACGTCTCCGCATTCAGGTGCTTTGACTCTAGGCTTCCCAATGTTACCATCTTCGCCACGGGCGGTACCATTGCGGGCACAGGGTCGTCTGGCAAAGACATGTCCAATTACCAGATTGGGGCCCTCGGCGTACAACATCTGATCGATGCGGTGCCCGAGCTGTGCAATGTGGCCAATGTGCGAGGCGTGGAGGTGTCGAACGTTGGGAGCCATAATATCAACTCGAATATGCTCGTCAGGATGAGCCAGCAGATCCAGCGAGAGCTTGACGATCCGTACACCCAAGGGGCAGTCTTCACGCATGGCACCGACACCTTGGAAGAGACCGCCTTTTTCATGGACCTGACTCTGCAATCCAGCAAGCCCGTTGTTGCTGTCGGCGCTATGCGCCCGGCCACAGCCATAAGCGCGGATGGTCCCATGAATCTACTGACGGCTGTGAGTCTGGCTGCGGACCATGATGCGTGGGACAGGGGTGTCATGCTGGCCATGAATGACCGTATCGGCGCCGCTCGCTTCACCTCCAAGACCAACGCCAACAGAGTCGACGCCTTCATGGCCGTCGAGCAGGGTTACCTTGGTGTCTTTGAGAACACCAAGCCAATCTTCTTCTACCCGCCTGCGCGACCCCTCGGACATAGGCACTTTGACATTAGCAGTCAGCTCACAGCCCAGAAAAGCCTGCCCAAGGTCGAGATCCTGTACGGCTACCAGGAGCTGGAGCCTTCGCTTTTCAAGTCCGCCATTGACCTGGGCGCCAAAGGCATAGTGCTCGCTGGTGCTGGTGGCGGGTGGTGGCCAACAGCCGCCCGACAACAAGTCGATGCCTGGGCCGAGGCTAGCGGTGTCATCATCATGACGAGCTCGAGATCACTGTCGGGGTACGTTGACGATAGTAGCGGTGGAATTGGATGCGGGTTTCTCGACCCTCAGAGGTGCCGCGTGCAACTGCAGCTATGCCTCGAGGCTGGGCTGTCGAGGCATGAAGTTCGAAAAGTCTTTCAATTTGGCGTTTGACGCTCGATGAATTCTAGGTGGGAAAAATGTATGGGAGCTTCTTGGGAGGCATATGCGACCTCTTTCGGCGTTACAGTTCAATGGGCAATCTTTTGTTTGTGTCGTGTCGTACGCATGGTGGTCTTGAGTTCCAAAGGGACGCCTACACTAATAAGGTGGGCTTTCACAAGCGTCATCGGGTTGAAAAGAAGACTGGAAGGAACGGCGTCGGGGCGGCTGCCACTCCAATCCCCTGCCAGAGCCAGAGGGGGCCAGTGCAGGACAGCGCAGGCTGCGCAGCCGGCAGGTCCGCTACCAGGATGGCAGTGGCATCCCACGTTTCGTACGAGTCCATGTAAGATAATTAGGGCGGGGATCATGTCGCTGCTGTGTTCGTAGTTGATGAATAGAAAATATGCTCCATGGGTAATCACCCTCGCAAGTCTCGATGCAGATGGTACTGTGAATGAATGATCTGAGAAGCACCACTGAGACGATGTGAGCTCTGGCGCTTCCACGTCGACGGTTGGAGATGGTGGAGCCACTTCCCACGCTTTCAAGTTTCTCGACGTCAAGTCGTCAACCGTATGCAGCGCAGCAGTATCCCTGCCGAGTCCATCTTGTCGATTGATGAGCGACTTCTGCTCCGACTTCGTCTCCGTCTCTCCGTGGACGCGTCGCCTCATTCTCTTCTCCGCCAACTCGATCGTCGCAACGAACGTATCGACAGACCTGCAATTCGCTTTAGCATGCGCTTGTTTTAATCCTTTCCGCTTGCTGCGCGCAACGTCCCTCCGCCACGCCGCGATCCCGCCACGATACGAGAACAACGTTTCCGCCAAGCTTAAAGTTCGAATCGCTCGATTTGACGCCATGATCTTGGGAAGCCTCTGCTCATGCACCGTTGATGACATCCAATCGCTACCACTGCTCTGTTCATCGACTGTACTTGCTGGAATGTGCCTGTGTTGATCCATTCGCTATTACGAGGGCGCAGAGATGGGAGCATTTGATCAGGTTCGCGAGAAACGGCCCAGCCGGTCGGCAAACGACGGGCACGGATACCTGCGCATGTACAACAAGACTCTCGTTCTCCGTGACCGATTTGTTCAAAACCTCATCGCAGCGATTTCATGGCTGTACCAAAGGACAATTGTCGATCTCATCCTCCGACGGAAGCATGTTGAGGCCTCCACGGACGGCCGGCATATCCCTTTGACCTTGGATCATGGCACACCTCTCATCGACACCCGCCGGGGTCATTCGTACATATCAAATGATGTGCGAACTTCACGCTATACTGTGTGGGATTTTCTGCCCAAGCAATTCATCTTTCAGTTTTCGAGAGTTGGCAACTTTTATTTTCTCTGCGTCGGTATTCCACAGACTGTATGCTTCATCTATCAATTGCTTCGGTCACGATCGCTCCGCTAACAAGGGACACAGATTCCTGGTCTTTCCACGACCGGTTCTTTCACGACTATCCTGCCGTTGATGTTCTTCCTGCTGCTCACTATGATTAAGGAGGGTTTTGACGATTATCGCCGCTACCGCTTGGATAAGGTGGAGAATGCGAATCTTGCAACTATCCTGCGGAAAGAGGGCCTGCATACTGGCAAAACGGTCAAGCAATACCCTTGGGACAAGTGGAATCCTTTCAGGACAAAGAAGGCTACCACCCCCTGGCCAGCTCCTGATGAGGAGTTTGCTGGTCACCGCTGGGCACCAACTCGATGGAGCGACATCAAAGTCGGAGATGTATTACGATTATGCCGAGATGAGCCTGTTCCGGCGGACATAATCTTGCTTCACAGCGATGGAGAAAATGGGCTGGCTTATGTTGAGACGATGGCCCTAGACGGCGAGACGAACCTCAAAAGCAGACAGGTGTGCCACGCTTTGGAAGGTTGCGGCACCATTGCAGGCCTCGCCGCTTGCGGTGCCGAATTCGTGGTCGAGGACCCGAACCCTGACCTATACAGTTTCAACGGGCGGGTTACGGTCCAAGAGAAGACATTACCACTCACCTTGAACGAGGTCATATACCGCGGGTGCATCTTACGCAATACGCCCTCCGCTGTTGGTCTGGTCATCAACACTGGAGAAGAATGCAAAATCCGCAAAAACGCCAATCGTCACCCGAAAGCCAAGAGGCCACAACTCGAGCGAATCAACAACAAGATCGTCGTGACACTAGCTATCTATGTCGTGGTCTTGTCCGTGGGCGTTTCCATGGGCTATGTCCAATGGGAAAAAGACTACGAACAATATGCCTGGTACCTGAACCAGGCCAAAGTCCCCTTCTATCAGATCATCATCGCGTTCATTATCATGTTCAACAACGTGGTACCTCTCGCACTCTACATCACTCTTGAAATTGTCAAGATTGGTCAGCTCCTGATGCTGAATGGTGATCTGGGCATGTACGACGAGGAATCGGATACACCGGCTCGTTGCAACACGAACACCATTCTTGAGAATCTGGGCCAGATTGGATACATCTTCTCCGACAAAACTGGGACCTTGACGGACAACGTCATGAAGTTCCGTAAAATCAGTGTAGCAGGGACTATCTGGCTACATGAGATGGATATGGACGCTGACGACACCGGCGGCTCAGCGTCAACTGAGGAAACGACCAGCTCTGCCACTTCAGTTCTCAAGCCCGAGCCTGTCACCCTGGTGGTCCCTCATGACCGACGTGAACCAGTCGAGATTCCCATCTCACCTACCAGGCCATCCATGGGGAGGCGTTCATCCTCACATTGGCGGTCGACGGGAAGACCTGACCACGTTCAGCCCGAGGTCAATACTAGCGATCTACTTGAGTATATCCAACTCAGGCCCCATGCCTCTTTCACTAAGAAGGCCAAGGAGTATCTGATGGCCTTGGCCTTGTGTCACACTTGCTTGCCCGAAGAACGCGATGGCAAGATCGACTACCAAGCCTCGTCGCCTGACGAGCTAGCATTGGTCAAAGCTGCTCAAGAACTGGGTTACGTGGTCGTCCAGCGCACCACGCAGTCAATTACATTGGCAATCGACGATGAGAATGGCGAGGGTGAAAGGTCGACTTTCCAGATCCTGGATATCATTGAGTTCAGTAGTGCCCGTAAAAGAATGTCCATTGTTGTGCGCTATCCGGATGGACGCATAGCGGTCATCTGCAAGGGCGCGGATTCTGCCATTCTGCCCCGGCTGAAGACGGCGTCGCTTGCTTTGCAAAAGGCGTCGGAGGTGCGCAAGAGTGCCGATCTCGAACACGAAATGTATCGACGCAGCGAACACCAAGTGCCTCGCAACAGCTTCGGTGGCCGGCACAGCTTGGCCATTCGGCGAAACCCTGGCATTTCCATGGATCACCAACGACCACAGCCCAACAGGAGCAAGTCTTTTGATGTGAAGGGGCTTCTGCGTCCTTCAGACGATCGACCTCGGATTTCAATAACAACAAGGACCGTCTCCCACGATGGTCGCGACAGTCACCACGGCCAGTTCCTGGCGGCACCGACGCCAGCAATGCTTGGCACACCGAATCGTTTCGGTTTCCTGCAGGATTCAGCGCCTCTCACTGAGTCCGAGGTCTTTACAAAGTGCTTCCAGCACCTCGAGGAATTTGCTACTGAGGGCCTTCGAACTTTGCTCTACGCACAAAGATTCATCACAGAGGCTGAGTATCGGGTATGGAAGAAGCAGTGGGATGACGCTTCTACCAGTCTCGTCGACCGTCAAGAACGAATCGAAGAAGCAGGAGACGTGATTGAGCAGGGTTTCGATCTTGTCGGAGCCACAGCCATTGAGGACAAGCTGCAAAAAGGTGTCCCAGAGACGATCGACCGTCTTCGCAGGGCCAACATCAAGATATGGATGTTGACCGGAGACAAACGGGAGACTGCCATCAACATTGCCCATTCTGCCAGGCTTTGTCGTCCTGGATCGGATGTATACATTCTGGACGTTGCGAAAGGAGACCTAGGCCAGCAGCTGGCTGCTTTAGACGAGGACCTACAAACCAGCACTGGCCACAGCGTCGTGGTCATTGACGGCGCAACACTGGCGGCTGTCGAGGGCTCCATGGAGTTGTCGGGGTCATTCTACGCAGTGATGATCATCGTCGACTCGGTCATTTGCTGCAGGGCGTCGCCCGCGCAAAAGGCCCTGCTTGTCAAGACAGTCCGCAGTCGTCTTCGGGCCCTCAGCAGCAAGCAGAAGCGAGGACTGACGCTTGCCATCGGCGACGGTGCCAATGATCTAGCTATGATCTCGGCCAGTCACGTCGGCGTTGGCATCTCAGGCAAGGAGGGTCTTCAGGCCGCGCGTGTGGCTGACTTTTCGATTGCGCAGTTCCGCTTCCTCCAGCGCCTGCTTCTTGTCCATGGCCGATGGAATTACGTTCGGACCGCCAAGTTCATTCTATGCACCTTTTGGAAAGAAATGTTCTTCTATCTGCCAACAGCACAGTATCAGCGCTACACAGGATACACTGGCACATCGCTCTACGAGGCTACGAGTCTGACGGTCTTCAATACCTTGTTCACCAGTTTAGCCACAATATGCATGGGTATTTGGGAGCAAGACTTGCAGGCTGAGACTTTGTTGGCTGTTCCAGAGCTCTACATTTACGGACAGCGCAATATGGGGTTGAACCTGGCAAATTATACGCGCTGGATGTTCCACGCCGCCTGCCAAGGCGTTGCTTGCTGGTACGGGGTGTGGGCAGGCTACGGTTGGATCGTGCCCAGCGGTCGTGATAACACCCTCTACGCGTTGGGAAATCTGGCCTTCACTGTTGGCGTCTTGTGGATCAACTGGAAGTTATTGTACGTGGCTGCGCAGCCCTTGTTATCACACTGAAACGCTAACCATTCTTAGCATATTCGAAACGCACTACAAGACCTCCATTGTCATGGGCTCTTTCTTTGTTTCGACAGCCGGCTGGTTCGCCTGGAATGGTTTTCTGGACGGCGTCTATGCCCCGAAGCCTTCCGGGCCATACGCCATCCGAGACACCTTCACAAACACGTTTGGCCGGGATCCTACTTGGTGGGGTACCTTGTTCATCGTACTCGGCTTCCTCGGCTTGATGGATCTCGTTGTCAAGGTTGCCAAGAGAAATCTGCGCGTTTCCGGTCTTTTACGCTGGCCGCCTTGGGGAGAGAAAAGCAAGGAGGACGATGACGGCATCGTCGCTGATGAGCTCGACCTAGAGATATGGCAGGAGTTAGAGCAGGATCCAGTCATTTGGGAACAGTTGAAGAGGATGGCCTGCGACGAAGAAGAGGAGTACGAGGACGAGATCGTTCTCGACGTGGGTGCCGTACCAAGCACGCCGGAGACTAATGCATTTGTAGGGAAAATACGAGGTATGATATCCCGGAGGAAATAATCTAATAACATATACGAGTCAATGGATGGCAGCATGAGAACACGTTGAATTCAGAAAGTCTGAACGTAGTTGGAACAGCGTGCTGCATCAGAGCATAAATCACCTGCCAGCCGCCGGCTTGCTCTCGGCAAGGCCTTGAGCCGTCTCGATAATTTCTTCGTTCATGATGCCTTCCTCCCCTCCGCCAGCCTCCGGCCTGCGCTTCTGCACCGCCCTGCCAACGATCTCCAAACTTCTGAAGGCAAAAGGGGCGAGAACCAGGCACACGATGCCCAGTCCGAAGCTCAGCCAATTTGCGGCCCTGATGCCGACGAGCGTCGGGCCATCCCCCTCCTTCAACCCGCCGACTTCTTCGACGTTCGTCCCTCTCTGGTCCGCCATGACAGCCGTCTGCACGGCCGTGGCAATGGCCAGTCCTATCGCTCGACCAAGCTGTCCGACAGCATTGATCAACGCGCCACCAATGGCTTGCTCCTCCGGCGGCAACGCCCTGGACGTGAACAGCGTCAAGGACGGCCAGGTCGTATCGGCACCTACGACCGCCAACAACATGGCCGGCAGGCCCCAGGCAAAGTAGGACGTACTTGGCGGGATAGGCACGGCGAAGATGAGGCACGCAATCGACATGGATATGGTGCCTGTCAACATAATAAACACCGTCGGCACCTTGTCCATCAGCTTGGCCACAATGAACGCGACGATGGCACCGCCCACGCCCGTCGGGATGAACCGCAGCATCGTCTGCAAGGGGGACAGACCCTGGTACTGCTGGAAGAAGTAGGTGGCAAAGATGACATAGTTGTTGAACGAGGCGAAGAAGACGCCCATGATGAGCAGGACGACGGTGAAGCGACGGTTCTTGAACATGGACACCTTGACCACGGGGGCCCGCTGTCCCTTGCTCTCCAGGTGACGCTGCCAGAAGTAGAAGCCGACAATGACGAGGACGGACACGACGACGAGGACGGGGATGTACGGCGCGGACCAGCCGACGACGTTGCCCTCTGTGAGGGCGAAGAGCAGCAGAAGGAGGCCAATGGTGATGAGCGCGCCGCCGATCCAGTCTACCGATGCCAGGGATGCCTTCTGTCCCGCGCAGAGCTGCATCACAGTCGGCGGAGGCGGCGGGATGACGAAGAAGCCAGCGGCCGCGATGGAGATCGCCATGATGGCCGAGACGCCAAAGACCCAGCGCCAGTTGGCGTACTGGGCGACGAGACCAGAAACGAGGTTGCCACACACGCTCCCCAGGGGGGCACCCGCGCCTAGACACGCACGCTCATCAGCGGCGTTCCTGCGACCCATGTGGATATGCTGACTCACTGTATGTGCTGAACGCATAGTTCTTTGTTCGTCCTGGGGAGAACGTGACGCCGAGAATACCAATTGCCGTGGGCACGTTGGCCGCTGCCCCCTATTCACATTGCCATCAGCCACATAGTCCCTGAGGAGGATGTCCCCTGTGACGGAGCACCTGGTACCGCCAACTTACCAAGCCATGAAGACCCCTGAAGAGATCAAACGCGATCTCGTTCGGTACAAAAGCGTTGGCCGCCGTCACCGCCGCGACCCATACCGAACCGCCGATGAAGATCAGCCTCTTGCCGTAGATATCCCCAATCCTCCCCCAGAGCAGCAGGAAGCAGCCAAAGGCGAGCGAATACGACGATACAATCCATTGCAATCTACTCTCTGGGATGGAAAGTTCGTCGCCGATGGTGGGCAAAATGATTACGACACTCTGCAGCGACAATGTCTGTTGCCCCCCGTTAGTGTACGGGATGCTTCACGTCAGGGCGAACGCACATACATTGAGGAACGAGGCACCGGTTAACGTTGCGACCAGCGCTATACACCGGGCTTTGGAGAATGGCAGAGGAGGTTGCTCATCGTCCTTGTACGACATGTCCTGATCGGCATCGGCATCGGCATCGGCATCGGCATCGGCATCGGCATCGGCATCGGCATCGGCATCGGCATCGGCATCGGCATCGCCATCGGCATCGCCATCATTGTGGTTGGCGCCGCGTCGTTCCAGGGTAGCCTCGTGCTCTGGTGGTGGCTGATGGGCGTCCGATGTCGGCACCGCCTTGGTCTCGACGGCGTGAGGGTCGGCCATGTTCGTGTATAGAGAAGCGTATCAAGTTGATTTGAAGATGGGCCTGATGCTCTTAAGAAGGGGAAAAAATATTAAAAAACTTGTACCATCCACCACCACTACACTGCCGACATCCGCTCCTGGCTGAACACTCAAGCGAGAGGCGCAAGGGGATCGAAACCTGCGGGCACAAGGTCAACTTGTTATTGGTAGTCCTAGTGTCCATGGATGGTCCACAGTAGGGGTTGCGGATCACGGCATCTGAAGACGGCACTGTTGATCCATTCAATCATACATCAATCACACGACAGGAACGCGAGAGCTGTCCATTTGGTCAACGTCTTCGAAACGAAAGGGTATTGTCCACAAAGCAGAGGATTTGCTCTCCAAATTGCAATTGACTGTCTAGAAACCCTTATCCATGAGCTCCTCAATTCCCCTTGGTCGCCCATAAAAACCACCCTGAATCGCCGCCGTACCGTGTAGCTGGAAAGGTTCGCACAATACAAAGTCATGGGTTCGTCAGCGTCCCAGCCGGCAAGGTGTCATCCAGCCATCCATGACTTTCTTTCGTATACACCACCAGCCGGGGGCTCTGTGTCCCGCGTGAGTGTCAAAAAGCAATCCGCATAAACGTTTCAAGAAGTCGCACGCCCATCCCCGTTTCCTTTGCCCTTGCGAAACCGTGGTTGTTCATCTGCTTTTCGTGTTCCCTTGTGCCAATCGACCCGTGTAGAGGCCCGTTCCGAGGGCGTAGAAAGAGTAGAAAATTCCCGTTGTTGATAAAAAGAGACTCACTCATACACAAGAGACTCGCCCGTAGGCCGGCGCTGTTGCGCAGTCGAGTCTCCAGATTACCAGAATGACGGCCATTGGCAGGTCCAGTCATCTGGCTGTCAAAGCACTTGCGCCGGCTTAGTGGTAGTTACCACCCCAGCCGCCGCGCTGTTGCTGCTGGTTGCCACCGTAGTAGCCACCGCTGCCAAAGCCGCCCTGGCCGTAAGAGCCGTAGGGGCTGTTGGCGTGCTGATTAGCACCGCCCGCACCGCCCATCCCATAAGCGTGGCTACCGTGAACACCACCATGGCCCTGGAGATGGCTAGGGTACCCAGCGTAAGCGCCACCGCCCATCTGCGAAGACTGGGGAGGGGGCAGACCGCTCTGGCCAGAAGCAGCGGCGTTGCTGGCGGCCGCGGATCCAGGGCGAGCGCCGCCGATCGAAGGCGACGGGTTGGCACCGCTCTTGGCCTCACCGAACTTCAAGTCATCGCCAGGGGCAGCACCGCCTTGCTGGGCCTGACCGCCGAAGCCGGGCGCTTGCGACTGGAAGGACGAGGCACCGCGAGAGAACGAGTCGTGAACACTGCCAAAGGTGCTGCCGGCGCCTCCAAGGCCTGGAGCACCTCCAGCTTGGCTCGAGCCAGAGCGGCCGTAATCACCGATGCCAGAACCGGCTCCACTATCCCTATGCAGCGACGACTGCGCGAACGAGGCCGGGGAGTTTGCGTGGTCAAAGGGCGCGTTCGGAGACATGCCGTAAGGCTGACCATACATGGCATTCTTGCTAGCGCCGCCGTAGGGGCCAAAGCCACCCTGGCCGCCATATCCAGAATAGTACTGCTGGTAGTACGGGTTGTTGTAGTAAGGGTGGTTGCCGTATCCGTATTGTTGCTGCGCGTGCGAGGGGGGCTGAGATCCAGGAGCCGCGCTTCCGTGCTGCTGGGCAGCCTGAGTTGTGGGGTTGGGGGTCGAGTGGCCGCTATTCTGGGCGTCGTTGCTGCCGGCGCCGAAACGAGGCTGGTTCTGGAGTCCAACACCGCTCTGGGGGTACTGGCTCAGATTGTCGCCTTGCTGAGACGCGCCGTAGCTGCCGTAGGGGCGCTGCTGGCCAGGAGCGCTGTCCTGCTGGCCTTGTCCGCCCTGCTGCTGGTGGGCGAACGGGTGGCCGTAGTAATTGTTGTTGTACGGGTGGCGATCATTAGATGTGTAGTAGGAAGAGTAGTCGTTGGGTGCAGAGCTGAAGGCACCGCCCGGCTGTTGCTGTGGCTGAGAGGGCGCTTGGCTCGTCTGCCCGGGGAACGAATCGTAGGGAGGCTGGCTGCTCGGCTGGGCCTGCTGAGCGAAGGGGTCGTTGGGCTTTTGCGAACCCTCCTGGCCGAAGCGGCCATACTGTTGGCTCGGCATGCCAATGGCGGGTTGCCCAGGAGCTGTACCATGGTTAGCTGTGATTGCGGGCTGAGATCGATTCCTAGGAACCATACCACCAGGGGCAGCGGAGGTGGCTGCGCCAAAGCCTTGAGAACCTGGCAAGGGCGTGAGTAGACTGTGACTTGCTCGGACTGGCATCGACTGCTCACCTGAAATACCAGCCTTCTGCTGGTTGATGTCCTGGGAAGCGCCAGGTAGGGTCGAGGGAGGGAGAGCAGTACGGGGGTGAGATACAGGAGATTCAGCTGGGGGCTGCGCGCGAGTCTCAGCCTCTTCGCGGCCACCAGCTGCATCTTCGTCGTCGCCTAGGCTGAAGGCGCCGAACTGAACAGCCGCACGGTCGACGTCGCGGTTGCCACCGGGCATGCGAACGGCCTCCTCCTGATCAAGCACACGCCTCTGGAAAGCGGGCGTCCTAGCCGTACGCTGCTCTGTCGCCTTGATCGCCGAAGCGGCGAAGCCGCTGGAGGTGTCGCGGTTCGCTTGGTGCTGCTGCTGGGCAGCCGAGAGGGGCGTGGCATTGCTAGTCTGTCGGGGATCCCAAGAATCAGCAGTGGTGCTTGCGGCAGTGTGGGTGGCTGGTGGGTGAGATACATCTGCAACGTGCTCAAGGTTTGTTTCGGTGAGCTCATCGTGTGTGGGGGTGATGGCGGGCGTCGAGGTGGTTTCTGGTTCCGTAAGGGCAGGGACGGCTGGCTCCGGAATCGGTGTAGCTTCTTGATCAGCGTCGGCAGGCTGCGGCTCGCTCTCGGCAGGTGTCGATTGGGTGGCAGTTTCGGGAGCCACTGGTTCGGTCGCAACAGGGGCCGCAGGCTCCTGGGGCTTGGGAGCCGCCTTGGGTGCGGGCTTCGGTCGCAACATGCTCGCCCACGTTTTGGCCTGAGGAGCAGACGACTGCGGTGTCTCGGTGACGGTGGCAGCCTGAGGCGCGGAATTATCTTCAGCGACCTGTGTTGCGGGCGCAGAAGTGTCTTTTCCCCATGCGGTGGCCTCCTCAGTCGGGACAGATAGCGGCACATTCTCCTTGCGAGCTGCGCTTGGGGCTGCGGTGGTGGCACGCCCACGTGAGCCGCGGCCACCGCGGTCAGTAGCCCTGCCCCTACCACGACCACCTTCCGAGGCGACGCGGCCTCCGCGGCTGGGACGCGAGCCGGACGCAGCTGAGGAGTCATTGTTAGCAGTCGACGCGGGCGTATCCTTGGCCTTGGGCTTCGAAGGCTTCTTGGCCTTGGAGACTTCGCCCCATTGAGACACGGTACCTGCGATACATGTAAGCGATGTGATGCTGCAGTAGGAAATCTGAAAGACATACCCTCAGCGATGCGGGTCACGGCCTCATTCTCGTCGCCATTGGTCTCTTGGAGTGCAAACAGCACGTCCACCTCTGACCAATCCGGGAACATCTCGCGAATGACTTCCGTCTTGCTGCCATGGAGCCTGCGGAGCTCGCCAATTTCGCCTTCGTCCTCGAAGGCTGAGCTCGAAGTGTCGGCACTCGTCTCGGTCTTGTCACCATTCGCCCTCCGGCCTCCACGGCCAGCGAAGCCTCCTCTACCGCCACGGCCTGAGCCTCTGCCGCGCGAAGCGGAGGACCGAGCTGCTACCTCGGACATGATGTGAGAATCTTTATTTGTGTAAGGCTCAATTGAGAGGGATGTGGTTGACCGTCAGCTGTCCTCCTCGCAGAGAAGTGACAGACAGATGGTTCGCAAGGGCGACAGCGTAGCCAAAGCCCGGTCGCACTGCCTGGTGACGGCGACAAATTAGGATCGGTTCGATGTTGAGCGTAACGTCAGGAGCAAATACAGAAGTAATGCGCGAGCGGCAGATATTATCGAGCGTCGAGAGGGCTTCGAGGGGTTGCCCAAGGATGGATGGAGTGTGTAGGTTGTGTAGTCACAAATCGACAGCCAGGCAAGCAGACGATGCGAAGGTGAGATTTGCTTGCTGCCCTGGAGTGCAAGGTTTTGACTAGCGGCTGTGAGTGACGCCCCCCTTGTTGTTGGCCTGATGCCACAGGCGGTTCAATGGGCCCCAGTTGTGGCTGACGCAGCGCACCGCGCAACGCTCACAGCGCCTTTCAGCTGCTGAGCTACGCTGCCATGCAAGGGTTGATTGGGCTATGGAAGGTCTCGTGACCCGTGTTGGTTTGCATTGTACGTAGATCAACTGCCTCTAGGGAAGAGTATTTTGCAATCACAGCATTGAGTGATATCGAACGGCTTCTCTAGCCGGCAGTCTGCTCAAACGTATAATTATCACGCAGGCATCTGCTTAAGGCTGGTTTGTTCACGTCCATCTGGCGCGCTCTGATGAAGGCCTAGCCTGGCTAGTGCGGATCACCAGCCACGCAAAGTGGGGTCATGCATGCTACCTTCTGGGCTGAGCTCTCGACCATTTCAGGTACCGGATGCAGGAAACTCAATGTCCTTGGGCGCTGTCGGGCGCATGATCAAAAGCATATCGTCAGCAATGCCTTGATGTCGGCGAGGGCGAACACAACTGGAGCCGCAGGAGGAGAACAGACTCCAGTCTTTGTTCCCCGTGACATCTCACGCTGGCCCTTTGACGGGCTGTGAGCCCCTCACCCTTGCGCTTGCCATTTTCGTCGGCCATACTCCGTACCTTCGTAAACACGAAACGTCATTCTGTGCAGCCACCAGTGGGTTGATCCCAAAGTCAAAACTTGCGGGCCATTCCTCAGTTGGACAGCCTTGACCGGAAGACATCGCGTGATAATTAAGGCACGACTCTACGGCCCCAACTTGGGCCTCCTTTCTTTGCCACGACCAGGTCCCGACCGCTATTGAAAAAGCTCCGAGCGAACATACATACATACAGACTACACTTGATATGGCAGTCGGCCGCGGTTGCTGAAGGAGAAGCAAGAAACGGCTTGCTTGCACGACTACCCACTTTTCACGATACGTCTATCCACAGCATTGTCTTGTTATCATTGATACTACCAAGTAGGTACGTACAGTCGCTCGCTGGAGTACAAACTGCGCAGTGACAGCTTTACCCCACACAAGCTCCGTCCCTTCCAGCACGTGACCTGACTACCCGGTACCTTGGCTACTTCCTGAGTGCGCGCAATCGAGTCGTAACAATTCGAGACGACATCAAAGTGCTTGCTGCTGACCGCGATGCATCCCACCAAAATTACACGGTCACTAAAGAACCTCTTCGCAGGTTATCACGAGCCGGCAAACTTGACCTCCCGACAGACAGTCAAGCTCCTCGATGATCTCAAAGCATCTTTCAGAACCCAGCTCGACCGGGAATATGGACTTCCTCTGAACACTTCAGATTCCAGCATGGGGACAAGTACACAATCCTCTGATTCTGTATCAGCCACACGTGCTTCTGCAGCGAGCATACACTTGCAGCAGCTGTTGCAAAATCCGATCTTTCTCCAGAGAGACCGGCCTCCAGTAAAGCATAATGTGCAGCTGGGCAGCCCTCAAGACCCCATGGATGTCTTTGACCGAGCTGCGGCAAAGGGGGTCCTCACTATGAAAGCCGCAAAAGGATGCCTCATAACCAAACATCGACACTTAAAGGCATCACCACGATATCCAGAGAATCTAGCAGACACCAATGTCGGGCTCAAAGCTCTCCAGTGGCTGCAAACGGTGCCAGAATACCAGAGCCCGCAGTTTGCAGTGGACGTTTACCTTCTTACCGAGATGGTACCATATCTGCAAGCAGAAGGCCGGATTGGAGTTGTGTGGCAGTGGCTCTCACGCATGACTGAAGCCACCTTGGACACCAGCAAGGAACAAAACTCAGGGCGGCCCGGCATCCTCCTTACCCGCACCGTGTCAGCCCAGATGCGCGCGAGGCAGGACAGCTTGGATGGAGCCATCATGACACTTTTGGAAGCAGACAAGATTTTCAAAGCGCATGGACTTGTCCGCAAAGACTTCCGAAGATACCTCCACCACCCATGGCGCACGGTGTCGTGGGAGACGACTGTCAACGCGAAGCTGGACCGCCCTGAAGTAACCCCCAAGCTATACGATGAACATGTTGGGGTCGCTGATAGCTTTGGTGACCGTCTTGACGTCGAGAGAGCTCACCTGCTGCTCCACCATCCCAAGCAACCCGACTGCGAGCCTGTCTTGCGACTACTCGGCGAGAAAGGCAGGGTGGATGATATTTTATGCCGGTCCCTTGCGCGTGATGGGTCCACGGCAATGGGCTGTGTCTCGTGGCTAAGAGTTCTGGTGAATGATGCACTTGGATATCTCCAGGAATGTGGATCCGCAGCTGAGCTTGATCGTTTCAAAAGCTCTCTCAAAGCTGTATTTGATTACGATGTGAGCCAGCCCGGACTCGCGTCCGTCTCCAGAACGCAAGCCGTTGGGTGAGATTTGCCGACACTGCATCCACCTGAAGATGTTATCAACACCTGCGACCACCTGGTAGTTGACATATTGTTAACGTGGCCCGCGCGGATTGCCTCACTACCCAACGAGAAACTTGACACAGCGACCAACATCCAGAAACATGTATATGTGCAAAGGTATCATATATTCAAAGTATCCCGCTCAATCCGAGTCGCTATCAGCGGAGTCGGAAAATCCCTGAAACTCCTCTTCCGACTCTCCATCCTCCGACCCTGCAGCATCTCCGCCCTCTGCGTCACTTTCCTGATCCTCGACATCGTAGGAGCCCGAAATGTCCCATCTGTCGCCCTTGGCCTTGCGGCTGACGTACTTGACAAACTTGAGCGTGCCGCTATCACGGAGGACAATGGCGAGCTTGTTCCAGGCGGGGGTCTGGAAGAAAAGGATGTTGTCGTCGTCGGCGGCTGACTTGTAGACGGCGGCGTCTTCGTTGGTATCATCGGCTGCCGCCATGTATACCTCATGACCGCCCACGTCGTCTTCTTCCGCTGGGGGTTCTTGGGGCTCCTTGGCCTCTCCTTTTCCGTTCTTGCTCTTGGCGTCTTCCTCCTCTTCTGGGTCTGCTTCGTCCTCGCCCCATCCCCCTGATGGCGTGATGCCAAGGCTGAGCTCGAGCCGGGGTTGACCTTCATGGCCGGTGGCCAGAGTATAGTCTTTGCCTCTTCGGAAGCGGCGAGCCATAATGTCATGGCTTTGGACAGTACAGCCGGTCGCGATCTGCAGCCAGTGACGGAACTGCCTGCTGGGTAAGAGAATGTCAAGAAGCTCTGTGATAGGAGATTCTTCTTGCGCTCTACGCAAATCGTTCGGCCCGGCAGGGGCCTGGTATACGAATCGGTGTTTGTGCGGCGGCCTGGCGACCCGCCAAGGCGTCGTCTTCTCGATCACGCTGCTGTCGTCCCCCTGGTCTTTGCTGTCCTCTGCCTCCACGCAGTCTTTGAGTCTCTTTGCAAACTTCTTGCAGAGAATGCCTGCGAGCTCAATGCTCGAATTCTCCTCAAAGTGCTCGCTGATCTGCTCCAGCGTGTCGGGCGTGAGATATGTCGGCGCAATGTACTTGAGCAAGAACTCGAGATCCGCTTCCTCAAAATCACTCTCGCTGGACGTGGGCTTATCCACCTTGACCGGTTGCAACTGCGGCGTGTCGTATTGCGCGGGGTTGCCTTTGAGCTGCATCAGGCTGCTGTTCTTTGCATTCTTTTCCTCTTCCCCCTTGATGAAGCCATCCTCCCCCTCCTGCGGTATGTGGAACCAGCCGCTGATGGCCATGCGCACACGGCCACCCTGCTTCTCAAGCTGGGCCTTGTTCTTTGCGTGGTAGACCTCTTCGACGTCGTGGAAGCTCTCGCCAGGCTGCACGGCGAAGAAGCTGAGCTGGTTCCATGCGGGAGGGATGACCTTGGCAGCATCGGGAAGGGGAGTCTTGGCAACCTCGCCATTGTCGCCATCGAGCTCCTGCACGGGGAACAACCGCAGTGCACCGCCCCATTCGGCCTGCCACGGGATGTCGGGATCGGTCAGGTAGAGAATGTAGCTGACTCGTCGGGAGCCGATCACGTCGTCGTGGCAGAGAAGATAGCAGCCAGGAGTATAGACGTTGATTGCCATGTCTGTCTTGCGTCCACTGAGCGGGCCACAACCGGTGATGTGAGAGACGTAGTTGCGGAAGGATTCTGAGTAGATGGCATCGCGGAGCGACAGCAGCGAGGGCAGCTTGGCCAACGACTCGTCGTCCAGGCCGTCCAGGTTGGCCAGGTCGCCGGACTGATGAATCTTGTAGATGTCGGTCTCTTTCGGCGTGAACTCGACACTGTTCTTGATTTCGTTGCGCACGGAGCGTAGCAGCTTGTCGTCTACCAGTTCGTGTATCACGGCATGCTTGTACGGCGCGGACTCTGCGTATTGCTGGGTGTACGAATCGTGGACTTTGTTGTCGAACAGGCCCTTTCTAAAGCGACCCTTTGCCTCCTCGGCAGTGATCACTGATAGGACGGTTAGGCTGTCGTTGTACAAGGCGCAAGATGTAAAGTAGGTGGCTTACCGGTCCTGGGCTTCTTGGGGTTGGAAGCGCGGCCACCCTTGCCATTGGCCGCGGATTCCGCTTTCCTCTTCATGGCGAGAAGAATTGGCTTTGGTACGACCGCGGGAGGGCTGTGCTGCTTTAGAGAGTGCTCGAGTTGGTGCGGGCTGAAGTAGGAATCAAGCTTGGTCTGAGTGGGCTGATCCCGCTGTAGAATTTTTTGGCCGGGGTTTCTTGCAGCTGCTTTCCTTGGTGACGTCGGAGCAGAGCTACGTGTACCTCAAGGTACTACTTGCGGAAGAGCACTGGTATGCGCACGAGATGTTCTACGTAGACAAAACCTGGTATGCCATGACAATGAGCAATCCTGAATGATCCGAACTGCCGGACATCTTGTATCAATCAATGGCCACTCGAAAGCGCGTTGACTCTCGCGTCTGCATCGGTAAGCGCGCCCCCTTCCAATTGTAGGACAGAGCTCGCCGCATCCTCTCGACTGGACTGTGGTCGCATTGCACGCAGAAATACCAACAATAGCCTTCTTGGCAAGTCAGGTATTTATTAAAGGCGATGAAACTGAAGCGTCAACATGCAACAGCTTGCCCGGACGAAGCCCCACGTTCGCTCCTGGGCCTCACTCACATGGACCATTTGAGCGCAAGACCTTGTGGCATGCGGAACCTACCAAGTCCCAATGTCAATGGGCGACGCCAATGCAACGCGTTATCTTGAGCTTTCCAGCCGAGGGTCAATCAAAGACGACACGCGTGGACCAGCGTGTTGTGGGGACGTTGTTGACACATTGTATCGAAGTAGGCCGTCGTTCTGGGAGCGATGAGGGGTACTACGTAGTACTTTTGTAAGTGGTAGTTGTCAGGATTCAGAATGACATCCACTGATGAATGAATCATCTTCCTGCAACCCCTTTGGACTGATTACCAGAGTCTCTACCAAACGAAGCAAATCGCAACAATGGATTCAACCCACAGCGAGCAGGTTCGCTCCCGCTTTCCCGCCCTGAAGCAGGACCAGGTCTACTTGGACAATGCGGGCGGGAGTCAGACTCTGGATTCCGTGATCACATCCATCACCGACTATCTCACAAATAATAATGTCCAACTGGGCGCGTCATACCATGTCTCTCAGAGATCCACCAGCCGCTTCGGCAAGGCGTTCGAAGCTGGCGCGCGGTACATCAACGCCAACCAGGATGAGGTCGTCTTCGGCTCCTCCACGACCCAGCTGTTCCGGAATCTCTCGTACGTTCTCAATTTTCAGCCGGGCGATGAGATTGTCGTATCAATGATCGACCACGAGGCCAACATTGCCCCCTGGGTTGCGCTGGCCAAGCGTCAAGAGTTGGTGCTCAAGTGGTGGAGGCCCAGTGGACGCGAGAACCCGAACCTGTATGCGGGTTCCTTGTACCCCCTTCTTTCGCGCCGCACAAAGTTGGTCGCCTGCACGCATGCCAGCAACATCCTAGGCTATGTCCACGACATTAAAAGCATCACCGCCGCTGCGCATTCCGTGGGCGCCCTAGTCTGCGTGGATGGTGTCGCCTACGCCCCCCACAGACCCATCAATGTCAAGGACCTCGGCGTCGACTTTTACGCCTTCTCGTGGTACAAGGTCTTTGGACCGCACATCGCCATGCTGTACGGTAGCTGGAGAGCACAGCAGCACCTCGGGTCGCTGGGCCACTTCTTTAACCCCCAGACTTCGCTCGACAACAAGCTTGGCATGTCGGGCGCGAGCTACGAGCTAGCACAGGCGGTCCCGGAAGTGGTGGACTACCTCATCCCGTCGGGCGCAGAGAGCCGGTTCAAGAACATTGCCCAGCACGAGTGGGAGCTGCACTCGATTCTGGTAAAGACGCTCCAGGAATTTCAACACGTCACAATCTATGGGCTTGGAGACAACTCGCCAGCCACACGACTGGCCACTGTCAGCTTCACCGTGGAAGGATGGGACTCCAAGGCTCTGGTGCTGGCTGTGGAGGCCGAGTCAAACTATGGTATCCGCTGGGGGTCATTCTACTCTGAGCGTCTGGTCCGGGATGTACTCGGGCTTGGACCGGAGGGCGTCGTGCGTGTCAGCATGGTCCATTACAACAGCGTTGAAGAGATACAGGGTCTCTGCTCCCTGCTGGGCAAGCTCATTGGGCAGAGCTCAGCGCAGAAAGTCTAGTAGATAGCGGCCGCTCGACATAATGGGGCATTAAATAAGAGCATACTCGCCTATACATGATAAAAGTGTCATCTTCTACATGGTTTCATCTACAGCTTGCCAGCTCTGTCATCAACGGCCTTGCGCAGCACAGAAATGACCTCGGAGGGATCTTTGGCTCCAAACACAGCGCTGCCCGCAACAATGACATTGGCCCCAGCATCGGCCGCCTGGTCAATGGTGCCGACTCCGAGGCCTCCGTCCACCTCAATGTTCAGCTCGGGGTACTTGGCTCTCAGTGCCTGCACCTTGGGCAGCTCGGACGCCATGAATTTCTGTCCACCAAAGCCCGGGTGCACTGTCATGACGAGGACCATCTAACGGAGTAGTAAGCAAGTGCCTCTTGGGCAGTCAGCTTGGGGCAGGACTTACATCTGGCCTTTCCTTCTCGTCCGAGCTCTCAAGAATGTCCCAGAGAACATCCACGGGCGTGTCGGGCTTGATCGCAATGCCCGCCAACATCCCCTGGTCGTGGATATACCGTAACAGGGCCTTGGGATCTGTCTTCTCCTCGGTCTGCTCCTCGGGACTCTCGGCTGCGCTGGAGAAGGCAGCCTCGTAGTGGAAGCAGTACAGATCGCAGCCGGCGCTCTTCATGTCCTTCACCCACTTCTTGGGCTGTGCATGGGTCAGCGCGCGTTCATGTTACAATCTGTGCAAGAAGCTCCTGACCTCTGCAATCATCATGTGGCAGTCAAACGTGCCCCCCGCGAAGCTCTCGGCGGGCTGGTCGACGTATTTGCGGATCTTGGCGACGACAGCGGGCCCGAACGTGATATTGGGCACAAAGTGGCCGTCCCTTGTGGCGCGGTGGTCAGCTTGCCCAGTCTACTCGCATCTCATGACCATGTTGGAGTGAATGGATGGGCGCCTACATGATGTCAACGTGCAACCAGTCTGCGCCTTGCTTCATCGTCTTCGCGCACGCCGGGCCCAGCTCGGCAAAGTCGGCCGCCAGGATGGAGGGGGCAATGATCGTTTTTGGGGCCATGTTGACGACGGTCTCTTGTCCAGGGCTTTGTCTTCTGTGAGGTAGAGTGAGCAAGGAATCAAGGGGATGAGAGCAGCTCTCGTGAGGGCACATGTGGTGGGGGATGCCCGGCCTTCTCCATGTTGCTCAGGCCATCGGCGTGGGGGTGATGTCAGTGGGTGGAGTCGGGGTCCTGTTCTTAACAGCAGCGCGCCACATTTAGCTTGGATTCAGTTAGGTACTCCAGAGAGGACAAAGGAAAACATCTTGGTTCGTGAACTTGATATTAGAGTTGCGGAGTATCGTGGATAGCCTGACTGTCCGCCACGCACAGGGCTCGAAAAGTGCTCGTGCACCAGAGCCCAGCTCTGGAACACACGTTGGGGTCCGGTGTTCCATGCCCTCGGCTCTATCCATACCGCACACAAGTACTTAGGCCATTAGATCTACACGGATGGACATGAAAATACAAGTGCAGAATCGCTGTGCTTCGTAGTACATGTACGCAGTCCTCCAAAACAGCCGCAACCTTTGCCAGCGCTCGACCATTACAGGGCAAAGCCCATGGCAACAACGGCACCAACCAGACCGCCTACGCTGCTCAGACCAGTCGCCGCATTGCCGTCGTCGCCGGTCTCCTCAGAGTTGGCTGCACCGCTCGTCTCGGATTGCTCCGAACTGGGAGTCGCCGAAGGCGAGGCGCTGGCCTTGCACTCGACCTGGTCAGGCGTGTCGACGTTGACGGACGAGCAGACCTGCTGCGCGAACGTGACGGCCGCTGCCTTGCCACTGTCGTCGCAACTGTCCTCGAGGCAGCAGGCCATGTTCTGGAGGAAGTCGTCGTTGCTGCAGATGCACTCAATGTCGAACTGGCCGCAGCCGCCAATCTCGTTGCCAGTGATGGCTTGCTCGATACATGGGGCCTAGAGACGTACGGGGGTCAGCCAAACGCTGATCGTCGGTGCGCGGCGTTGGGGGCGACGACGCCTTCGGGTATGCATATACGTACGGCGCATCTGGGGACGTCCTCGAGTCCCTGCGCGGCGGCGAAGCCGGCGGCGACGAGGTAAGCAACAGCAGAGGTCTTCATTATAGCGATTGACGGGTGTTGTCGATTGATGAGTGAAGCAAAGAGCGGACGTGGCAGGGAAGAGGTGCTATTGGTAATACAGATGGCGCGGACGTCGGCACGTCAATCGGACCGCGCCTGGCCCCCGAATGATCGGCCACAATTCGACTGATCTGGCGATCGTCTTGGCACAACCAAGTGGTCCGCAATCAATGCAGTGACGCATGAGATCCGAGTAATGCGCCGGCAGGAGCTCTAATTTTGTTCCCTCATTGACCTCTTGCGGAACGAGACTATTCTCCACTAAGGGTGGCGAAGGTTCCTCTAGCCACAGCACGCCATACTGTCTCGGGGCATGTTGCCAGGCTTCAGGCTTGGTCTTGTTTATCAGACACGAGGCTTTCAAGCACATTGTGTGCGCTGGTGGGTGATACAGGAAAGGATTACACACGTTTCCCTTGTGCAAGTAGATCTGACACTTTGGGCGGCAACACCAGCGTGCTCCGATCGTTTCGGCGATAAAAGTCCACCAATGTCACGGCCGTCCTCTCGGGTAGATCTTCGTGTATAAAGTGGCCTGCTTCGGGGAAGACCTGAAGCGCATACTTCCCTACGTAGAAACGGGTTAACAAGATGAAAATCAACTCCACGGAGAGTTCCTCAATGCTCACCTTGCATCTGACCAATGGTCAGTTCAGTGTCCAGCCGGTCGGTGCCAGCGAGGAGCAGCATTTTGCCCCCTCTCGCCTCTAGAAACTTTTTGCTCAAGCCCACAAACCAATCCTCCCAGAATGGTTGGGTGGCGGCCAAGTTCGTCCTCCATCGCCATGGCCTGCTGGTATCAGCATGCTCGTCTCGTACCAGTAGCCCCGGCACGGAGGTCCGCGCGGATGTGGAGTTGCGCAACGTCCTCGTCCGAACGTGCCATTCGATACCAGTCTGCAACGAGGAGAAGCCAGCGGGTCGAGTTGAGAGATACGTCTGCATGCTCTGCAAGGCATCCATGGCTGAGCCCTCGACGACGTCCAGCACAGCGTAGCCCAGCAGAGCGGTGCCAAGCAAGCCGGTCTTTGCAAGGTCAGTCACCACGGCACCGCCGAGGGAATGTCCCACCAGCATGACTGGAGGCAGCTGCCCCCAGCCCATCTTTGCTTTGGCAAGCTCGATCGTCGCGTGGAGATCGGAAGACAAGGTGTCGAGCCGCAGATCTAGCGCTTCCCCGCCGGCCGTGGTGGTGAGCCCATGCCCTCGGCAGTCTATCGACAGTATGCCGGCATTCGGGAGCCTCTTGCGGATTTCAGATCCAATAAGGGCAAAGGAAAGGCCCGACGAGCCAGCTCCGTGGTGCATCACAAACAGAGGACCCTTCTCGGTCGGCGACGTGAGGTAGGCATGGTACGTCAAGCCAGGACTGGTCTCGGGGCTGAGGTACAGCTCACGCTCAAAGTATGTTGTCCATGGTATCTGCTCCAAGTTCTTCCCTCGCGAAACACTGCTCCAGGTCAGAACCGGAATTGGCAAAATGATGGCTCTTACCCTTGAGGGCGAGCAAAGAGCCGCTGCGTGGGAGATGGTATGATGGTGCCAGTAGACGAGACTGACGATGCAGACGATGAGTCGTCGTCTGGATGCTCGGCGTGCTCAGGAAGCTCGGGGACGTAGTCCACTTCCTGCTCTTCGTCTACTTCCCCGAAACGATCGCCAGGTAGAGCAACCTTTTGCCGTGCCCACGCCCGCTGCAGCTCGCTCATTGTCGCGTGGGAAAGTCCGGCGTAACATTTGTTGGAAGAGTTGGGACGTTGGTGGGGTAGGATCCGTAGACGAGCAGTTTCATCAGTGGCGACGACAATTCCCCTCGGAGTCGTGGTGCTCGACTAGATAGTAGACCTTGCGCGCTCCCCAACAGCTTGTTTTGGAGAATGGAAAATACCGTGACACAAAGTCATGGTGTTGTGTTGATACGCGAATTGGTACGAAAATCTCATGACGATGAACATGAAGCTGCGTGTCGGCACAGTGCAAACGGCTCTGGGACATGATGTGTACACACTGTAGAAGACCTGTGTTTATCGCAGTCGATGAACAGTGTGAGCAACATTCCCCACAGCCTGTGCTTGAAGCTGCAAGAAGAGTGAGTCCCTTTCTCGGAGCAGCTGTCTTCTACATCTATGTATCCGTATTCATCCATAATCACTGAACGAAATGGAAACGTGCTTGTGGAGCCGGAAACGAGCCGCGGGCGCGCTCCTTGAGATCATTGGGATCTGCCCGCCCGTCGGGTCTATCACGTGTATTATTGAAAAAACCCTCTGCTTCGGAATGGGCTTTTCGTCAATGGCAATCCGATTTCCTACAATCCCACCTTCTCCAGGACAGCAGACATGCCGGGCCGTCGAAATCCACTCAGATCACTAGGTGCGCCGCACTGTACCAAAAACTGTACTCGATCGCGAGGCAACCCCCGAGCTGTCTGGATCGGCTTGGCTTTCTTTCTGTTGGTAGTGGCCCCTTGCAGCCTTGCCTGTGGATTGTACCTTAATCTACTGTAGGTAACTCTTGAATCACCTGCTAGCAGCACTTGATTGAACCAGTAGGTGATTCAAGAGCCGCTTGCTTTAGCAAGTTGGCTACTCCGTACATGTGCTCTGGCCGGAAAAGGGTATCAAGACATATCTCACCGTTCCCATTCTAACGGACATGGAGCCAAGCCTCTTCGCAGCACAGCAGGCTTCGCAAATTTTTCCAGTTTAGGTAGAAGTCGATAATGACAGTCGTGAGGCCATGCGTCGAAAAGTAAGACCTGATATGTTGCTCTGTACGGATGTTCGCCTTCCATACCGCGAGGTCATTCGCGCTCGAGCTGCCAGCAAGTCCATGCCCATCTACGCACGTAGTCAGACGACATCACAGACATTCAAAGCATGCATTCTATAGCGTAATATGCATGTCTTGCAATCATATATTGCTTCTCTACTTGTCTGGAGACGTGCATACATGCATCGGGAACACCGACAAATCTGCTTCGCACAAATCGCAGGTAGGGTTCCAGGTCTCAGATGTTTGCCTGCCGGGAATTGTCGACAGGGAGCGAGGCCATTGGATAAGAAAGGTCTCAGCATTGTGCATTTTGGCCTGCAATACCATGTATGCAGCAGCCAACGACAGTTTTCAACTTTTCATACGTACTATTAGGTCTCAAAAGTCTGCGAACGATCCACCCCACCACTTCGCGTCAGAACGCGTGCCCCAACCACCCTTCTTTCTTCATTCCATATCACAACGCGGAGATGCCTTCAAATCAAAGAAGTTTTAGTACCATTATAAGCGGCAATCGGGGCTTCAACTACCAGTTTAATTTAGAGGCTCGAGGAGCGATTGTCGCGATGCAATCAATAGGTAAATCTTATGGCGCTATTGCGGCCGAGTTCAACACCACAAAGTCGACAGTCTTCAACATCGTCAAGCGCTTCAAAAATAAGCAAACGGTCCAAATCAAGCCACGCAAAGGAAGACCACATAAATTAAGCAAGGCTCAACGTAAGTATGATATTCTTTTGCTTAAAAGAGACCGGGATATTACCTAGAAGGCGTTAGCGACCGACGTAGGTGTCTAGGTGAGCGTGAGCACTCTTCGTCGCGTTATTGGCAGGCATTATTCGCGTAAATAGAGGGCGATCGAGAGAATTCCTCTTGATAAAGGTACTGCTTTAGATCGTCTTGCATATTATCGCGATTAGCTTCCTCTTGCAGAAGAATTACTAGGTGTAATTACTTACGAAGATACCCTTCAAGACACGATCAAAGCTAATTTACGCGCTATACGCGTCTAGGTCATTATCTTCAGCGATAAAACCATCCTTAGGTCCGAGTCGAATTGCCCAAGCCGGTGGATCTTCCGCAAGCCTCACGAGAAGTTCATGAAGCCATTTATTTACCTTAGGGAGCATGGCCAGGCTAAGATATCAATCATAGTCTGGGGGGCTATCTGGAAGGGCGGCCGTAGCCACCTTGTGATTATGGAACGCGATAAGAACGCCCCCCGTAAGGGCTATTCTGCGAAGAGCTATCGTGAGGCTCTTGAGAAGGGTCTTCTTCCATATTATCAACCTTGGCAAAGGTTCATGTAAGATAATGCGCCGATACATAAGGAACAAGCTACGATTGAGTGGTTCTTGCTCAATAAGATAGAGCTCTTTGACTGGCCTCCACACTCGCCGGACCTCAACCCAATTGAGCACGTTTGGAAGGCTTTGAAGCAAATGATCTCGAAGATGCATCCAGAAGTAAGATATTTGAAGAGGAACAAGGCTCATATCGCATTATTGAAGGAGTGGATGGTCGAGGCGTGGGAAGCGATTGAACAAGCCGACATTGACAACCTGATCGACTCTTGGCCGCGTAGGCTCCGCGAATGCATCCGGGCAAAGGGATATTACACTCATTATTAAACACCAAGAAATCCCCTCTTTAACAATATAATCACCTTCAAATTTGAGTAAGTATTTACTATTGAAATTGTGTATAGAAGTTGGAGGGTGCGTCACCCAATTTGGGTGGGCGGGGCTCGCGTTCGCAGACTTTTGAGACATCATTTTACCGTAGCCTGTAGGGGATCGTGGATTAACTCATAGAATTCGAACAGCCTGGTCAGTGCGTCTGTCTCGGGTATGCATCCTGGCGGAGACTTTTCAGCCAATCACGAACTTGGAAATCCCGGAGCTTGTGTTGATCCGTCAATTTCAATTAGCTCACTGCTGTCAATTGGATTCTCCACAACATAGATCGGTCTTGAAAGCCCGAATCAAGCTGTCCGAGCTCTCCAAGTCACTCACGTATCATCTCACCTGCTACCGACAGTTTCCTCGGATATCTCAGACAGATGGTGCGCCAGCGGAGCGCAGCTGATTCCCCCCAGATCTTCTGCTAATTACGCGCCCGCTGTCTCGTAGGGCTATGGTTCAACAACTGGATCAATTTTCATATTTCCCCATCATTTGTTGGTCTAGACGGTTGTGGTTATTGATCAACAAGCCCAGGACACCCACCCCCTGCACACAGTCATGACACCCAAAGATGCGATTTTTGCCGAGTTCACCCAATCTGCGATCGTGCAGGATGTACGCTGGCAATTTTTGTTATCTGTATATCCCGCTAATCGCCAACAGCGGTGATGGATAGCCAACAGCTCTTGGGAAGAAGAAAAGTTCACGTTGTTCGGCGGCCACCTCCGCTTCCAGCCAGTCGAGGTTACGCTGTCTATCCACGGGTTCCCCGAGAGAAGCATCCAACATATCGACCGCCGTCTATCATCCTGCGTCAGCATGGTGCTTCCGATGGACGTCGGTGCTAGAGGAATGCTAGCAAACTTGAACCTTTTGTTCATGTTGGCACATGATGCGGTGGATCAGGACTCTACAAACCAGAATGTCTCGAGGCACTTCTGTTTGAAAGCCATGTCGGCGCATCTCAAGATGGTAAGTGGCTAGTCCAGTCTGGAATCTGGATGCTTCTTCTCGCAGCGGGCCCACTGCCAAAACCAGATTTTGAGCTACAACACATCAAGACCTAGTTGATCCACAAGCAGGAGGCTGGGGTCTTTGAGATGCGGTGACCAGATCTCGTGCAAATGTCAAGATGGAGAAAGGGCAGAGTACCGAGACCATCGAGATCCGAATCCGCGAGATGGAGAAAGCATGTGTAGGGAGAGATTCTGATGATCTTGCAGTACGTGCAGCAAAGCACCTGGCAGAGGCTATGTGGTGTGCAATTCCAGCCGATGTGCTCAACCTACCTGAGCTCCCCAGAGCTATGGAACCGACGTCCCGGGGGCTAGATTGTCAGCGGGACATACAAATGATAGACACTGTGTCTTCAGGGGTGTCGGCGTCGATAAGTGCTGTTAGCATATTATATTACTGCAAGGCGTTGTCTAACGAGCATCTGATAATGGTTTACATCGTCACGCGCCACCGCACACCTGTCCGAGCTGGTCGATAAATCATAATCAAGTCGATACAAAGAGTCGAGACCGCAGGGCCGACCTCCTTTGTTAGCGGACGGACGAACGCCATAACTTCATTACAGGCTGAGCTGCCGCTGTCAGGAACCTGACGCGAAGTGGATCGGATCTTCAGACCAATCACGAAATCACGTACATGGGCTCGTACTGTAAGATGATTTTACCTAACGGTACTAGTCTAGTACGCTTTGAAGCTAAGAGAATTAGCGCCTACGCCGGGACTTCTCACGGTGAGACAGACCCCACACAGGGCGATCATTCTAGGTTTCACAGTCACTTCACTCTCGTCGCAATGTGAGTGACGGCATGGAATCATTGTGTCTTGAATCAAGCTATACCCGATACTTTCACGGTAGTCGAAAGTCTGTAGAAAAGAAGAGGAGGACGAATGAAGAGCCTTCCGGTGCCAATTGGTTCGGAAATCGACAACACATTGCTCTTCGGAGAACATAGCGCTGGTTTGAAACGTCCCTCGGCAACGGAATTTTTCTCATCTTCCCTTACGGCTCATACAATCCAATTCGGTCCAGTTACGGACATGTTTGGTAGTGAAATAACAGTGATTACATGCGTCTTTCCGAGAATTCGCAAACCTCGAGGAGTTGAGGCGATCTCTAGGCAGACTTCGACACGCAAGCCCCGCCGTCATCGCGCACCATGTTTGTCAATATTCCGAGTGCCATCATGACGGAATGGCAGATAATGCGGCGCAAGGAATTGACCCCAGCATAC